AACAAACAAACAAATTTTATAAAAATAATCGTGTATTTTCTCAATTTTCAGAAATCAAAATTTGTTACAGTCTAATTTTTGAAAATTTTATCATCTATAAACCTTCCCTGGGGTCACGCGAGGACCCAGAAAAAAATTGGGCCCGATCAGTTCAGCCGTTTTAGCGTTTATTGGATACAAACAAACAGACAAGCAAAGTATAGATATATAGATAATGATAAAAAAATTTTAACCTAAGAGACAAAACTTAAAGAGGACCTTTCAAATTCTTTTAATTTTTTTAAACAATTAATTTTGCAGATTAAATATAAATTCCATTGAATATCCTGTTATGGTTGTACCCTGCAGTGATAACTTAAAGTTAGAAATCAAGCACTAAAAGTCATAAATTTTGAAATTTGTATAAGTGGATATCGAGATCAAACGTTGCAGTAAGTTGGTGCGATTTCACACAAAGTTTTGATTTTGGATTTATGGTGACATCAGTTTAATCCATAGAGAATAGAATATATAGAGAGGAATTAAAAGAATCTCTCGGTATGAATTTTTCAGTCCCTTTCAGCCTGAAAGGGAGTTCAAAGTGTACAAATCATGTAAATGTTCACAAATTATATGCAGTAGAGTACATTAATACAGTATGTTCCCTGAGCCTGAATTTTAAAAGAGTATCGTTGAAGGAAACTTCTGAGTTTCCTTTTTGGGGTCTAACATTTGTGTAGATTTTGATTTAAGAGATTCGAAAAAAATGGAGAATATGAATAAACTAAATAAAATAATATTTCATAAAGTAAATATTGATATCCACAAAACTGCCTAACCTCATTCGTAAAACCCGGGTTCTAAAACTGGTTTTCACAACGATACCCTGTCTTAAGTTTTGGGCTCTGAGTCCGAAATTTAAAAGAGTATCGTCGAACGAAACTCCCGAGTGTCCTTTTTGGGATCTTAACATTTTGTAGATTTTGATTCGACAAAAATGGAGAATATAAAGAAACTAAATAAAATAGTATTTCATGACAAAAATATTGATATCCACAAAACTGACTGACCCCATTCGTCAAACCCGGGTTTTAAAACTGGTTTTCATAAGGATACCCTGTCTTAAGTTTTGGGCTCTGTTAAATAAACTTTTTAATGAATTAGGTGAATAAAAACATTATTTGATTTATAGTTATAACGGAAAATCATCGTTTGTAAAGTGGAAGGCATAGAGTCTATGTGAAATGATCATTGGTCAATTATGAAACCAGCCTATTTCATAATTTGGTTTTCTTTTAACAATAATTTTAGATTTTCTATAAAATGATATTTCAGGGCCCAACAGGTTATATAGCATAAATATGTGAAGTACACCTGCAGTATGGAAACAGTACAACAAAATGGGCGTTTTACACTTTTTTCTAGTAAATTCCTCTCTATATATTCTATTCTCTATGGTTTAATCATTAATAAGATAAAATTCAATTCCGGCCATTCAAAACTATTGGAATTTAAAACAACAAAAAAGAATAATAATTATGTTTTCTCATTTTTCATTTCTTTTTACTGCCGCGCACAGTTGTAGAAATCAAAGAATGTTGAAAATTAAATTTGCAAAACTCTTCAAGATTTTCGAACCAGATCTTTGATGTCGATTTTACATCTTGAATGAAATTGTAAAATTGAATTTTGCTTAATTTCAATATTTTCCAGTGAAGGAGGGGACAAACTTAGCTCATTTTTGTCTTATAAGCTTTAATAAACTGTTTAAAATATACTTACGCATCGTAAGTCAATGAGTAAGTATATTTAAAATAGTGTATATATTTTACTGCCTTAAAAGCGACTGCTTGGGTAATTTTAAGTTACACCACATTCAAAGATTTATGTACCCGATTTACAACAGCACCCTTTTCATATTTGTCTGATTTAATTTAATGATGGAGTTATCCTTGTTTTACCGTCTGAAAGTTTCATTTGTGGTTTTTCTATATTTAGTCTTACGCATGCGGGTTTATGCAGCAGATTAAAGTACATCAACAGTCCCTTTATAGTTTATATATATTGTTTATATATAATATTACTTTACTACTCCTAGGGACAAGAAACTTCTGGAGATTATCTTGTCATTAAAATTGTAGAGATTAAGATTTAAATTGTGAAGATTAAAATTAAAATTATAGTGATTAAGATTAAAATTGTAGAGATTAAGATTAAAATTGTTGAGATTAAGATTAAAATTGCAGAGATTAAGATATAAATTGTAGAGATTAAGATTAAAATTGTAGAGATTAAAATTTAAATTGAAGAGATTAAGATTAAAATTGTAGAGATAAAGATTAAAATTGTGAAGATTAAGATTAAAATTGTAGAGATTAAGATTCAAATTGTAGAGATTAAGCTTAAAATTGTAAGATTAAGATTAAAATTGTAGAGATTAAGATTAAAATTGTAGAAAATAAGATTAAAATTGTAGAGATTAAGATTAAAATTGTAGAGTTTATGATTAAAATTGTAGAGATTAAGATTAAAATTGTAGAGCTTAAGATTCAAATTGTAAACATTAAGATTAAAATTGTAGAGATTAAGATTAAAAGTGTAGAGTTTAAGAACCTAGAAAGAAATAATTATATTAAAAGAGTAAAAATACAACAATTAGAATTCTTAAGGTTAAGGGTCATTTAAAATACCGCTTGTAGTGTACGCTGTAGCCTGTGTAGCCCCTTCAAATCAAAATTTATCTAGAATAAAATTTGAGAGAAGCTTTCCTTGGGAAATTAGAAAATGTAAAGAAACTTTTAGTTTAAACCTTAATCCTAAACCTAGTTTAGAATAAATATAGAGCTGAGGTTGGAACTTTTGTACTGTTAATCCTCTAAGAAAGCACTTTTGTAGTTAAGCCAATTCCTTCTGGATAACGCTTACGATCAATTTGAGATCGCAAAATGAATATCAGCTGTTAAACATTTGTTTCAAATATTATTTACTTACGACCGAGGGTCATGATAAAATTATAATAATAATATTTAAAAAAGAATTTTAAGAATGTTAATCTACATTTGCAAGTTTAATTTTTAAGGAAATTTTTCACACATTTATATGCTTTTCAAACTAAAATTCAAACTTGCATATTTAACTTTCTTTCAACATTTTAAATTTAATCTTTAGATTTTAACACTCTAGTATATAAAAGTTTAAGTTTATTTCATCCTTTAAACTTTTTCTTTACAGTTAAATTCTTTTTCGATTTAACACAAAATAAATTAAATTAAATTGAGACAATACAATTCTTATCCGGCATCAGATCAGCACACTGCTCACCGTAGTTTCGATATAAGTAAAGAATTCTATTCAATCGTTACATTTGGATCTATAATTGGATTATAAGATTTGAATAGACAGATAGAAAGATAGATCTTGCCGCATTTGCAATTCTATTGGTCCTGAGTACTCACCATGCATGTGAGCGAACCATTATTGGATAAGACGCTAAAACTACTGTGGCTTTTACTTTCAACGGTCAAAATTGCAGCGTACTGTACACTGTACAACCTTTATGTTTACTTTTTTGTCAATATTCTAAAAATCTAGTCAAACGAACAATTTAAAGGAGTAGTTCAGGAAATTAAGAATTAAGGAAGTGCTCGCAGTGTGACTTAAAAGTAGCTAATGAGGATTCACTGAAATGTGAACAGCGAATTGGAATTAAAAACCCTGTAATGATATTATGTAATACCACTACCATCCAACTTTTAGAACAAAAAATAAAAAGCTTTCAAAAAGATCATTAGGAAAAATGCTCTTGCAAGTATATTCATTAATAAATAATTAAATATATTTGATATATGATGTAGCTAACTATAAACTCTATATTTTCCGATTCTTTGTCTTAAATCAATAGGTTGTGCCCCCCCCCTCATGGCACAAACGTTGTATAATAAATGGATACCTATTTATATGGCTATTTGAACTATTTCTCTCATGCACTCTCGACCGGAGAAATAGTTCAACTTTCCTCAGCTGGTTTAACTAATTCTCGCAATTTATTAATTCCAACCTCTCTGAATCCAATAACCTATTACTTTGCTTGTATTTTGTGAATATAATTAGAATAATATTGAAAGGGGGTATAGGCTGATATCGAATTGAATTCGATATCGATTGCTTCTAATTTTACTTTTATCCGTTGCTTATGTAAGGAGAAAAGGGTTAAAAACGATTCATGTACCGATATCAGCCTAGATACCCCCATATACCGATATCAGCCTATACCCCCATATACCGATATCAGCCTAGATACCCCCTTTTATTCATGACGAACATTCCCTTTAAGAATACTTGTATTACTTGTATAAGAGAAAATACAATTTCAGACTAAATTGAATTAAGTTGGTTCTTGATAAAACTAGATCAGATTATAGAGCACAAGCATAGATTACATTTCCCTTAGTATGGAAATAAATTAGATTTTAAAAATAATTCTTGGAAACAATTACATATTCTACTAAGTACTAGCCCAGCTTTGCCTGTTTTTTTTTTCTTTAAAAGTCAAATCACTCAACTGAGCCTCGAATAAAGTGCATTACAGCTTTAAAATATTCATACTCAGGGCTACAAAATGTTAAAATAGGTTAGTAAAGTCAAACCAATGACAACACCCTGGTGAAAATTCAAAGACAGCCAGGTAAGAACAGCTGACGCATAATTCACATGGGTTTACCCAGCCTAGAATTGTTGCAAAAAGCGCGATTGGGTACACTAGACGGGTTGGTACGAATTAACTACTTGTACTGGTTTGGATCATGCATAGATGGAAGTTATGAAAATTTTCAAAACTGTGTGGATCTCTGAGAATATTAAGAACGATGATTGTTATTACTAATGATATTGTAAATTATCATAATTATAATTATTACAAATGATGTTATAAATTATCATAAATAATTATCAAAATTATAATTATTATTAATGATATTACTAATTATCATAATTATAATTATTATCAATGATATTATTCCCAGTGAAGGAAGCGGAGAAGATTGAGCAGCAGCTGAACAACCTGACCAAGAAGTTCCAGAGTATGGAAAGCCAGTTTGATGTTGTGATTGAAGATCTCTTCAACGCCAGCATCAAGCTAGAGGAGAAGGAGAAGGTAAATCTTAAACAATGGGATACCAGAGCTGAATGAGACATCCTTAATCCCGATTACTTAATCTGAGTATTCAATGGACACACTTTTAATTTCCCTCTGAAACCGTTCTTTCTTGGATATAGTAGAGAAAAATCAAAAATCGTTTTTTTTTAATTAGAGAGTTCCTCCCATTTCTTATATATTCTTAAATGGCGCGCAAAATTTCAAATTTATCGGCTTCATAACGCGACTCTGATTGGATGAATTTTATACACTTTTCATGATACAAGTACCAGATTAGATTAGTCTCGATATTATGTAAAAGAGAGGATCAAGCATTAATCTCGATATCCACCATTCTAAAGTTTTAAAGCTCAGGGGCACCATGTAAAATTTTATGTTCATCAGTTTGAAAAGGAAAAATTAATAATTTCTTTTAATTCTAATTTTTCTGAGAGTAAATGATATTACTTTGTTAAGAGCTGCAGGTGTTAAAGGGAGGGATTGCCTAAAAATGAAAGGTGTATAGGCCGACTTGAATTTGGTTTTGATCGCTACTAAGTATACTTTTATTTGTTGAGTATAAAAGAGAAAGTGGTTAAAAACGCCAATTATACCCAAGAGAGTAGAACCCCTATAAATCCAAAAAGTGGTATTATTCCACCCGAACCGTAAATAAGTCATTTAAATTTAAAACTAAACTCTTAAAACTCTGTGGACGACGATTTTTTGGCCGGTAGTTGTCACTCGCAAGTAAAATCCTTAAAATTTTAAGAGCTAGAGATCTAATAATCTTTAATTATAAAATGCCACTATACCTTTGAAACCTAATGTTGTATATCTTTGATATTAAACTATTAAACTATCAGGTTGCAAAGATATGGAAATTCTAAAATTATAAAACTTATGACTGAGTTATCTATTTCTTTATAAAAAATGATGGGAAGAATAAGATTAAAGCTTAACAAAATTAATAGGATTAAATATAAAAAATAAAGAGATTAAACTAACATGAAATTTGACAAGAAACGTGAATAAAGGAATTTTATAAGAAAAAAGTATGAAAGGCGGAAAATAGAAAAATGAGCCTAAAATAAAACATTCTGCAGAGTACAATAATTATAATAATAATAACTGCCAATCTGAGATAAAAAGCCAAACAAAATGGGGTTTCCATATTTTTCTTATATTTTCGGTTCCCTGGCACTTGAAGTTTCTATAATACATCATTTGGAAGATCATTTAAAGACTAAATATAGTCAAGGCTGAAGAACAAATTAAGCCTTCAGATCGCTATATTTATTATGCTATGGGCCTTCATTAAACCTTCAGATCGCTATATTTATTATGCTATGGGCCTTCATTAAACCTTCAGATCGCTATATTTATTATGCTATGGGTCTTCATTGAAGTCTCATCTGTTGAGGGTAAATCTGTAGATTTGAAGGAAAATTCTTCCTTAAAATCGTTCGCTTTAGATCCTTCAGATCTGGTAAACTATTAATTTCTCAAGTTATGTCTTGTTTGAGTTTACTAAAGTTTCAACAGCCGGAATTCTTAAAAATAATTTAATTAAACTATTTAATAGTTCCATCAATCAATTAATCACACAATGGTCGGCGTTTATATCAATCAAGCTTTTTATTTAAGTTTTAATTTCTTACAAGATTTCCAAATTACAAGTTTTCACGTTAGCAAGGAGAAGCTGTTAATTTACAGCTTTTCTTTGTTTCCATTCCATGCTGTTTGCAAGCTATGGTAGAAATCAAAAATTGTAATGGAAAGTCGTCTTCATAGTATTGATATATATATATACGACGACGAATGTAGTAGTTTAATGATATACCTCAAGCATATATTAATAATAAAATTAAGTTATTTTTTGTGGTTTTTAGTGTAAGTTCTTAAGTAGTTTGTTGATCAAAATATTTTTGGGTTCCCCTGAGGCCGAATTTTAAGAATTTAAACCGCATCGCCGAACCGCCAAAAACCATGGTTTCAAATAAGTTCGGCCGGCTCAAATCTCGAAACACTGATATACACTTTAAAGTGGAACCAACCATGTTTGAGTCTAATCTAAAATTTGAGAAACGGCTCAAATTCTGTTAATTCGGCATCTGATGTAATATAACTTCATACAAATCTGTTTATCCTGCCAGGTCGCCGCTAATGCTGAAGCTGATGTTGGTGGATTGTCCCGCAGAATTCTGCTCATGGAAGACGAGGCCGATAAAAGTGAAAACCGGTTGGCAACAGCGATTAGGTAATTTCAACGAGGTTGTAAAATCTAGAGTGATAATGTACGCTAATCCTTTCTAATGTAACGGCCGGGAACTACAGCAAGAGCGTTATAATATTAGAATAGTAAACCGTGAGTTAAGCCATATCAAGGTTATAATGCAAGGAAATTAATTTCAGAGGTTTACGCATCTTTTTTACTGCAATGTACTGTTTCTGATCGGTAATGTAAACATGAGACGGATGTCGAAGCCTGACATGGAATCCACCTTTCACAAAAAAAAATCAATGAAATATTCTGGTCATAGGAAACTATTATGTGAATTATCAAAATTATCAAAATGTAATGCTTTTAACCTCCTCGGATATTAAACGAACACTGATGCATCGACTCTTGTTTACAAATTCCGTCAAGAGAGTACTGGTTTCAATATGTACACAAAGTATACGCAACTGCAATTTACTTTTCTTTTCATTATAACCTTGGGCCATATAATCCCCTTCTGTCATTTGTAAGTGTACAAAAATATATATTTATATAAATATGTATTTTTGTATATTTATATGAATATACATCTTCTATCTCTCTAAACGAGAATATAAAATAAAAAAAGAAAATTTCTGGAAACTTAATTTGAGGAAATTGATTTTTACCAAATTATTAATTTCCTTTATTTTTATAAATAATTTTGGGCCGGCGATATCCGAGCTGAATTATAGAATGTTATTCCAGGGGAAATTAGTTCCAAAACTAACTTTTGGCCCATTTGTAACACTGAGTGTTAGAAATGGGCACAAATTGCATGAAAGACTGGGTTTTTAGGATCCCGGCCCATATCCAGAGTAAAAGAAGTCGATAGTTAAACTACAACCAACATTTTATTAAGCATTACGAGGACAACAATTCCCAATTTAAAACTATTTTCTGGAATATATATATATATATATATATATAAATAAATAAAGATAATATTAAAATTTTGATTTCTCAACTCAATAATGATTTTAAATTGTTAAAGAACAATATGTTTTTTTCTGTTTTGTTTATATTTTATCTTATCAAAAACACAAGTGGCGTAAATGCTAGAAAATTGACATTGATATGAATTCGAGTAATTGTCTCAATACCAGGATATGTTCCAAAAACGCGACATGAGCTGAAATGCGGTAATTGTTTAAAAAGAGGTATATGTTCGAAAATGAAATCAATTGTCATTAAAAAACTAATTCTCACACCTTATTATTTGTTTAAGGTTGACATTTTTGTTTCAAAATATAGTTTTAGGTATTGTTTATGATATGTATTGTGTAGTTTTGTTCAACTCGGCTTGGATTTAAAGATATATGCGCGCTCTCGGAAAAGATAACTTTGCAGACTTGGCCCATTTCTAACACTGAGTGTTAGTTTTGGAACTATTTTCCTCTATATTCTTTATGAAAGATTTACCATTCATGATTCATAAAATCAAATCTAGAATTGGGTGGTTGGTATTAGCCAGTTTTTTTTTATTTTAAACCTTTTAAAAAGTTTTCACAAAATTTAAATGTTTAGTGGCCTGCTTCGAGCTTCATTGAGGGCAGACGAACAAATAAAAGCGAGAAATCAGTTGGTTCAGGTATTCTTGAAAGGGACTATAGGAGTATAGTTTCAACTTTCAAGTGATCCTCCATTTTTAAAGATGGCAATGTCGGCTTCCCAACAGTACCCTTGAAATCTTTATCTGATAAACAACGTGGAAGATAACGTATTTTATATATACCTGAGCTGAAAACTTTAGAATGGAATATCCTTAATCCCGACCGGTTAATTAATCTGGAGATTAATAACAAGAGGAGAACAAGCATTATTTAATCTGGAGATTAAGAAAAAAAGTGGATCAAGCATTGATCCCGATATCCACCGTTCAAAAGTTTTCAGCTCTTGAAAAGTATTTAATTCTAATAACTTCTTGGTAAAAATACGCAAGTCATTTTTGAATAGTAGAACCCGCAATAAAAATAATCACTTTTCATTATTGTAAAGATGAATATATAATTCATATTAAGTATATAAGATTACCGTTGTGAATCGGACATTCTAATTTACAAATGGAGGGTAACTTGAAATTACGCCTACAGTTCCTTTAATACTCCTTTTGTAATTCTTTATTTTCCAATTGGAATTAATTCTTTCTTATCTTTTTAAAACTTAATTGTTTATTCTTTTAATTACTGTTTAATACTTAAAAACAAAAGACATTTTTACAGTGATCCATTAAAAAGTTTTAAGCTCTCGCGCCAAAAATTGATGAGAATTTTCCAATTACTTCTTGAAATTAAATCTAAAAAAATACACTTTACAGTTCTGAAATGTACAATGACATTGATGGTAAAGATCTACGTGGTTTATCATTTTAATCATTCTTAGCAAGCGATTTTTTTGTAAATCATAAAAATGTTTTAGAAAAAAATTATTTTTTGTTTTAATTTATTTAAGGATATCTCGTCTAATGAAGAGAATATTGATGAGTTGGAGAATAAGTTGAAAGATGCGAAATACATTCTTCAGGAATATCTCAAATCTTTTTCATAAAAGTATTTTTAATACTTATATTTTTGCAACCTTAGATATTTAAACTATGAATTCTGTTATATCAAATAATCTGAATTGAAATATCAAAGGTTTACACCATTGGGTGATAAACATATAGGGATTATAGAATCTGAATTTGTGGCAAAAACTCAATTCCTTTAGCAAAATCCCAGTTTTAAAGCATATTAGAAATTTAGGAAAATTTAAAAAAAATCACTTATTTAAAAAAATCAAAAAAGATATGTTTTAAGATAATGAAATTTCTAAAAGTGGCTTGATAATTATTTTTATTTTTACTATTTTCTGATAAAAAAGAATCCATTGATCAAATCGAAATGTCATTTTAATTAATTAACGACTTTTTCACGGTTTTATAAAAAGAAATTCATTTGAAAATCAAACAGAGAAAAAGTTTTGCCTTTTTCAATTGAAAAAGCATATTTCAAATTTTTTAAAAATTTTCTCAAATATCTATTTCAATATTCTTAAAAATGAATTTTATTCATTCTTTTAAGTTTTATTAATTTGTTTAAATTATCTTCTGAACACCTTTTATTAATTAGAACTTTTAAAGTTAACCAAAGAAAAGTTTTTGCTGAATTTATCCTTTCTTCTGTTTTTCATGAAAGATGAAGAACTTTAAAATTTTTAAAAACTATTTATAAATATTATATATCTATATTTAGAAAGCGTGAAACATCTTATAAATACGACTTAATCTTATTTCCGCCGTCCAAACACATCCTTCTTTGTGAGTATTTCTTATTAAAAAAGGCAGTTTAACTTCATTGTGGGATGATTATTTTCTCTATAAGAAAGTTAACATGCAGTACGCGATATACTGTAGTAAATACCTTACTCCAATAAATACTTTTAGATCAGTACCAATCCAGGTATCTGTCTCGCATAATACTACAAGATACAACTCAAATTACTTAAAAATGAGTTCTCCTCTGAAATAACTATTTACATTATAATTATTTGAGAATTTCTGTATAGAAATGCTAGATGTAAACTTCTATCTAGAAATGCTAGATCTATTCTTCTATCTGGAATTGATAGATCTATTCTTCTATCTAGAATTGCTAGATCTATTCTTCTATCTAGAATTGCTAGATCTATTCTTCTACCTAGAATTGCTAGATCTATTCTTCTATCTAGAATTTCTAGATGTAAACTTCTATCTAGAAATGCTAGATGTAAACTTCTATCTTGAATTGCTAGATATATACCTCTATCTAGAATTGCTAGATCTATTCTTCTATCTAGAATTGATAGATCTATTCTTCTATCTAGAATTGATAGATCTATTCTTCTATCTAGAATTGCTAGATCTATATTTCTATCTAGAATTGCTAGATCTATATTTCTAACTAGAATTGCTAGATCTAAAAGCTGAGATATGAGAATGTAGGAATCTGAACGAAAATATGAAGATATCAGTAGAAAACAAGCAAACCTAGAGACTGAGGTAAACATCGTTATATATTCAAACAATACCAAAGCTTTTATAATTTGCAAAATTGTAAAGATTACAAACATGTGTTGTGGCGAGTTTTTAGTTCCGTGTGGTGTTATTTCACTTTAACTTATAACGTATAAGAGTCAGAAATATAGTTATAAAAAAGTGGGCTTTCCCCAACAGGGCTGCACTGTCAATTTATTTGATTCATAAGGGTACCCTTTAAAGCTTTTCCTAATCATATATAAATGGGATATCAATGTTTATGTTTTAAAAACTTATAATTTTTATTCGTGGGTTCTCTATAGAAGGGACTTGCGCAGTTCTTGCATTCAGAAACAAAGGAGAAATTAATCAAATTAAACACTTTTCAAGTTAAAAAAACGACGTTATCTTCTCAATTATTGATCTGATTAAGGTGTCAAGGGTTGTGAAACAGGCATGCCTCTTTATAAACGGAGATGCACCTAAAATTACAGTTCCTTTATATCTACTTCTTTTAGCCTTTCAAAAGACTCTCTTTAACTCACTTTGTCTAATTTTAATGTTATAGTTTGAAAAATTTGTATGGCATCACAGCCAAAATGATGTATATTGTGCTGCTCGAAAAATATTTCTAAAAACTCTTAAATCGTTGATCAACTGGATAAAATTATTTAAGTCGAAAAGTATTTTATTATTGCTAAATCAAATTTCATGTTATGTAAGTCCTACTATTATAGAAAACGTATTACACATATTTATGAATAAATATTTATCATATATTATGTATTGTGAAGATATATGATGCCTATTATGATATATTCACACTTTTATATCAATTATTCATTGATCCTGCTCTATACTCCGCACTAGATATTTTGTCCGCAGTGTTATCATAACAATATCAAACCCACAGAAAACATTTCAACAGATTTCAATCTAGATTTTATTTAATTCAAATTTTTCTTGACAATCTTATTTCTTCATGCTCAACAATGAATATACTTTGCTTGTTTGTTTGTATCCAATAAATATGACCGGCCCAGGAAAGGTTTATGGCTGGTCAAAGCTAAACTAATTTTCCCGGAAAACAATTTCGACATTTATTAATTTTGAAATTTCACCCTGAAAGCCCAGTGGATAACAATTGTTTATTAGAAAAAATATTCATGTCGTATCGCCTGTAGATATTATAAAAAGTTTGTAAAATATATTTTATTTAAACATATTTCAGGCTCAGCGTGCTACTGAGAGAGCTGACAATGAAGAGAAGAAAATCAGGTTTCGTTCATTTTCCAACCTTGCTCATTTATACTTTACATTTTCCAACCTTGCTCACTTATCTCATACATTTTCCTACCTTGCTCAATTATACTTTAAATTTCCTAACCTTGCTCACTTTTTACATTTTCCAACCTTGCTAACTTATACTTTACATTTTCCAACCTTGCTCACTTATACTTTACATTTTCCAACCTCGCTCATTTAATTTTACATTTTCTACCTTTAATCTACTCTATCTACTATCAAGTGAGCTGGAGGAGGAGCTCAAGGTTGTCGGGAACAACCTCCAGCAGCTGGAGGTCAGCGAGGAGAAGGCTATGGCTAGGAAATCAATCAATCAATCGAATAATCAGCAAACTAATTAATCAATCAGTCAGTTAATCAGTCAATCAATTTATTGATTTAAAAATAAGTTAGTAAATCAATTAATAAATCAGTCAGCCAGTTATTAATATAAATAAATGTCGATCAATTAATTCATAAATCAATCAATCAACTAATTCATCGACAAGACAATCATTTCAATTTAAGTCTGTTTAAGTTCATCAATCATGATCATATTAAAGTCAATAGTCAATCAATCAGTCATTTAGTCCCTAAACCAAACAATCAATAATTCAATTAATAATCAATTAATTAGTCAATTAATTAATTTATCAATCAACTTAAAGGATTATGATAGATAGATAGATAGAAAGATAAAGTTTATTGTTAAAATACATGTATTTGTGTACAAAACGAGTTTACAATTACAAATTGATGATTATTTTATGATGATGATGATCAATTTATCGAGTTTACAATTACAAATTGATGATTATTTTATGATGATGATGATCAATTTATCGAGTTTACAATTACAAATTGATGATTATTTTATGATGATGATGATCAATTTATCGAGTTTATTTGATGTTTCGAAAGGGATATTTGTTAATAAAAACTTTGTGTTTAGAATGGTGAATTTCTAAAATCAGAGAATAAATATCAAAAAACATTTTTAGTTTTTAACTTGTAATTTTTATAAGTGTTAGACGATATTAATGATATGCATAATTAGCAAATATGTAAAGAAAACTTCAAGATAAAGTGACTTTCAAAATTAGTTTGTTGGTAAATTTTCGTCTTAAATATTCATTAATGAATAATATACATTAACGATTAAATATTCATTAAAAAAATATAATTATTAAAATTTGTATTTTCATTGATTGATTGATTGATTAACTGACAGGGAGGAGACCTATCAGAAGCAGATACGAGAATTGATGAACAGGTCACCTTCTTAAATGATTATATTGATCACTTATTTTTTTATTTATTTATACAATTATTTATTTCTCTATTTATTCATATACTTAAGTATTTATGTATTTTTTTATTAATTAATTTATTTGGTTAATTGTTCATTTCTTTATCTATTTTCATTTTTACATATTTACCTACATTTTATTCATCTAAAGGTCCAGCTAACAGAAAAAATGAATTTTTTCATCCCAGTTTTGAACCAGTCCGCAAACTTAGAACAAAAGACGTAAAAAAGTCGAATTTTTCATCCCAGTTTTTAACTAGTCACAAACTTGGAAGAAAAATTGTAAACAAAATAGACTTTTTCACCTAAGTTTTTAACACAAACTTTAGTTCCAATTGTTCATGACTAGTTTTTTTACAAGTTCAGAATAAGACAAGAATAAGATCAGAATAAGACAAGAATAAGATCAGATAAGAAGATTATCAGAATTAGACAAGAATAAGATCAGAAAAGAAGATTATCAGAATAAGACAAGAATAAGATCAGAAAAGAAGATTATCAGAATAAGACAAGAATGAGATCAGAAAAGAAGATTTTTTTTAACACAAACTTTAGTTCCAATTGTTCATGACTAGTTTTTTTTACAAGTTTTACTGCCAAAATTAGCTTTGAAAGTTGAGTAAAAAATGTTCAGGTCATTGAATATCAGTCAAGTTGTTAAAAAGAATCTGCATAGTAGTTGAATCTGTTTTGGAATGGATTTAACACTGAAAAGGTCGCTAAAATAGCACATAGAAGGCTACCTAGACAATCATGCAGCTGTCAGCTTAGAGAAGATAAATGAACATCTTCAACAAGGGATTCATGGATCTGTGAACTCAAGAAGGGCCTTCAGAATAAGACAAGAATAAGATCAGAATAAGACAAGAATAAGATCAGAATAAGACAAGAATAAGATCAGAAAAGAAGATTATCAGAATAAGACAAGAATAAGATCAGAAAAGAAGATTATCAGAATTAGACAAGAATAAGATCAGAAAAGAAGATTATCAGAACAAAGTCTGATTATGATGAAACTTGAACCGAAGTATTTAGTGCATATATATAACCTTCTACCAATTAACTGTTTTAATCATGTAATCATACTGATTCAGCTTTTACAAGAAAACTAGCTGAAGTGCCCAGCGTTGCCCGTGGAACATTAAAATTTTGAGAGAAATAGATTTTTTTTTTAAATATATTATTTGATTTTCGAAAAAAATATAGAATTTTTTTTAGCATTTGTTACTCCCCGAAAACCCATGGGTTCCTTCAAAAAAATTCAGCCCATTCGGTGCCTTGGCTCACCCTTTATTTAAAGATTTTTTTATCTTCATTATAAATTTGAATTATTAAAGTGACTGTAAGCGAAATTAAAAGTGACTCTCCATTCACAACGGTACCCTTGAAACCTGAAAAAAGTAGAAAATATTGTCGTTCTTCTAGATATAAAAGTAATTCCTTTATACTTAATTATACAAAGCTATAAAGGATACCGTTGTGAATCGGGCATTGCCATCTGTGCATGGAGGTTGGCTTGAAATCACTCTTACAGTCCCTCTAAATAATCTTGTTTAGGTTAAAGATGGCTGAAACTGAAGCCGAGAATTCTGAAATGAATATTCAACGACTCAATATTAGGTTGGAATAACAAATAAAAGTAATTTTTGTGAGAGGTGTGAGGCTAGGGGGAAGTGAGCTCCCTTGTCAGGGTTTGAAGCAGTAGTCTGTAGTTTGAAGCAGTAGTCTGTGGTTTGAAGCAGTAGTCTGTGGTTTGAAGCAGTAGTCTGTGGTTTGAAGCAGTAGTCTGTGGTTCGAAGTAAAGAAAACAGAAATTTTTTGATTGATATCGTCCTACTTATATATTTGCTTATTGTGTTCTTATGAATTTTTTCCAACACGTGCAAATTGAAAGTTGAGTTTGGTTTTTCATTATATAGTCGCTTTTATATCAATACTCAATACGTAGAAAGAAAAAGTGGGAGAAAACCTTGATTTTTAAAGGTTTAAAAGGATATAGCGCGCACGTCAAATTATTAAAAAGTATGGTTTACTTTTTCGAAGTTAATTTTTTTTATTTTGTATTCCTCTAAATGTTTAATGACCCACGTGGTTTAAATAAAAATATTTGATAAGATTAGGTCCAGGATTTTTCTTACGCAATTTTTTTCTTGTATAAGATTTTAAAATATATTTTCAACTATGATGTTGTTACGCAACTACCCAGTTCCCCTAAATATGAGTATGTGTTTACTATGTGGTGTTCCTACGGATCTGACCGGAAGCTGCTCTGCTCTTAGATCTGTCCATAATAAAACCAGGATAAGTCTTCAAGCTTTATTGTACAGTTCAATCTATAAATTTAACAATGAATATAGATCGAAAAAGTATTATAAGCCACAGAACCGGTCCTTCTCGTAATATATATGTTGCGTAACCCCCCCCCACAGGATTTGGTACGTAGATATATATAACTCCGTCATAACCATATCAGGATTTGGTACGTAGATATATATAACTCCGTCATAACCATATCAGGATTGCTTAACTACGTTATATATAACAGCGCATAACTTGTAATTACGTAAGGACCCAATTCTAATCTGAACTGAAGAAATATACCATAGTTAATATAGACACTCTGTACTGTTTACTGCGAGAGAGTAATCCTTCCCTGTTTTGATAAACAGGTTGAGGATCCTCCCCTTTGATTTTGGATTGATAGTTATGAGCTTCCGATTGATATCAATAGCTTACAAGATCGAACCCAGTAGTAGTGGCGTTGATAGATTTTATCCATGTGGTTCCATGTTTTGATTAAACAAGTTCAGGATCGCACCATTTGATTTGGGATCGATCATTACGGGATTGTAGCCGTACTTGACATTGATAGTCAAGGGAATCTGATTTGTACTTGGATAGATACTTGTTCGGGAAACTTTTATGAAGTAGGGCGTTTACTACATACATATTCCTATATATTTTTATAGTTACATTGTCTATTATTTACATTATTATTATTATTATTATTATTACATCTACTATTGAAATTCATAATTCTGTTTTACCTATAATAAAGATGTGATAAAAAAGAAAGAAACAAAATGAATCATATTTAAATCACTTCGTAAACTGAGAGTTCCGATTTTTGTGTTAGAGTTTGCAACCCTTGGATCAGTGTGATGACAATAATAATATTTTCAGTTATTTCACAATTAAGTATTTATTAGGTCAAATGTTCTTTTTTATGCTAAATTTCCTCAAAAACAATACGATTCTTTATATTCATGTTCATGTAGTTGCCATAAAGGCTNGCCTCCCTTTATGACAACTCAATGTATTAATTTGGACTTTGTTGCATTTTTGTTTCATTTGTTGATCATTTTCTAGATGAAGAATGTGTTTAGGATTGATCAGATCGAGGATGAATTGATCCATGAGAAACTGAAGATCAAAGCTGTGTCTGATGATGTTGATGGTACTTTCAAGCAGATGGCGTACATCTAATCAATCAATCAAACATCTAACTCAATCATTCAATCAATGAGTGGTTGTTAAAACAAGATAGATAAAGGAAGTCCTGGAACCGAATTTAATGCATTTGAGCTAGGTCGCTAAAATCCAAAATTACCGATTGAAAGTAAAGACTCATGAGGATTTTACTCGACGATTCAGGATTTGAACCGACGGTTTGTGGTTCAGCGACCTATCCACTTGTTTAAATACGATTCCTGTCAAATTGCGCCAAAAATGAATAACAGAGAGTGTCCTACCAAACCTGAAAGTTGATAAACAACTTTAACGACTCTCTGAAACTTATAAACTTCTGAATTTTACAAAGGAATTGAGTCTTTGCCACAAACCCTGATTTTCAAATTACCATATCTTTGCAACCCAGTTTCGTAGACATTAGATATTTCAAACCGTTAATTTTGTTATATAAAATAATCTAAGCTTGAAGTTTACACCATCAGGTTGAAAAGACTCAGTTTCTTTTAAGATATTTAGCCATCAAATATTAAAAAGTATCTTTTCTGCATTAAAAAGTCTTATTGTTGTGTCCAAAATAATTTTGCAAATCTATTAATAATAAGTGTACAACTGCAAAGAACCATGAATGCAAAATATTCTTTATGCCATCCATTCAAAGTCTAAGGCGCAATTTTTCTTTTGCAATATGCTGAATTGCAATTACTTAAAGGACCTTCTATATTTAAAATATATGGTAAATTCTTAATTATAGATATAATAATGTAAATTTTTTTAATAACTATATTTTTTGCCATTCAGAGCTAGCCTAGACTAACAAATATATATTCTATATTTTATGTACAGTGTACATTTGAACATTAACAGTAATTGATCATAGCCTTGTAATCTGAATTAATAAAATGAAATAGAAAAATGCTTTTCAGGATTTTTATTAAAAGTTTTAAAGAATTTAATTACTTTGTGATTTTAACATGGAATACTTTTCATATTAGAAACATTAATTAATCAATTTATGAGTAGAAATATTGAAATATTGAAAAAACTACAACTTTTTATGATCATACTTTTGTGAATTCCCCCCCCCCCCATCCTTGCTTGGTTATTGATTAATTGGCTTCAAAATTAACAGAACTAAGGACAGCCTGCAATTTTTTTCTTGTTTTTGTCTAAGGTGAGAGAAGAAAAGTCCAGGAAGAAAAACAATCGTGATTTTGTGAGATTCCTACACTCTAAGAAAATAAACAAAATTTGTTGTTAAATATTTGACAACATCTGCTTGGATCGGTAATAAAGATACATTTTTTTATTAAAACTTAAATTTTCTCTCAGTGTAGTTTCCTAAAACTTTGAGATTTCAATCTAGAATATTCTGTGTCCATCATGGTTTAAAAAATTTGAATAAAATATAAATATTTTTTATTCTACCACTTTCTTAAAAATTGACTAGAATGAGATTGTTCATTTGCCTTGTAAGTTGTACAGTCTGGATGTGTACTGTACTGCTTGCTCTAGTAAGTTCCAAGGATATAATGCAAGGAAAGTTAATTGCGTCGTGTATACTCTGCGTACACATTGAAACCAGTTCTCTCTGGGCGGAATTTGTAAACAAGAATAGATGCATCAGTGTTCGTTTAGTATTCGAGGAGGTTAAAAGCATTTAATTTTGATAATTTTGAAAATTCACATAATAGTTTCCAAGGACCAGAATATTTCATTGATTTTTTATATGAAAGATGGATCCCATGTCAGGCTTTGACATCCGTCTTGTGTTTACATTACCGCCCAGAGTCCGAAATTTAAAAGAGTATTGTTGAACGAAACTCCCGAGTTTCCTTTTTGGGGTCTTAACATTTGTGTAGATTTTGATTTAAGAGGTTTAAAAAAATGGAAAATATGAAGAAAGTAAATAAATAATATTTCATGACAAAAAGATTGATATCCACAAAACGGCCTAACCCCATTCATGAAACCCGGGTTTCAAACCTGGTTTTCATAATGATACCCTGTCTTAAGTTTTGAGCTCTGAGACAGTACACTGCAGTACAAAAGATGTGTACACTTCTGAAATAACTTTCCTTGCATTACATCCTCATCACATCATTACATCAAGGTCGGTTGATATGGACCAGAGTTTCCAGTGCTTTTAGAAAGTAAATATTAATATTTCTTAAATATAAAATTGAAAACAAACAACATGTTTAACAATAAGAAGCGTTTCTGTAGATAAATAAGGACAAGTCTGTCATCCTTCATCAGTTCAAGGTTTAACGGGTAATGTTGTGAATCAGAGGTGCCTCTCTTTAAATGGAAGGTCCCTTAAATTTAAACTTACAGTCCCTTTATAAAAAGTAAGATTTTACATCTTATATTTGTAGTTGCATGCATTAGAGAGTCTTTTTAACATCTTAAACAAATTGTTCTATTCTATTCTATTCTATTATATTACATTCTATTCTATTCTATTCTATTCTATTCTATTCTATACTATTCTATTCTATTCTATTCTATTCTATGCTATTCTATTCTATTCTGGTTTTAACAAAAGTTAATTAATTATCGAGTTCCAGGAATTTAATTTCAGTTCTTTGATGCAAGACTAATAGAGTCTAATAGAGACTAACTGATGAAAAATGTTTGAAACAATTTAATATCCTCTTAAGAATGTAAAATTTGTCTAAAATATGCATAAAAATAATTAGATTCAGATCCATATGAAATTAAGGTCTGTCACAAATATGACAATATTATTCTTTCTAAAGGGATTGACGTAGTAAAATCTTAAAAGAGGTCTGCTCTATTCACGGCGGTACCCTTCAAAACTTTAACTGATCAATCATGTATAGAAGATAGTACCGTTTTCCTAGACAAGAATCCTTCGTTGTTGCCAAAGAAAGAAATGCGCAAGTCACTTTTATAAAGAACTTATAATTAACAAAAAAATCATATTTCAATGTAAAGACATGGATATCTCATTGATCCTTGATCATGCAAAGCTTTTGAGGGTACCAGTGTCAACCAATCACAAACATCAAATTTTCCACTGCTTTACAATTAACAAACCTGAGGCCGAATTTAAAGAATTTGAGCCGCGGCTCAAATATGGTTGGTTCCACTTAAAATTGTATTCAATTCCTCAAGATTTAAGCCGGCGCCCAATTAAAACCAGGTTTTGAGGGATTTGAGACGTGGCTTAAATTCATTAAATTCGGGCACTGATCATTTGGACATTTCTGAACAGGTGATTTAGAAAATGAACTAAAATTAACTGTTTCTGTTATAGGATAAATTCTCAATTAGTTTTATGAAGAACCCACATTTGTAAAAACATCTTAGGGAGAAAATAAGGATTCATTTAAGAACAGCTAAGGTCAAAAAGCTACCATTGTGTTTCGAATATGCCACTCTAGATTCACACGAAATTACGTTTGTTTAAAAATTTATAAAGAAATTTTAAATTTAACAAGAGGAGAACAAGCATTATTTAATCTCGAGATTAAGAAAAAGAGTGGATCAAGCATTGATCTGGATATCCACCATTCTAAAGTTCCCAGCTCCAAGGATGAAACTTTTGTGTTAAGTATCATTAATCTGAAAAGCTTGATCTCGATGAACAATGGATATTTTTTAAATTAATTGAATTAAAATTAGAGAGATTTAAAGCCTAATAAATAATGAAGTTAATACAGTTTGAAATTTGACTTTTTTGCTTTGTTTAAAATTGATATTATCATGATTTAGAATATTGATATCATGATAATTGGTTCTTAAAGCAGGCTGCGGTTGCATGGTGAAATGTGCGTCCAAAATTCATGAAAAGACTTGGAGTAATGTTTTTGTTACCCTTTTATTTGTGTTACTCTAGGAATCAAGGAAATTTATTTTCGATGCATTGTATTTGTAAACTAAGAGCTTGAAATTATTCATGAAAACTAATTCAAATAAATAACACAAGAAACAAATATGAATTACCACATACGGAAAATCTAGATTTAATGGATGAAATGGATTCTGCAGTTAATCATCATTGGACTTTTAGCCAGAGGCCGAATTTAAAAATTTGAGCTGCGGCTTAAATTTGAGACGGGGCTAAAATATGGTTGGTTCCACTAAAATCGCATTCAATGTTTCAAGATTTAAGTCAGCGCTCAATTGAAAACGGTTTTGAACGAATTTAATACGCGGCTCAAATTCATTAAATTAGGACTCAGGATCTTTACTTTACACTGGAAGGGGAAGGGAAGGGGGAAAGAAAAGATTTCTCCTGGTCTGTTAAATAGTTTTAGAAGTCTCTTTTAGTTTATCACTTTCTAAATTAAAGTACAATATGAAGGGTTAATAAATTGTATATTTTAGATATATTAATAATTTGAGAACAACATCTTAACTTTACAAATTTTAGTGTTATATTATGATTTACTGATTAAGGAATTCTATAATTAAAAAGTGCATTAAACAATTCACAAAAATGCATTTTTCCCCCTGTCGCATTTTACGATAGATAAATGTTTATTAAGCACTTTTGGAAACCTTTTATCGCACTTTTACATTTAAAGGATATTTATAACAATTCTTATAATAATTCTAAATGCAATCACAGTTATTTCGGGGATTTCTAAACTATTGAATAGTTACATGAAATACCAAATTTAAAGTTGAATTTAGTTTTATAAATGCGGGAGAAATGTCCAATGTCCGCCCCTCTCTTTTTGGCTTCTGGTAAATAGATCATGAAGAATCATTCACAAAGGATGAGAATTTACAATAACGATATAAAACTTTTTGAAGATTTTATTTTATTCTTTGTATCGAATAGAGTATTTTAAATGAAAATTATGATTTGACAATCAAAGAAACAGGAGTATAGATACAGATAACAATAAACAGTGAAGAAAATCTTTATTAGTATCCTTGTTTGAGACTTTAAACCGGTTTAGCTGACTAAAAAACCGGTTTAGCCGCGATTTGAATATAGGTACGTAAGGACGATACATCTAGAAAACTTGTTTAACAGATTTAGAAAATCTGAAAACGGATAAATTGATCTTGAGACTGGTACAGTCGATCTAAAACCCAATTTAACATATATGAATACCGGTTTTGCCGACCCAAAACCAGGTTTAGCTAATATAGAAACCCAGTTTAGGTGATCTGGAAAACTGGTTAAGTTCAGAAACAATAAAAAATAGGGGAAAAAAACTGTGTTTACGTCAATAAATTCTTTTGCTTTAAAATTTTCCCTGACTGAGAGTAAAAAATCCAATATAGTCGATGTGAAAACCCAGAATTGTATCAATTAGAAAACCGGCTCAGCTGATCGAAAAACCAGCCAATACCGGTTTAGCAAATGTAGAAGACCAGTTTAGGAGATCTTAATACTGGTTTAGCAAATGTATAAGACCAGTTTAGGAGATCTTAATACCGGTTTAGCAAATATATAAGACCAGTTTAGGAGATCTTAATACTGGTTTAGCAAATGTAGAAGACCAGTGTAGGATATCTAAATACCGGTTTAGCAAATGTAGAAGACCAGTTTAGGAGATCTTAATACTGGTTTAGCAAATGTAGAAGACCAGTTTAGGAGATCTTAATACCGGTTTAGCAAATGTAGAAGACCAGTGTAGGATATCTAAATACCGGTTTAGCAAATGTAGAAGACCAGTTTAGGAGATCTTAATACTGGTTTAGCAAATGTATAAGACCAGTTTAGGAGATCTTAATACCGGTTTAGCAAATGTATAAGACCAGTTTAGGAGATCTTAATACCGGTTTAGCAAATGTATAAGACCAGTTTAGGATATCTTAATACTGGTTTAGCAAATGTATAAGACCAGTTTAGGAGATCTTAATACTGGTTTAGCAAATGTATAAGACCAGTTTAGGAGATCTTAATACCGGTTTAGCAAATGTATAAGACCAGTTTAGGAGATCTTAATACCGGTTTAGCAAATGTATAAGACCAGTTTAGGAGATCTTAATACCGGTTTAGCAAATGTAGAAGACCAGTTTAGGAGATCTTAATACCGGTTTAGCAAATGTAGAAGACCAGTTTAGGAGATCTTAATACTGGTTTAACAAATGTAGAAGACTAGTTTAGAAGATTTAAATAATGGTTTAACAAATGTAGAAGACCAGTTTAGGGGATCTTAATACTGGTTAAGCAAATGTAGAAGACCAGTTTAGGAGATCTAAATAATGGTTTAGCAACTGAAATAAGAAACCAGTTCACCAATCACAAAACCAGTTTAGCCGACCTGAAAACCGGTTTAGTCGATATGAAAACCGGTTTAGCCGATCTAAAACCCGGTTTAGCCGATCTAAAAACCGGTTTAGCCGATGTATGTTCTTGTAGTGTTAGCGCCACACTGTGGACAAGAGTCATCACTTTAATATTAACACATTTTAAATCAAAACGAATCAACGAATTTAAGATTCTGTTAATTTGTTTTCTCTCTTTAGAAATTTGATCCTTTATATAAAGTAAACTTTAGATAAAACAAAAATATCAGAATAATTCAATATTAAAATATAATCTTTAACTAATCTTGAAGTTGCAACAGACCAAGAAGGGTTTGACTTTACCGTGCATGAAATACAAAGGATATAGAAAAAAACTATGACAGATAGAAATAAGCATGCCTAAGCAATAACTTTCAATTTTCAGAGCAAAGTGAAGTAACAAAATTATATTCATTATTGTAAAGCATCATAAACTAAAATAATTATTTTTGTTTGGTTTACCAAACTTTTTATGTAGTATTTATTCCGAAATGAATAATGAACAATTAGGAAAAAAATGCCTTTTTTCATGCCACTTGCATAATAAATGAAGAAAAACGGGTTCTCTCTTGCATTTTAGCCTTGGTATTCATGCTTGTCTGAAAACAAGGCAGTACATTTTTGGACTCTGGAGAGAACAGTTTTTGTTTAATTCTCTTTTCAAATACCATCTGATGGAAAGAATATGTTTGCTATGTGCTTTGTAAAAGACGGGAAATTAGCGAAAATAATTAAAAATAATTTTTAGAAATAAATATTTCATCATTTGTAAACTGTTTCTCTGATATTTCTATGTTATTAAAACTATTAACACTAACAGATATAATAAAGATTCCGTATACTATGTTGCTGTCAAACAAAACCATTGTCTAAGACATGACAGCACTTCAAAATCGACCCGGTCGCACTAGCTAATTCATGATTATCATAACTGTGTAGATACAGTCTGATAGTTGTAAAGAATCTTTAAAAAATAATACAGATAACACAGACAGCACAACAGAGAAAATCTTTGTTTTTCGGGGGATTTGGACAGAAGAAACTTATATTTTTTACTGTTTTGATATTTGTGTTAAAGATTAGGTTTGAAAAGAAATCCTTAAAAATCTGTTGGTCTAAATGTATAGAATTTACCGACCTAAAACAAAAACTGCTCTCTCTTGTTCCAACTAGATAATCTATGATGTAATAAACATTCATTAATAATGTGTACACTGTAATATAAAAGCAATACTGACAATAGTTTAAATATTAATGATATATATTTATACAAGTAATCATTGGAACAAGTTATCAAGAGAAAATCTTCTAAAAGGTATAATCTTCTAAAAATATTAATAAGTATTAAACAATGTTAAAAGGGATTTTTACGAAACTTTCATTGAACGAAATTTGTGTAATTTTTTCAAAAATAACGAAAGAATTTCGTCAAAAAAAATACTGAATTTCAAGAAAAAGGACAGATATCTGTTAATACTTTTGATTCAAAATTATTTAACTTTTAGATGAAATCATTTTTCATATTTCTGCGAATTTTGCATGGTTGGGCGAAAATTATAGCGAAAATGGACAATATTTTCTGTGGCTTAACGAGAATTTCGCGAACGAGATTGAATGCAAATTTGCCATCAAACCCAACATACCTCAAAGTACAAGATCTTTGGCACAATCCCACAGATTTGGCGAAATTTTTGAAGTTAGATCATAAAGAAGAAGACCATGGATAAGAGCCTGCTCGGGCTACAACAACAACGAAAAGTGCTGAATTGATATTAAAAGGACTGTGAGCGTGATTTTAAGTGTTAATTCATAGATGGAATAATGCCCGATTTACAACGATACCCTTAAAACCTCTGATCATAAATAGTTCCAAGACAAAAATTTTGAGGGTTTCATTGTGAATCGGGTATTGGCATCTTTACATGGAGGGTCACTTAACATTAAGCTTCCCGTCCCTTTAACCTACAACGACTTAATATTATGTTTATTGGAGCCTGCTGTATTATATTATACAAGGGGTGATTATACCTTTCCCTGGAGAATTACTGGCAAAAGTATTTATTTTACACCGAGTTCGTGACTTTTCCTAATACTCAGGGGATCGGGCAAATAGAAAATCTGGGGGAAAAAAATGAAATATTGATTAACATAACTTATCGCAAATATGTTTCTTATTACCTTGCATAATTTTATCATTTTGAGAAGATTTCAAAACTGGTGAAATCTTTAATGCCGGAAATTCGGGTAAAATTTCAAAATATGAAACACTAGAAAAGGTTGATTACAATTCTTCAGTTTACAATATACAGGGTTACCCACAAAGGATGAGACTTCAGAAACGACTGTACGGAATACTGACTGTCTGTTTCCATATAATAATAATAATAATAATAATAATAATAATAATAATAATAATAATAATAATAATAATAATAATAATAATAATAATAGTAATACTGTAAACTTCTTTCTTTTTTTTCAAAATCGTTAAAAAGGCCATAAAAAGAATATCTTCAATGCAAAAGACTTAATATTTAAAGAGTTGCAGGTCGTCTTCACAGTTTTATCATTTGTGGGTAATCCTGTATTATACAATTATATTTGCAATTCCTTTAATTATTATCTCCAAATCTTGATTTTAGATCATTTGCGCACATTTCCTTGTAGTTAAACAATGCTAACCTATCCTCGTATTGTGCATGAAGTTTCATGATTTAATTGTACTGCGACCACACTGTGTACATGTGTTATCACTAGGGGTACATGCACACATTCTATTAAGAAATAAAAAAAAGGGGGGAAGTTGTAATAACAAGCTTTGTCTGATGATCAAACGTGAATTTGATATCAATGTTTATAATTTAGAAAACTAGTTATTTTCAAGCAGGGTTTCTCTACTAAAGTGACTTGCGCATTTCCACTGGAGGAAATAATAGTTTAATTATCAGAATTAAACACTTTCCAATCTCGAGAAATGATAATTTTATTCAAAACTGCTTACTTTGAACCTTTATCTGATACATGTGGAATAAAATATAGATTTTCTTGAGAACAAGTCACCTTCAAGAGAATAGTCAATTTTTAATCAAAAAAATAATGATAGATAGATCATGCATTCTTTAAACGTATCGTTGTGAATATAAAAATAGAAAATTACGTCTATCCTCCCTTTAACAATAAAAAGCTGAATAATAAATAATTAATAATAATAATAAATAAATAATTGGTATGCAGTACAAAATATTTGTATCATGAAGATTCACAAATTGTTGTGTAATATAGTACTCACATTCCACCCAAAATAGAATTATGTTAATAATATTTATAGTAAAAATCACGCAAAATAAGTCCTCATTTGCAAATAATTTTACAAATCAAGAGTAAAAAATCAAATTTCTAACTAAAATAGATTAAATGTAATTATTTATAATTCTAAAGAAGCGAATTGAAAAAGATTGTATAGTTTAGTGAAAAAAACGTGAAAAAAAACTTGGATTTTACTCTTGCCAATTTGTAAATTACGCATTTTTGCAAATAATTAAAAGTATTGTTTTCAAAATAATGATTCTGCCAAAATGCAAATACAGGTTGCGAATAATAGAATAAAAAGTCAAGTGCAAGGTGTCCCAATACTGTAATTAATTTATAGAAAAAGTTTCTGAACAACAAGTTAAGTTGTATTGGAACACCCTCATTCAAAGATATAAAATATTGCAGTCAAATGGGATGTGTTGTCAGAGAGCCTTCATTTTCGGCCCAATTTCCCCCCATTAAAGGTCAATTCCCCATGTTACATTTAAAGGAACTGAAAGTGTAATTTCAAGTCACCCTTCTGCAAAAATAGCAATGTCTGAATCACTACATTTAAAAGCTGCGCATTTCTACTGCAATAAAACAGAGAAGAACTAAGGTGGTAGGTGATTATATCAATACAATGAAGACGATTTCAATTTTAATTTATATCAAGCAGCTAAACAGCATAAACATAGTAACAAGAGAAGCTGTCAGTTTAAAAGCTTCTCTTGTAAACTTGTAAACTTGTAAACTTCTAATTCAATATATAAGCTTGTTAACAATAAAAAGTCGTCTTCATTGTATTAATATAATCGCCTATCACTGCATCAGAACTAAACACTTTTGAACCTGGAAAACTAGAATAAGGTTTCCAGGGTACCGCTGTGAATCAGACATTGCCAACCATGCATTAAAGGTCACTTGAAATTACACAAACAGTCTCTTTAATGTCTATTAAATAGGCCTTTATTTGAATGTAGAGGGACCGAATTTGATAAATTCAAAAGGTCACTGAACTGTATACATTCCGCGCGGGTTCAACTCCTAAATCAACGATTCAAAGTTCATGAGTATTCAGATAATTAATTGCAGAATGACGCAGTGATTCAGGATTTGAACCGGTGGTATAGTAGTTAAGCGACTTCTCACTAAACCTGTGTCCGAATTTAATGAATTTAAGCCACGTCTCAAATGCCTTAAAACCGGTTTTAATTGACCGCCTGCTTAAATCTTGAAGAATTAAATACAAATTTAAGTGGAACCAACCATATTTGAGCCGCGGCTTAAATTTAAACGGCGGTTTAAATTCTTTAAATTCGGCCTCAAATCAAAACTATTTCGAGTAATTACTATAACTGTGAATCCCGTTCCCATTACGTTCAGCTATTCTATTTTTCAGAGGGAGATCTAGAAAGCATCTATAAGGGTAAAAAAATAGATAAGTAAGAGAAGAAGATAAATAGGATATTTGATGAATATTTGTGAGTATTTGTTTGAAACGAATAATAATGATAAATGTGTTCATATTCCTGTAGGATACAGAGCTACCCATCTGTATTAAACTACAGGTCAAACATTCAGATATATGGGGCTCAACCTCCTTCATAGATAGATAGATAGATAGATAGATAGATAGATAGATAGATAGATAGATAGATAGATAGATAGATAGATAGATAGATAGATAGATAGATAGAATTTGTAGTTCTACTCATATGAAGTGCATTTAATTATTCTGGATGGTTTTACAGTGATTTAATTAGCTAATTTCATCTAGATTTTATTTTCTAAATTTTCTAGATTTAGCATTTATGTTATTTCTAGCTTTCCACCTTTTTGGTTATTCTAGATTTCTAGTTGTATTCACTTATTCACTGTTACAGTTTAGTATTTATCAAAGATTTTGCTTAAATCTTTTATTTAAAGAACCTGTCAAATCATTCGTTGGGATGTTTAGAAAGATGAAAATTTCCCTGTATGATAATTGAAGGACTGCAGTATGGTTTTGGTAAATAAAAATAATGCAAAACTAGAGTAAAGTGCAACCCAGAAAAGCTTCTATACAAGTTCTAAATATTTTTGTTCAAAATAAAAATTCTGTTTGGTTTGGCAACTTTTTTCTGCAGAATCTTTCCTACTTTCTGAAAGGTTTCACATCGATATGTATAAGGATATCTACTCGATATAAAGCAATATTTATTAATACTTATTTTAACTCAAACTCTGAACTAAATGAATATAGAAAAAATATGCCAGTTTAAGAAAGTTTTTGATAGATATTTGTAATCATCCAGAACAAAAAGTTTTATCAAAATTAAACTTTTTTAGGTATATTGGACGTTTTCAAAAAAATGCAAAAAAAATCATTTCTGACACCCCTAGGCTTAGTACGTCAATATAATTCACCAAAACCATACTGCAGGCCTTCAATTATCATACAGGGAAATTTTCATCTTTCTAAACATCCCAACGAAAGATTTGACAGGTTCTTTATTCTTTAACTTTTCGCAATACTTGAATATCAATTTTTAGACAATCCTTAAAAAAGTAAACAAAAGCTTGTATCTCGATATACTTGTCAATCATCTATATTGAAGATTATAATAATTTTCCACAAAATAGAGATTTATCTATTCTTATTGTAATATTCATTGTATAATTCAAAATTGCTTTTCTTGCTAAATCTTAATTTTATCTTTTACAATATAACATACTAGACTTTTAGGGCGCTTCGCGCCTATCTTCTATTGCAACTTTTAATTGTGGTTTTATCTGTGAGCATCTTCTCTTTGTACAGTAAAAAACAAAAACAAAAAAAAAGTTTGCGGATTTCAAAATATTTTTTGCGCATTTTCAAAATTTCACAAAAATAATAAACTTTTAAACACGATTTTTTTAAATTTTGATCATTTACGTGAGGGCCTGATTTAATATAATATAACATATTATAAACTTTGTGTGCTGGGTTGTCCCCCCCCCCCGCCATCTTTCCTTTCTTCTTTTTCCTCTTTTTCTTCTCCTCCACCTCTCAAAATGCTTTCCTTTAATTCTAAAATATTTTTATTTCTGTTGGTTTTATTTTAATTTAATATGTATTTATCGCTGAAACAGGGCCTCTTATTCAAAAAAACCAGAAATTAAACTTAAAAAAATTGTCCACTACCTGTAATTTATATTATTTAAATATTTAGTCGAATATATCTATCTCTATATCTATCTATCTATCCCTGAGTTTGGCCCCGTTGAAACTGTTGTTGTCGTTGTTGCTGTTGCATCATCATGTGTTGCTGCTGCTGGTGTAACAGATGTTGTCTGTTGTCCCCATCTGTCATCTGAATTTCCGACGCTCGCCTAAAAAAACGATAAATAGCCAAGATTAAGGCCGACATAGTTTTTGTCTTTTTTAGACATGTAGTCATGCAATTGGGCCGGTGTACCAAAAAAACGTTTTTTTTATTTTACCCTGCATCAATGTTTACCCCATTCTTCTTTGCCTCCTAAAGGGTGTTTAAAAAACACTTTCCATTTTTTCTCAAAACTTAATTTTTACCCGATCATAATAAAGCTTAAAAATATAAGAATCTGTTTAAAAGTATTCGATGTATCCCTAAAAATTTGAACAGCTTTGTTAGTTACCAGATTACAAGTTACGGGTGGAGGTAATTTGACCCAATTCCTATTTTTCCAAAAAAAATCAGATTCTAAATTCGTCTGAAGAAAATAATTGTTGAAAATCATTTTTTGACAGGTTGACTCCGGCCTTTTTATTCAGTTGCTTACATTAAACAAGAAAGAATAATGATTCTAAATTTGTTGATTCCATGTTGACCTTCATAAACCCAAAATAAGGCCAAAATGGAGATTAGTGATTATCTTTAACCTGGACTTGTTTTTCTTCCTTCTCTTGAGAATAATAAAGAGAATCATCATCAAACATCCGACTACAAGAAAAAAAGAAAATTAGATATTACTGAAAATAATGAATATAACAAAAATCAAAGGAAATAATACCATGCTGCAGAACGCACCGAAAGCTTAGTTGTGAGGGTGAACAGCTGCTGAACTTTATATCCACAACAAAAACTTTTAAATTAAAGGTTTAACGTCTAAATCCAGGAATGTTGACCAAGAATAAGGATGAACCGCGAAAGGGGAAATAACCAGTCTAAATGCTGAAGTTAATGCTGTTTAAAATTCAATAATTTTGGCCTCCTTGGGTGATTCAAATTTGTATTCACTATATCTTTGCAACTTGGTGGTTTAAACCTTTGATATTTCCATCTTAAATTATTTAATCTGGAAAAATTCATAGTTTGGAATATCGACATTAGGTTAAAACATAAAGGGATTAGAAAATCAGAGTTTGTGGCAAAAACTCAATTCTGTTTTAAATAATAATTTTACATAAAACTTTTCACAACAAAAAAGAAAATAGTTTAAAAGTTTTTTCTTTGTTTGCTTGACTCTTTCACTTTGGTGAATTTAGTACTGTTTAGTTCGAAAAGTATATTTTAAAATTAAATCATTTAGTTTTGTTATTATTTATCAAAATTTGATTTAAAGGGAGTGTACGCGTAATTCCAAGTGACCCTCCATGCAAAAAATGGCAATACCCTTAAAACGTTCATCTGATAAAAATATAGAGGATACTGTTCTTTTTCAGATTCGTAAAAGTTTCTCTATTGCTTCTCAGAAGTCACTTTTGCAGAGAACCCGGAAATGAAAATAAACATTTTACAGAAAAAAATTATTATCTAATTCATAATTGAAAAGACAAAGCTAACCGTTGAAAACGTGCATTTGCATCTTTGCATGGTAACATGGTTTCAGTAGAAGTAAATATTTCCATTTACTGACAGGGCCTATTGAAGGAATCATATCTCTGATTGAATAATGAAAAAGATAGAAAGAGAGATGTTACCACCATACTATTTATATTGGTTCTGAATAGACAACAAACACATGACTGAACCCTGATTGGATCAGGCGCTAATGGACTCGGCATACAGGAGTGATGGAGGGTCACTTAAATTACGCTTACTGTTCCTTGTATCGGCGCTATCAGTAAATGGAAATATTTACTTCAACTGAAACTATAGTATTTGATAAACCCTACAATTAATCGTTTAAAAATAATTTTCCTTTAACTCTATCCTAGGAAGAAAGAAAGAAACTAAATTTTGCTGAAGAAAAGGTTTGAATTTATTTTCTTTATATTCAGCTTGGTGTTCAGTAAATTTAGCTTGTTGCAGAAATTTGCAAAAGTAATCTTTCTTTTGGCAACAGTCTAATTGAAATAAAAGAAGTGAATAAAACTTTGTTTCCAAAAAATTCAAAATAATAGTCGAAAAGAATCTTTTGAAATTTTATCCCTATATATTTGCAACCCAATGTCGTAGATCTTTGCTTTGTTAACACATAATCTAAGCTTAAAAATATTAAATGTTTACGCCATCAGGTTGCGAAGATAAAGCTGGATTAAAAAATTTTAGTTTGAGGTAAAGACTCAATTCTCTTATCCAAAAATTAAGGTTGTTTTCCGAGTATTCTAAACGTTACCCAATCCAAGTCATAAAAAATAATTATCCAAAATTTTGAATTATCAGAAAGAATTTTCTTGGGAGTTTTAAGTTTTAGAAACCAAAGCGACAAAAAAATTGGAGGAGGGGAAGAGGAGGAGGAGGAGGAGGAGGAGGGGAAGAAGGGGCAAAATTCAAATGTAAATTTTAAATTGTACAAGACAAAATATGTACAATTAAAATTGTAATTGACAAACTATAAAGATATGTCAGGATTTTTTCTCACAAACTCAAATTTTCTGATCCCCATATCATTGCAACCTGATTGCGTAATCTGTCATATTTCAATATTAAATTAATTGATCGTTAACAGATATTGTAGTTTGAAATATCAAATGTCCACTACACAATGGATTGCAAAGATATAAGGATTAGAAAATTAAGTTTGTGGCAAAAAAAACAAATTCTTTGCAAGGTAACTTACACAGGATTAATCCTAAAATTTTCTTTAATAAGTTTTAAGTGTTGGAAATGTAAGAAAAGAATAAAAGAATTTTAGCAAAACATGAATTTAAGAAATATGAGTAAAGAAAAACATGCAAGATTTAAATCTGAAATGAAATTCACTTAAAATTAAAGGAAGTGTAGTAGGGTTTTCAGCGAAAAGAGTGTATCGTTTCACAAAATTTTCGCGAAATAAGAAATACGAAATTTTCGCTTAAAAAAATAAGAAAAATTTTGGGGAAAAATGCGAAAAAATACGGAAAAGAAATTATTAATTAAGTACCCTTTAAATGTTGTGATTTACGCATTTATGCGGTAGAGAAAATTAGTTCGATACTTTTTAAGAAAGTAAAAAAAAAGATATCTTTTTTTGTTGCTTTATAACTCTCACATGCCGCTCTTTAAATGAATGGTCAGACGAAATTATGTTTACAGTCACTTTAATGTTACTCTGCTTACAGTCCCTTTAATGTGATTATGTTTACAGTCACTTTAATGTGAATCTGTTTACAGTCCCTTTAATATGACTCTGTTTACAGTCCCTTTAATGTGACTCTGTTTACAGTCCCTTTAATATGACTCTGTTTACAGTCCCTTTAATGTGACTCTGTTTACAGTCCCTTTAATATGACTCTGTTTACAGTCCCTTTAATGTGACTCTGCTTACAGTCCCTTTAATATGAATCTGTTTACCTGCAACAAGTAATCCTATAGAGAGGAGAAATATGAATATAAGATTATCCATAGTTCGTAACTATCATTCTTTTCTGATATAACCTCGTTATATTCTAGATCTGAAATATTCTATTCTCATATATACTCGTTATATTCTAGATCTGAAATATTCTATTCTCATATATCCTCGTTATATTCTCTGAAATATTCTATTCTTATATATCCTCGTTATATTCTAGATCTGAAATATTCTATTCTCATATATCCTCGTTATATTCAAGATCTGGGATATTCTATTCTTATATATCCTCGTTATATTCTAGATCTGAAATATTCTATTCTTATATATCCTCGTTATATTCTAGATCTGAAATATTCTATTCTTATATATCCTCGTTATATTCAAGATCTGAGATATTCTATTCTTAATTAGACATTTCCTTAAAAACTTTTTATTGTAACGCGTCCAAATCTTAAGAAAACTAGTTTAAAATTGAAAAATCACAATAGGAGTTGCAAAAACTGGATTTGTAGCGTTATTTTAAAATATTTTCATCTTCATAATTTAGTTTTAAAAATTTTGGATAAGTATCCAAAAAAGAAAGTTAAATTTTTCAAAAATTAAAAAGTTGTTAACCTTTAGTGAGGTCCTTTTTGAATATGAAACATTTGAATAAAACATGATTACAAATGAATATTTTCTAAAAGAATACGACCCATTTAAATAAATCTATGGTTGTAGGAGATTTTCGAATTCTAAACGTGGGTTCATAATTTTTTATTTTCACGCCAAAAAGTATAGTTTTTGCTTCAAACTACAGATTTTCTAATCCTCTTATTATTCAAATGAATTCCGTTAGATCAAAAAATCTAAGATTGAAATAAAGCTTTAAAATATCAGGTTGCAAAGATATAGGGATTAGAACATTTGCTGCAAAACCTCAATTCCTTTGACGTTATATTTATTGAAACCTTTCATTAAACTCCTTAATTAACGAGGTGTTGATAAGATAAAAACAAGGTTCCAAAGTTGTACCAGTAATGTTGCATACATTTCAACTTCTTCTATTGCAGAAGTGTGAAATATATATGCATTATATTTACCCCGAGTTTAAAGTTTTTTTTTGTTTTGTTTCCGGAATATTAATCAGTTGAATAAATTCTATTTCGGATTAAAGAAAGAAAATAAAAATTTAGAATTTATAGTTTTTTTTCCACGTTTTGCACAGTAAACAGATATAGCAAGATCAAAGCTATCAAACTTTGAATTTATGTCAAATCACTTCAAACTAAAGAAAATTTCACATAAGGTTATAATTCTTGTACGTTTCCAATCATACCTTATCTTATTGAAGAGGTGTTTAGAAGAGCAAAATGTTTTGATTTTCTAAAATATTTATCTTTCTCATTCTTGACTTCAGAATCTACAACGTCACAAAGCCGGACCAGTAAAGTTGTTTAAATTATTTAGGAATTGTAAAATACGATTCTTTTGCTGACTCAAACAACTAGTAAAATATTACAAACGACTATACCTAGAAATTGTACACCGTAAACATGTCTAATTGGTATTAAATGAATCCTAAAGTTTTTCTCTACAATTACTGCATTTTCATTTTAACTACCATGTCTAGCCGGTCTCTCCCTTTAACCCTGGATAAAGTTGAAAAGAGAAATTGTATTTGTAAACGTTTACTGGTATTTATCCCACCTCAACTTAAGTTTCTTATATGTTTATAAAACTGGTAGATTTTATATTTTTGTATTTATAATTTTTGGCTGCAAAAAGTGAAAAGGAATTGAGTCTTTCTAATCCCTATATCTTTCCAACCTAATGGTGTAAACCTTGAATATTTCAAACTAAGATTATTAAATTTAACAGATTTCATAGCTTGAAATATATATATGGTCTACCACATTAGGTTGCAAAGATGTAGGGATTGGAGAGTTAAAGTTTGTGGCAAAAACTTAACTTTTTTGCGTCAAATGTATCCTATAAAAAATGTTATCGATACATGTTTTAAAACAAATTCAATTTCTTCATTTATCTAGATTTAGCTATATTTAGACTGTTTTTTTCTCCATACTGAAAATTTGATAATATATATATAAAATATATAAAAATATGTCCTTTATTTCTTGTTATTTATTGTTAAAGTAAACTGGCAATATCGATTAATATCAAAGATTTAGATCTTTAATATAAAAATATATCCAGAAAAAAAATGTTTTTAAGCAATTTCAGAAATATTTTCTCTTTATCAATCTTTAATATAAATTCTGAAAGCCCATTGGTAATTCCAAGATTATATTTGAATGAGATAAAAGATTAGTTGTTCCACTTTAGAACTTGATTTTAGTAAATTCACTCTTGAAATGAAATTGTCTCAATGTTCTAAATTTAGATGCGCTTTATTATTTGAAACTTTAAATATGTGTTTTGTAAACGTAACTGCTAGTTAAGGTAAATTCAATAATTTTTTGAAAGGAATTGAGCCTTTGACACAAACTCAAATTTTCTAATTCCTTTATCTATGCAATCTGATGGCGTAGACCTTTTACATTTCGAACTTAGATTACTTGAGCTTACTGAATTCATAGTTTGAAATATCTAATCACTACAGCATGGGGTTGCAAAGATGTTGTGATTATAAAATCAGAGTTTGTGGCAAAGACTCAATTTCTTTGTTTGTATACTTTAATTGCTGCCATTTTTTCTAATCCTTATATCTTTGCAACCTGGTGGTGTAAGCCATTTACATTTTAAACCGAGATAACTTGATTAAACAAAATTCACAGTTTGACATATATCTAAGGTCTACAACATTGGGTTGCAAATATAGGGATTAGAAAATCAAAGTTCTTGTAAAAGACTCAATTTCTTTCTTATTCCTTTCGATCATAAACCTTCCTTGGGGTTCAGTGAGATGCCAAAGAAATGTTGCTTATTCGTTTGACGCTTAAAGGGACTGTAACCGTAATCAGATACAAAAGTATGTAATTTTGAAAACTGATTTTTTTTCAGTCGTGATTTCTCAACGAAATTGATTTACGCATTTCTACTGCAGAAAAAATATTTATGAATTATCAAGATTAAATACTTTTAAACCTAGAAAACAATAATATCACAAAATTTTGATCAGATTTCAAGGTTTCAAGGGTACCGTTGTGAATCGGGTATTTCCATCTTTGCATGAAGGGTCACTTGAAATTATGCTTACAGTCCCTTTAACAAAAAAAACAGAAATCAGACAAGCAGCGAGACAATATAATAAAGAAATATATTTACAGTATTGCGATGGTAGAAAAATGTTATCGAGAGAAAAGTCAAACTTTTCTTTCTATCTTTAGATTCTGACAAATATTTGATATTGTTACAAGATTGTTTCTATATCCCCTCCCTTTAGTGTTTTTATTCTATATCCACGGATATTATCTGTCATATCTGGATACTGTCCTTCAAGAATTATTTTGTTATTTAAAATTAAAGTCAGGGTGAAACCATTGAGCCATTTCTTAAATTCACCTTCCACCAGTTCTTAAGTTTTCTTTGATACGTTTTTGAAAGGATTTGAGATTTTTTTATAATTTTCAAACTCAATTAAATTTTTAGCTTTTTTTGGAAAAAATATTTCGTCAAATTAAATCAAGATGGGTGTCAAAACATTATTCTTGAAACACTGAGTTCAGAAATGTTAAATTTGTAAAAAAGTATTCACTTAAACCGAATTGCGCTTTTTGCACAATGTAACATTTTTTACACACAGAGTGCTTCAAAGTTCTAACCAGAAAGTTCAAGAATTGTTTTAATTTTTTCTAAAGAATTGGGTTATCAAACCTAATGTTATAATTCTAAAGATAAAAGTAGGGCTAGGAAACAATCCATTACAGAAATGCACGTGTTTGAAATTAACGGAAGATATCGTTAACGAACGGAAGATATCGTTAACGAACGCCAGAAAAAAAGCAAAAAAAAGAAAGGATTGTTGATTAACGGAACTTTCAATAATTTTTCTGGATGAAATTTTCTGAAAGAATTTGAATATTTATCGTTGTCCGAAACTTTTCCCGCCATTTTTAATTACAATAATCATTCACAGCTGACGTTAACGTCTCTCTCTTTTTCAATTTAAATTGGAAAGAAATTGGGTCTTCACCACTAACTTAAATAGTCTAATCAATATATCTTTGCAACCTGATGGTGTACAATTTCAATGTTTCAAACTTAGATTATTTAATATTTATTTATATGTTGTAAATGACAACGGGTAGAAAATCAGAGTTTGTGACAAAGACTTATTTCAGAGAAAACCTTTTGACTTTCTGACATACATTAAAAAAACTTTTTTCTATAGTATTTTTCCATATTCTAAAGTCACATGTTTAGATTGCAACAAGTAGGGTTAATTTCTTTCAATATTTCAAAAACGAATTCGGCATTTGTTGTAGATTTAGATCGAGCATCAACTTTTGAAAATATTTTTGTTTAATATTAAACAATAATTGTGTAAACCTGGCTTAAACAACAACACCAGTTAGAAAGCACAAAATAAAGGTCTGGACAATTTTAGTTGATTATTTTATAATTAAGTTGCATGTTATGCCTGCAGAGAAAGATCATTCTTTATTGAAATATTTTGATTGTCATTATATAAATAGTCTGTAATGATTAATGATAATCTATTTCAAAATTGATATTTCCTTTTCTATTTTTAATCCTATTCTTTTGGTTTACAGGATACAGGATACAGGATACAGGATACAGGATACAGGATACAGGATACAGGATATAGAATAATAGGATACAGGATACAGGATACAGGATATGGAATAATAGGATACAGGATTCAGGATACAGGATACAGAATATAGAATAATAGGATACAGGATAGAGGATATAGAATAAGGATAAAGGATACAGGAAAAAGGATACATGATAAAGGATACAGGATATAGAATACATGATAAAGGATACAGGATAAAGGATAAATGATAAAGGATACAGAATAGAGGATGCAAGATACAGAATACAGAATAAAGAACATAGGATACAGAATATAGGATACAGGATTTAGGTTATACGATATAAAACACAGGATGCAGGGAAAAGGTCACAGGAAACAGGATACAGGAAACAGGATACAGGATACAATAAATATATACAGGACCAAAGAGCATATGTTTCCTTTAAGTCTGATACAAAGATACTGAGGTAAGTTTGTGAAACTCCCGAGGTTTAAATAATCCTCTCCGGGAATGGTTTTGCTCTGAGAGAAGAATGAAACCATATTCTTCGTCTCTCGGGGGCTTTTATTCTTTTTTCTTATTTTCTTATTTTTCAGGGGTTGTCAAATAACTATTTTAGTATGATAAATCAACTTGAAATTTAATAAAGAATGCTCCCCCCCCCTGACAGAGCAAGTTCTTTTTAAAAAGTTCAATAAAATATACTAAAACATCTGTTGAAAGTTTATTTCATTTATTGGGTTTTTTCAAGTAAGGATTTTATTTTCAAATCTAATTTTGCTGGAACAGATTCTTTTTAAAGTCTCTACTTCAAGCAGTGAAAGAAAGTTTATGCAAAAAATCGGGATTTAAAACCATTTCAATCGAATTTTGACTTAAAAAAGCGAAAGGTACTGTCGACGTAATTTTATGTGACCTTCTTCTTCTGAAGAGTTATTTTCAATTGCGGATTTTCAAGAAAAACGAACATATATCTTTCTTCGGATAAAGGTTCAACAGTTTTGAAAATCATGCATATATCTGTTAAAATGAAGGTTTCCTTAAAACAAGGTAAATACATACATTTTGAGGACCACTGAGTCTTGGAAATATTTTGCGGAAAAGTAGAAAAGTTTTGAATTTTAAAAACATTTATTCTAAAAATGCATAAAAATGGAAACATTATTACATTGAGTGCACCAAATCCATTTTTTACATAGAGCTAAAGTTTTATATAAAATCATATTTAGAAGAGATGTTGTAATTATAATAAGGATATATGCTTGTCTTATTTCTAATATTCTTATTCAGGATATGGCATTCAAGCATTCAAGCTATTTATATCCTTTTGCTATTCTAAATAGAAGAAAATATAATTCAGTTACAATATTAAAAATACACATATATACAAGTTTTTTTATTTTCTGACAATTTTGTAAATTTTACTGGTATTTATTTAACAATAATAAACGTTATTACTGTTATTATTATTATTATTATCATTATTATTACTTAAAAAAATTGAGAAATTCTGACGTTTTATTTTTAATCTTGCAAGGATGATTTTTTTCTTCTTTACTTCATCGTATTTTTGAGTATTTAAATATTTTCAGTGAGAAAAAAAAACATCTGCAGATTTTTCTAGAATATTAATAGTTCTCTTGTGTACTATATACATTATACAAGGCTAACCGCACAAGATGAGAGGGTGAAGACGACTTGAAACTCTACAAATATGACGATCCCAAGTTTAAATTAAGTCTTCTGCCTTGAATCTGGTCTTTAAATGGATTATTTAATAATTTGTCAAAGAAATCAAGAAGTTTATATAGTTGCAGGAAATTGTGAATGTCAGGAAACAGACAGTCCAATTCCGTACAGTCGTCTTTTAAATATCATCCTTTGTGGGTAACCCTGTATATACATATAAAGGTAAATTGGCCTCCTTTTATGCAAATAAATGATAATTACAAAAAGTTGTTCATTAGCCTTAAAGTTAATTTGTCATCATTATACTTTGTTAACGAGCTCTTGCCATATTTGCAAATCAATTATTTAATTTTATGTCAGGGCTTAGTGAATCTAATTAAACATTAAAGGATGTCAGCAAACTTCATTTTTTCAATTCTTGCACTTTTTTAAGATTTTTTAATGATCTATTTAGTATTTCTCTTGGTGTACTATAGTTTTTCGATCGTTTTCGACGTCAAAAATACGAAAACGAAACGATCGTTTAGAAAACGACCGTTTTTAAAAAACAAACTTTAAAAAACGATCGTTTCGTTTTCGTTTATTTGACGTCGTTTTCATAACGACACGATCATTTTTCTAAAATGAAAACATTAACATCCATAATTTTGTGTACAATGTGTATAATATTCAGAGCCGGGAATTTAAGAGAGTATTGTTTAACGAAACCCCCGAGTTTCCTTTAATGGCCTATTTATGTTTAACTTAGTTTTAGAAATAATAAAACAAAGAGAAAATATTAAATAATATTTCTCAACAAAAAACAGTGAAATCTGCAAAACTGTCTGACCCCATTCATGAAACCGGGTTTCCGATACTGTTTTTTTTTACATTTTACGTTTCAGGCGCCGAGTTTACTAACAACTGAGTACACTCGACCACAATTCATTATAATGTTGGGTTCTCTAATTGAATAATTAAGCATTAATATACATTTCCACCCTATGTATCATTTCTGTATTAATATATGATTAACAGGTAATGCAATACAGAACAAATAAGAAGATAAATAGATTTTAAAAGTAGGTAGAAAAAATAGATTTTAAAAATATGAAGATAGTTAGATCTTAAAAATTGGTAGATAAATAGATTTAATAAGTAGGAAGATAAAAAGATTTAATAAATAGGTAAATAAATAGGTTTAGTAAATAGGTAAATAAATAATTTTAGTAAATAGGTATGATACCTATCACCTTTATTACAAAGATGGGAAAATACATAAATTTTAAAAATAGGACGATACATAAGTTACATTAATAAGAAGATACATAGATAGGATCAAAGATACACAAACTTCTCAAATAGGAAGATTAAAAGATTTATTAAATAGGATGATACATCGATTTTAATAAAATAGAAGATACCTATATTACATAAACAGAAAGCAGAGGCGTAAATAAGAATTTTCTAGGAGGGGGGGGGGGGGTAAATTTTAACATTTTGCGCGCGTAGCGAGCCGTATATTTTTTTTACTGTAGACCATGTACAACCCCATTCAAGATTTATATCAAATTATGGGTTTAGCTGGGTCTCATTTCAATTTCCCGATCATTTCTGTGATTAACAAACTCTATCATATAAAAGGTTTCCTTTACCACCTTTCAGCTTTCACCTTGCTTAATATATACCCTAAAGGTTGTTCATTATAAATTTAGACTTTTTTAACAGCTGTAAAAAAGCAATTCCACCAATATGAAAAATCAGTGATGATCAGCCACCTGTGCCCTGGGAACTTAGTTTCATTGTTTTGAAGAATATATATTCATCACTGACTATTCTATTTCTTTTGTTAACATTTTTTCTTTGAATACATTGTAAAACAAAAAACAAAATTTCGCGGATTTTATAACAAATTTCGTGGATTTTCAAAATTATCCAAAATCGAATTTTTTTAGAAGCAAATTTTTGAAAATTCAATCATACATATACCTTCCCTGGGGTCATTTAAGGGCCCACACAAATTTGGGCTCGATCGGTTCAGCCGTTTTGACGGTAATGGAACACAAACAGACAAGCAAAGTAAAGTATATATTCATCATAGAGAAGATTAAGGAAATGAAAGACGACGACTAAGAGGGCAGCTTTTAAAATAAGAGCAATGATTTAGTAAGATTATCTGCGCGAAGCACCAAAAAAAATTGAAAACATTTTTCCTCTTTATGATAATCATGGACATCAAGTTTCTAAACGGGGATGTTTATGTCCCCAAGATTCTAGGAGAAGAAATTGCCCCAAGGATTCTAGGGGGGGGGGGAAATAACCCAATAACCCCCCTTATTTACGCTTTTGATAGAAAGATACATTAGTTGCATACATAAACTTCATAATTGGGAAGATATCAAGATAGATAGAAAAATCTAGAACTTGAAATGTATCTAAACAAAAAAGATTTTACGAAGACTGTAAACAGTCTTATTTTGTCACGAAAATACATCCGTCGTAGTACACGTCATACACATTTTAGTGTTTTTTTCCTGTAGTACTTTACTCATCATTTTCATTCCGATGGATACAGAAGATTATTTGAGGTAAATCAGTCAAGGAGTTCATGAGTTATGATCGGACATACAAACAGAGATTACTACTTTATTATAGAGATGAATGAGCCCTGGTTTAAAAACTTGAAGTTGAGGGAGTTGACTTTAACAGAGGAAGTTGAGCTCCCTAGTTAGTTGTTTATAATATCGCAGTCAGGTTGTACTTGTATACTGTATTGGACCCAACGAGGTTATAGTGTATAGAGTGATGATGTACGCTAATCCTTTACTGATTATATAGGCCATCAACTATACCGAGAGCGTACTGCATATTTGTTTATTACAAGTTGATTCTGGCCTAACCTATAGTATATCATTATAAGTATACAGCTGTAAGTGTACAGTACAAGCTACCTGAGAACTATTATCCCCCCCTGATTGGACCTTTCAAACCTAGTTTATATTTAAAACTGCAACAAAAGAATTTTATAATAATGAATGGAACTTGAAACATAATAAAGAGTAATTCTTTACAAACTTTTCTTCATTTAAACTTGTTTAAGTCTGTAGGGATAGTTACAGAGAGAGAGAGAGAGAGAGGATTTGGTAATTTTTGGTTCGTTCTTTATTGGTTTCAAAAAATCTTCCAAAATTTCAAAATTGTATTCTGTTCAACTTTATTTATTATATTTTATTATTAAAATTTATTGCATAAATTTCCATATAAGAATATGGAACAGTCAATACAAATGTCGTCTTTGAAATCTCTTGTTTATTGGAACACCCTGTAGTCTTGATATTGATTTCCTCTCTCAGCCAATTAATTTTACAGATCTGAAGCTTAATATTTATTATTTATACAATTATAAAAAAAATCCCGTTAAGGTTGGGTTACAAGGAACCATCTGTTCCTAGCTTTAACAGCTTCCTGTCTCACAACCCTTTTATGGTCCTAGAATAAGAATAGAATAAGAATAGAATAGAATAGAATAGAATAGAATAACTGGCCAGGGTGACAGTAACTGTGCTGGATATCGATCCCAGGGAATGTAAACAAACTAACAAACACACAAATTAAAATAAACATAAAAATAAACTTAAACCTTTTTGAATAACAGGCCCGAAACTGTTTTTTGTAGTTATGGGAAAATAGCACTAATTTCACATTAAAGGAATTGAGGCATTGTCCAATTTCTATATCTTTGCAACCCAACGTCGTAGACTTTCAATATTTCAAACTTAAAAATAAATTTTGTTAGATTAAATAACCTTAGTTTGAAATATTAAAGTATTACATTCAGGGATTGAAAAATTGAAGTTTGCGGCAAAGACTCTATTCCTTTGATCTGGTGTATGGTGGGTGGGGTGTCTCGTTGCACCCCCCCCCCCATAACGGCCCTGTTTTTAAACACAAAAGAACATAAAAAAGGTTGACAATAGCCTCAAACTCAAGTTTTCTATTCCATTCACAATCTTTGCAAACTTTTGGAGTAAGCTTTTGATATTGTAAACTTAGGTATTCGATATCAGATTGAAATGACACAAGATTAGAAAATATTAGACTATTATGGAAGTGATTAGTTACTTAGTAAACAGACACCGTGGTTTTACCCAGAATATAAAGAGAATGAAGTTATATTTTGACAGATTTAAAATTTTTACATTTAAACCACCTGGGAACCTAGAATAAACATAGAAAATGTGTCAAAGGAAATATTTTACCGATATTGTCGAAGAATTGAAAATTGAACCACTAGAAATTAAAAATTCAAATTTTCTTTTGAAAGTCTGAGGAAATCGTGTTGAAGGAAAAGAGAGAAAAAATGCATTTTCTACCTTTCAGTTCAACCTCCCGCCAAAATTCAAAAATTAACTAAAAATGGTCAGTCTGAAATCCAGTTACTATTAAAAAAAACTGGTTTTGCACTGTAACTTTGCGGATTGACAAACCCAATAATAATAAAATAAAAAATCAACTGGTGGAGCCAGAATTCGGGGCTTGAATCATGTTATGCTTGGTTCTCAGCTTGTTTTGTTAAAATAAGAAGTATAATTTGTTTGTTAGTGTTCCTAGAGCTTTAAGTCTTGTATTGAGAGGGGAGGGGGGAACACACAGATCTAGGCAGCGAGGAACTAAAATATACAAATATATAGAAATAAAATATTCATTGTCAAGAATAAATTTAAAACAGCCTTATACTAAAATTTTAATAAATGTTTTCGTGTGCCAAGTGACTCTCCGTGCTACGATGGCAATGTCTGATTCACGGTAACATGAAAACCTTTAATTGACCAAGGTTGTCGGACTCATTCTTAAAGTTTTCTAATTTTTCATGTGAAATATTCGGTAATATCAAGGGATACATCAGTTTGGTTAAGTTCACATTGTACGCAAGCGTACACTGTGTTTTACAGGAATTCAAGTGGTTTTTAAAAGATTTAAACACATGGAGCTCTCTTTACTCGATGCACAGTCTAAGGTATTGTTGTAAATCGGGAATAGTCCCTTTAAAGAACAAAATTTCATTTTCAATTCTACATAGCAGAATATAAAAACCTCACAACCTTGACACCGAACAACATTAAAAAGATAAACTGAGTAGAAAAATAAAGTTTAAAGCTGAAACATTTTTGTTCTTAGATATCTAGATAAAAAATGAGAATCAAAGAAAATGAGATAACTACATTGAACAAAAATTCATAACGATCTGGATCTATAGCAGTTCAATACAAAGCTGAGGCGTCATGCACCCTGAATTAAAAATATGTTTACCAGCAATCTTTTGCAGCATAACTGTATTAAAATCTTAGATTCTGGTTTTCATGCTGTATTTATATTTTGTAGTAGAATTAATGAGCTGTAACACTATTATGCATTACATTATATACTATTAACCATATTAGCACCAGGCTTTAATATTTAACTCAGGGGAATATAATCCCCCCCCCCCCGTTGTTAGAAATAAATAAAAGGTATGAACATGTACGTTTTACCCCCTCTTTAATAAATTCCCCGAATCCAACACTTTCTATTTTCCTTAAAACTTCATATTTGGAAAGTGAAAGTGAAAAAGTACAAAAAATCATTCTTATTGAATCCTTTTATGTTTCAGCATCAAAGAAAGAATTATCAAAACATTTTGTTTTCGTCAAAAAGAAAAATGTAAGGTTTCTTCATTCAGGTTTCAAGAGGATAAGAACAAGCATAAAAGTAGAAAGATTAAAAATCTCAATTTAGTTTTTTTTCATTGAAACTTAATTCAATTCAATGCTACTTAGTACTTACTATATGAATTTGCAATGTATATCCAAAAACGAATCCGGTTCAATTTCTTCTATATTTAATAAAGCTTTGCTGTTTAAAATAATTTCAACAAAACCAAAGTTCAAAATGTTCTTCATCTGTTGTGCTATTTTTATGCAGAAATATGATTTACCATTCAATGAGAAGAAATGTTTAATGATATCTTATTGGTTGCCACGAAAAATGTGAGTTTTTGGAGCAGCAAGCTTTTTTTCGATGCGATGTGTGAAATTTTACTTCTTTTAGTTTGTATAGTAAACCTACCAATATCATGAATATCAGATGAGACAAGGTTGGGTGAGGATTGTAAACCTACCAATATCATGAATATATGATGAGACAAGGTTGGGTGAGGATTGAATGAGGTCAACCAAACATGACAAGGCAGACAGAGCAGTGGCCTCCTGCCTTAGTGCCTTGGTGACCAGAGGGAGTAGGGCGGGGACTACAGGTTCCAGGAGTGGGCGGGGAACCTCGGGTAGAAGGTTTATAAGAGCGGTCAGGTGATTGATATTGTTAGGAAGGTTAGCCGAGGTTAGAAGGGGAGGATGGAGGGTGGACCACGCCCTCTGCTTGAATAGGAAGGATGAGGAAGGGTGGAGCCAGGGGGCGGGGCTTAACATATACTTGAAGCATGATGCGGCAGGTAACCCTAAACAGCATAACAATATAAATATTTTGACGGACTTTTAACGTAATTTTATGCACTTCGTTTAAAAACTGCAACAATACCAATTATTCGCTGATAATGATGATGAAGATATCTTTGTCAAACTATTTAGAATTTTGAAAGTTGAGGTCGCACATCTTGAAAGAGTTAACTGATGATTATTTAAGTGAAATGGTCAAATAAGATTTTAATTCTTAAGAACCAATATCGAAGATTAAGTGTAATGATTAACTAGATATGACTGGTTCAACTGCTGGTTTAAGATAAGATAAGCACAACGGAAGAGGTATTAGAACTAGCTACTTTATCTTTTCAGTACTTTCATATTAAAATATTTTGTTTCCTACCTTTTTCAGAATCGTCTAATAAATGCAATAATTTCTTCATCCAGTTTGAACACGATGGGTTTCCGTTTAGAACGAGGGCGTGTGAGATCTGTCCCACTCCCTCGGGGCTCTCCACCCCCTCCAGCTTAGAGGAGAGGTGTGGCAGTTTATTGACAAGGCTAGCCTTTAGTTGCCAAGATGCTGGTAGTTCAAGAACCTAAATATATATTACATAGAAATGAAAACTAAAATCCTTATTATTTTAAAAATCTTTTTTCAATCTCAAAACCTGATTTTTTTTACATATTCTTTTCAAACACAAATCCTTTAATTCAAAAAAGAAGATTTTTGAAATTAATTTTAAGCATTTAAGAACTTTTTGTTACACAAAAATGAATGAAATCCATCTCAACCCAACCCCGCCCAAATTAAATCTGAAGTCAGGTTTAGACGAGACTTTATTTAGAATGAATCAAAAGTGGAGTAAGGCCGAAAGTTGGGGAGGCGAATAATTGTCATAAAAACGTAGGGCAGTCAAATCTACTCGATAAATATTTTTAAAGAAACTATTTGACAATTAGTTAGAATACGCTTTGGTTCAGTTTTCAAAACAATAAATGTATAAAAAAGCGCTAAAATTCATCCTAATGAATCCACACCATGTGAGACAGAGTATAATTGAATTTTAGCGGAATATTGAGGATTATTGGCAGGTTTATTGATAAACTATTGAAACGACAAGACAGTGTCAACTTCAATACTTCAGACTTGTCATCCCAAAACTTCACAAAGTAATGAAAATAAAGGAAAAATACAATTTATTATGTAAATGGACATCTTGGCTAGTATCTTCATTAACAAGGACTGTAGGTCATTTTAAGTAACTTTTCATTTACTTTGCAAGTATGGTTCATCTGAGTAAAAATGAGTTTCCTTCAATGTCTCTGCAGCATAAGTCTTCAAATCACTTTAACAGAAAAACCATAGCAAGAAAATCAAGGATATCTCGTTAATCAAAGGTTTAAATGGAACCGTCGGATATGCCACTCTATAAATGGACAGACACATGAAATTACGTTTACAGTCCCTTTAAGATGCAATAATTTTCTGATGCTGCGTTATCACAAAATATTCGCATTCTTTGAACAAATCAAACAATTACCTGAGAAATAATTTTAGAAACTTTTTGAAAAATCATGATGATGAAATTAATATTTTGGTTTACCTTGTCAACTATTTCTGGTAGTTTGTTCAGAACAGAGGGATTCAGACTTGAAACCAGAGCTTCTAGTTCTAGTAGACAACCTAGAGAATATTAATTCTAGTAGACTACCTAGAGAATATTAATTCTAGTAGACAAGCTAGAGAATACTAATTCTAGTAGACAACCTAGAGAACATTAATCCTAGTAGACAACCTAGAGAATATTTATTCTAGTAGACAACCTAGAGAATATTAATTCTAGTAGACAACCTAGAGAATATTAGTTCTAGTAGACAACCTAGAAAATATTAAATCTAGTAGACAATCTAGAGAATATTAATTCTAGTAGACAACCTAGAGAATATTAATTCTAGTAGACAACCTAGAGAATATTAATTCTAGTAGACAACCTAAAATATTAGTTCTAGCAGACAACCTAGAGAATATTAGTTCTAGTAGACAACCTAGAGAATACTAATTCTAGTAGACAACGTAGAGAATATTAGTTCTAGCAGACAACCTAGAGAATACTAATTCTAGTAGGCAACGTAGAGAATATTAGTTCTAGCAGACAACCTTGAGAATATTAGTTCTAGTAGACAACCTAGAGAATATTAATTCTATCGATTTCAGAATTTTGAGTCATTTTGGACTGTCTAGAAAAATGTATAAATTAAACTTTTTTCATCAGGATTCGATGATAAATAGGAAATTATTAAAAATAAGTTTCAAATCTAATTCTTAAAATAAAAAGAATAATTTTAATTGACAATTTAAGACAATGGCAAACTTTTATTTTACTTTTACTCTAAGAAACGAGTTTTAAAAGTAAAAGACGCTAAACATATCCTAGATACGATAAAGATGCCGAATTCTGCAAAGACCTGTAATTAAGATTAGGGCCTGACCTGTATTAGTGTGAGCTTCTCGTATCATATTTAAGATTCCAATATCTGTGAGTACATGAACATGTTCTTCGTCTAGGATTGAGGCAAGATTCTGCAGTACTGTACAGAACGATGTGATGGACCTACCGGCAACAAAATTCAATTTCGGAACCAGAGGCGTCTACACTATAGGGGGGTTCGGGATGTATTCTTTAACTAACTAATCCCCAACCCCAGGTTACTTTACACTTGATATCAAACTAAAGGGTTCATTTTAACATCCTTTTTCAAAACACTAGGAGTATGCATGTTCAGTTTTAAGTTACTGATATCAAAACAGCAATTAAAGTGGAAGTTTTTACTGTCAATTGGCTGGAAAACACTAGGAGTATGCATGTTCACTTTCAAGTTATCAATATCAAAACAGCAATTAAAGTGGAAGTTTTTACTGTCAATTGGCTGGAAAAACTCAATAAATGCTTTCTAAAATTAATGATTGGCAGGTTACTTTATATCAAACTGAAGGGTACATTTTAACTTCCTTTTTCAAACACTTGGCTGGAAAATTTCAATGAAGGTTTTAAACGTGTTTACAATCTAAAAGAACTGCTGATGATGTTTCCAGCAATAACAATATATTTTTTGTTTGTTAAAAACTGAACAAATCCCAGCCCAATCATCTCATAACCCAATTGTCAAGAATATATTTTTCCTTTCTTAAAAACTGTGGCAGCAAGTTGTCAATTTTCTGAAAGAAAAGGAGAAGGTCGTGACATGTTGTAAATAGTTAATGGCACTTATTACTTGGTGGGTCACTTAAAATTTCATAAATTAGTTTGTCAGGTTGAACTTCTAGTTTGATTAACCTTGAGTTTGTGAGAGTAGGACGAGAGGACCAAGAGAGAAGAGAAGATAGGATAGAACCCGTCTCTTCACATAGATTCATCCTGATATATATATATTCTATGATATTGTTATTAGATCCTAGGTAGCAGTGCGTAGGATCAGGATCAATTGGATCCACAAAATTAAAAGCTCCCTAGATCTGGATCCGCGCAAAAAAAACTGACAAAAAATCTAATTGACAAATTTCAACCAAATCATTAAAAAAATAATCTGTTACTCTGAAAGACATAAAAAAATATATCTTCCTAATATGTAATAATCTCAGGGTTTTTTCGTAAAAATTACTTAAAAAAGAGAAAATATTTAATTTTTTTGTTTTTGGCTGAGAAATTAGCAAATACTCTTGAGATTGATCCATATCCGGATCCAGGATCCGAATCCGTTTCTGAAGAACATGGTATCCTACCTATCTGTAGTTGTGAATGTATAGCTTGCTACTCTATTAATATATTCTAGGATAGAACTTGTTGAGTAGGTTTCTAGGCGCTCTGATACACGGGGTAGTGATAGATTAAGTAGACCAGCATCCTAGAAACATTAACATCAATATATTCTAGGAGAGAACTACTAGACTAGGTTTCCAGGCGCTCTGATAGATAAAGAGAGTTTTAACAGACCAGCCTCCTAGAAACATTAACATTAATATATTCTAGGATAGGTCTACTGGAGCAGGTTTCTAGACGCTCTGATACACGGGGTAGGGATAGATTAAGCAAACCATGAAATATTATCAATATATTCTAGGATAGAACTTGTGGAGTAGGTTTCTAGGCACTCCACTAAACGATATAGATTAGGCAGACCAGCAACCTAGAAACATTTACATCAATACATATATTCAAGGATAGGACTACTAGAGTAGGTTTCTTGCCGCTCTGCTACACTGGATATATTTAGCAGACCAGCATCCTAGAAATATTTACATAAAAATATTCTAGGATAGGACTACTAGAGTAGGTTTCTTGGCGCTCTGCCACACTGGATATATTTAGCAGACCAGCATCCTAGAAACTTTTACATCAATATATTCTAGGATAGGCCTTGTTAATTATGTTTCTAGGCGCTGTGATACACGGGGTAATGATAGATGAATGAGTATACCTGTATATCTGCCAACGGTAATAAACCCTGCTCCCCCAGCTCCAGGAACCTGGGAACAAGATTCTCCTTCACTAGCTCAGTATCCCACCTAGATAAATATACAATACATCTATATTCTATATAATAAAGCTCGTAGGAAAAGAAGGGGAAAAAAGAGGACGAGACAAATAAAAAAGGACAAGAAAGAATAAACTAGAACTATTAAATTGGGCCATAGGGAAAAGCTGAAAAAATGGTGCACTGTTCAAGATTTTTAAGAAGAAATGAAGAGCCTGTTTTTAACACTGTGCGTCCGTAATATTCTTACTTTGCCAGATAAACTAGTGCAGGTCCACAGGGTTTATTATTCTTCACATGGTCTAGGAGACTCGCACACAATTCAGTCCTTAATTCAACAAACTTGAAAAAAAATATTTAGTGTAATTTGACGATAAGGAAATGGTTAAACATGTAGTATAAAGTGACACCCTTCAATATTGTCATAAAAAATTAAAATTAAAATATAAAATATTATATGAAACTAAACTATTTTATGAAGTTTTATGCTCCTGTGTTGTGAACTAAGAACCCCAGTTGCAGCAGCCAGCCCGGTCAAATTCCCTGTCTCCAGGTATAGACCAACAATCTCATCCAGCCCAGAGATATCCGTCCCGGGACCAGTCTGTGCAGACGCAACCAGCAGCTGACTTATTGAGGAAATCAGCTGATTTCTGGCATCCTCCGGAGCTGATCTCCACGTGGTGAGAAGAACTGGCAGAGAACTGTTTAACACATCTCTACCTTGCACTTTTCCACTTCCTATTCATAAAATTAAAAAATAAAAATAATATTTTGATTACTTTTTCAATAATTATGAAGTTTAGTGAGTGCTTTCAGGTAACCAAAACCAGTTGCGCAGCGGAACAGAATTTTTTTTACCTGCTAGAGATGCAAGGATATCAATAGCTCCAGCTATAAGTCTGGTTCCTGCTGCGGAAAGATGAGGTTTAAGATCCCTCCAGACCCAACCAAACCACATCCTCCAACCTCCAACTGCATCCGGAGTTCTCAATCCTCCAACATCCGTCTCCAGGAAGTAACTAAACACAAGAGATCTCAACGGTTTTCAAAGTTTTCAAATAATTAACAATATTCAATTTACTTTAGTTTGACATGAATTAATAAGTACATGGTTTTGATACCTAACTCTTGTGAGTAATTGTCTGATCTGGAAAACAAGCTGTTCCGTAGCCTGGACCCGTATCCCCAGCAGTTCTTTCTTTAATCCGTTCCAGACTAGTTCCAGTATCTTCTACAATATTATATATATTTATATATACATAGTGCCTAGTTCCAGTATCTTCTACAATATCATATATATTTATATTTACACATTACACAGTGCCTAGTTCCAGTATCTTCTACAATATTATATATTTATATATACACACTACACAGTGCCTAGTTCCAGTATCTTCTACAATATTATATATATTTATATATACACACTACACAGTACATAGTTCCAGTATCTTCTACAATATTATATATATTTATATATACACATTACACAGTGCCAAGTTCCAGTATCTTCTACAACAATAAATATATTTATATATACACATTACACAGTGCCTAGTTCCAGTATCTTCTACGATATTATATATATTTATACATACACATTTCACAGTGCCTAGTTCCAGTATCTTCTACAATATTATATATATTTATATATACACATTACACAGTGCCTAGTTCCAGTATCTCTACAATATAAACATATATACAAATTACACACAGTTCCTAGTTTCAGTATCTTTTAGGATATAAACATACATAGGATCTAACCAATTTATACTTAGTAATTACCCATCGTCTTTCAACCAATCTGCCTACCCTCCCTCACTAATTTATACTTGGTACTAACCCAATTGTCTTTTAACCAATCTGCCTTCCCTCCCTCACTAATTTATACTTGGTACTTACCCCATTGTCTTTTAACCAATCTTCCTTCCCTCCCTCACTAATTTATACTTGGTACTTACCCCATTGTCTTTTAACCAATCTTCCTTCCCTCCCTCACTAATTTATACTTGGTACTTACCCCATTGTCTTTTAACCAATCTACCTTCCCTCCCTCTGCTTCGGAACATCTTTTAACCAGCTCGCAAAGAGATTCCACACTATCAATCTAGATTTTCAAATGAACATTAAATATTATTTTTCAAATGGGAAATTACATTTATCTTTGCAGCCTGATGAACCTTAGATACTTCAAACTTTGAACATTTGATCTAACAGAATCCAAAATTGAAATATCAAATGTCTACACCAGCTTGCAAAGATATAAGGATTAGAAAATCCGAATTTGAATAGATTTTTAAGTTCCTTAATGTCTACAAAGGAAAAAAACAGCCGTTGCTCTAGTGAAGTTTTTTTAAGAAAAAGGGAACACTTAAAACTCATAATTTTAGCAATCTGATTGTGTAAACCTTGACCAGTTGATCTAGCAGACTACTTTGTCTTCCGACACCAGCTTTTTAGATATACGGATATCAGGATAAGAATTAGAAAATCAGAGTTTTAGTCGGGTTTTCGGTTCCTTAAAGTCTAAAAAGATTTAAACAATCAACCTTTTCTCTGGTGCAAACTGTTTATAAAAAACGGAAATTATACCTAGCCTTAACTCTCAAGTTTTTATCCCAATATCTCCGATATATCGACTTTTTGATGTAGCAGACTTCTTTGTTTTCAACATCAAATAACTTCGACACCAGCTTATATGAATATAAGAGTAAGGATTATAAAATCAGAGCTTAAATCCAGGTTTCGGTTCCTTACTATCTAAAAAGGGGTTAAAACCCAACCTTTGCTGATTCTAGCTCACTATCTAGTTTCTCCATGAACAAAGGAACACTAAATTCCAGCAGACCAGGGTGGGTTATTCCTCGTCTTAAACTCAGGATCAAATCTTCCTGAATAATTATTTAGAAAAATATATTTAAAGAACTGAAAACGTAATTTTAAATAACCCTCCATTTATAGAGTGGGATGTCCGATTCACAGTGGTACCCTTTAAACCTTTGTCTGATAAGGATGAATGAGATGCTCTTTTTTATTTCCTGGAAAATTGATAGTGGTTTATCTATGATATTCTGTAGAAATGACTTGCGCATTTATGCTACACAGACAAGGAAGAAAATTGTAAGAATAAATTGATATAATGACCAATGAATGAGAAAAGAATGAATGTATGAATGGGAAAATAATGATTCCCTTAATAAAGAACAAAAAGACTAATAATTGAATATACTAAATAAAATAAAAAAGGATTAACAATAAAAGAAAGGATAAATAATACAAATAAACCAATGGAAAGACAGACAATGAACCTATTAAAAATATCTCTAAAACAATCTATTTTAGCAAACAACCATTCTAAACCAGTCTTACCTTGCTGACAGATACTGTTAATCCCTTGGGTGGAGTGAAATCTAAAAAATTAGAAAACAATTATAGTTGATAAGTTTGATAATAAATATGATATTAATAGTAATAATAACAATTTTTAATAACAAAAGTCTGTATGTAATCTTAAAGATGAGTATCCAAATAATACTTAAAGGAAAACAGTTTTTAAATGCATTATTGGTTGTGTCTGTAGAACGGATTGCATCACATTCTCTTCACAAAAACATCATATTTAAATGCTAATCTTCTTACGGTTTTATTATCTTTCTTTTTATTTTTAGCGAACACTCCCTTTAATATAAAGACAGCTGACCTATTGGAAAATAAACTGCTAAACTCTCGAAGATGTCCTCCCTGAGATGGTCAACGTTGAAGTTGTCGAGGATGAAGGAGGAACAGTTGAAGATGTTCACCAGGTTCCTGGGATCCTTCTCACCCTCACCAGCCTGATCAATAAATCAATCAATCAATTAATCACTTACCACTAATCAATCGATTTCTCAGATATTCAGTTAATCTTTCATATCATATCATATAATATCATACAGCTAGGGAAGTGTCCAACAGCTCCTTGACCTACAAGGGGTATGCCATCACAATCCCTTATAGGTGAAGGCTTTTCAGCCTGACATAGTTTAAACCTAACATCAGACACACGACCAAATTTGAGCCATGTCACCGGTCCGATTCCTTTTGTCAGCGCGACACCCAGCCAAATTCAGCCGAATCCAATCCAATCCAATCCAATCCAATCCAATCCAATCATTATCTTCACAATTCCATAGATAAATCAAAAATAAATAAATCAAATCAATAAAAAACGGGTTAAATATTTGGATAAATAAGTGACATTAAATTACCTGGAGGAATCCAACTGTAATCTGGGTTTCTAGAGTTTTTGCAAATTCAAATCTGAAATTGAACTTAAGATAGAAACAGCGATCTATATCGAATGAAAACAAAATTTTGCTAAATTACAGTGAAAAACAAAATGCACTGGTCCCAATGAAGCATTCTTTTCTTGCAATTGTTGGTCTTTATAGGTCTGCAATCTGCATTAAGTCCATGTTATGGAATAATTACACAGTAGAAGAACAATTAACCGACCAACCGTATGCATAAAGAACCCGTGTCAAGTAAGACATTTTGTAATAACTCTTTCAATATTAATAGCAGCCGGTTCTATTTTTGAACGTAGACTCATATAATTTGGTAAGAACAGGATATGAAGTCAGATTGTCGATATCTCTTTCCGGAGTCTTGGAACCTCTGAAAAGTGACCTCCGTCGGCTCCGATTTTTTATCTCCGGCCTCGTTGGACAAAAATAGCCAATTTAAAAAAAAAACTCCCAATAGCCCATAAAATGAATGAAAAAAAATATCCAAGTTTTTGATGTTAAAACGGGGTGCCGAAAAGTGCTTTTTTCGATACTTTTAAAAATGAAGAAATCAACTTTTTACATTATATTTTCCTTTCTTTTACAGATGGTGGCCGGTTTTAATTATCTAGGAGCAGGATATGAAGTCAGATTACGGAGACTTTAAACCTCTGTGGAGTGACCTCCGATTTTCTTTCTTCAATCTTAAATTAAATCCTAAAATACAATTTATAAATGTGGAAGACAGATTTTTAAAGTTATTTTCGTCTATGTCTTTCATTGATAACTAATAAGAAACATTTTAGGAAAATAAAAGAGTAAACAATATTTATAGTTATTATCTAAAACATCCGTAAAGCAAATATAATTTACTAATCTTTTTTCTTCGTTGTCTTCCCTTTATAGAAGGGTGGCATTGTTCCTGTTCTACTAATCACATATCCGAGAGAAAGTTTATATCAGGTAAAAATTATGTGACCTTACCGAAGTTATATACTGTACAATGGCACTGCAATTGTACGCATGTTTACATTTAAAAACCGGTTTTCTACTATTGTTTTTATTGTAATCAAAGAAGGGGATTACATGCAATTAGTCATGGAGTGCGAAGCATGTAAAAAGGCTTTCACACGGAAAGATAATTTTAAAAGACACGAACAGAAATGTAAAGTGGTTTTTAAATGTGAAGAATGTGAATTTGAAACCCCGTATAATAACAGCTATAAGCGACATGGTAAGATCAGGGGAAATATGTTTAAGCAAGTACATACATAGACCTGAAAATTATTCATTATCAGGATTTTTCTTTTTTTAAAGCACGGCTCACAACGGCTTTACGATGGTATACATTTTTTTCATAATTCCCCCACACCAAACAACCTGTTTTCATATTTATATTTGATGTTAATTATTTTTCAAATAAATATATACATAGACCTCTTTCCCCTATTCTGGGGGAAAATGTAATTCTTACTAAAATAAGTCCCAGTCTATCGTAATATTTATATTAACTTTTCATAAAGTTGACAGGTGCCATGCGGATTCTGGTGTCGAAAACACCCCTGTAAAGCGTAGTAGATCGGAGAAAGCTGTCGTAGATGGAAGACGATCTCTCTTTGGAAATGGTGGAGTAGGAGGTGGAGGTGTTGACGGAGGAGGTGTTGGCGGAGTAGGTGGTGGAGGTGACAGAGGTGGAGGGGGCGGAGGAGGAGGTGCCGGAGGAGGAGGTGCCGGAGGAGGAGGTGCCGGAGGAGAAGGTGACGGAGGAGATGGCGGACGAGGAGGTGGCGGAGNCAATCATCCAGTTTATCAATCAATCATCCGGTTTATCAATCAATCATACAGTTATTAATCAATCATTTGGTTTTTAAATAATCCTCTGGTTATCATTCAATCATTTGTTTCATCAATCAATCGTCTTATTTATTAATCAATCATTATCATAATAAGTGCTTATGTTTATGTAGGTCAAACTCCGTACGCTGGAAATCCTGTATGGACTCAATATCTCAACAAGTTCATATTTCCAAGCTTGCTGACGGACATTGAGTTTAAACAGACATTTGGATTGGATTCACAATCCTTCTATGCGTTCAGGTAGGACAAGTCATGTTAATTAAAGCAGAATAATTCTTAATAACTTGTTTTAAAAAGGAACTCGTATGTTGTCCCAGAATTTGGTGCTATCACGACTCATCATCTGGATACAATAACCTCGGCAGTATTGCACAAATTGTACAAGGATAACGATTACAGGCAGGGTGTGATTAATCTGTTATTTATTTCGCTTTTTTTTTAACTTGTTATGTCTTAAAACAATTCACTCATTCTGATGATTTTCTATATCGCCCAGTAATCACTTGCCTGAAATCAGAGACATGGGTATTCTTTACGGAGTTGCTCATAAAACTATTCAAAGGTGTGTATAGTTTGAATCCCTTAAAATCTTCGAAATTAAAAACACTAATTTTGTATCTTAATATTATAAAGCAACATATTTAGATGGTTTGACAGAGTTATGGGCCGTCTTCACACAAACCATCCATTTCTTGTAAATCAGAGAGATCTCGGCAATCCTGGTAAACTGAGAGGTGAGATATTCTAGTTTTTAAGATCATTTGGACTATATATTTAAAAAATTGCTTATTATTAGAAAGCAAGGTCGGGGACAAAAACTCGGAGCCGACTCAGGTTACTATTCAAGGTTCCTTTCCGGAAAGAGATAATTTTTTTCTCTTTATTTTCTACCTGTAATCTAGGAGTCATTATCAGTGTATAGGGTATTGGTTATTAAATAGGTCTATTGTTTAATAAATAAAAAACGGAACCGACGGAGGTAACTTTTTAGAGGTTCCAAGTCTCCGAGAAGAGATATCCGTAATCTGACTTCATATCCTGCTCCTAGGTAATTGGAACCGGCCACTATCTGTAAAAGAAAGGAAAATATAATGTAATAAGTTGATTTCTTCATTTTTAAAAGTATCGAAAAAAAGCACTTTTCGGCACCCCGTTTTAACATCAAAAACTTGGATATTTTTTTCCATTCATTTTATGGGCTATTAGGAGTTTTTTTTTAAATTGGCTATTTTTGTCCAACGAGGCCGGAGATAAAAAATCGGAGCCGACGGAGGTCACTTTTCAGAGGTTCCAAGACTCCGGGAAGAGATATTGGTAATCTGACTTCATATCCTGCTCCTAGGTAATTATATAACATTATTTTTAAAATTAGAACCAGCCACCATCTATAAAAGGGAGAAAAATGCCTAAAAAGGGTGATTTGTCAGAAAAAAATAATATAAACACCCCGTAGCCCCTGAAAAAATTAATTTTTTGAAATTTTTTTTTTCATCAATGTGTTAGATAATAATATAAATAATATTTTATCTTTTCTTTTCCTCCGACATTTTTGATCCGAACTTGTGAATTTTTGCAATTAAAAAAAAATCAAAAAAAACGCAATTTTTGACACCCTGTTTTGACATCAAAAACTTGATAAAAAAAAAAGGTTCCAAGACTCCGGAAAGAGATATCGACAATCTGACTTCATATCCTGCTCCTAACAAATTATATGAGTCTACGTTCAAAAATAGAACCGGCTGCTATTAATATTGAAAGAGTTATTACAAAATGTCCTACTTGACACGGGTTCTTTTCCTGCAAACTCTATAAATAGATAAATCTACCTATTTTAGAATAAATAACCGACCTAATGTAAACTAAATCGACCGATCAATAATATAAATTAACTAAATCAACTGACCTATAATATACTAAATCAACTGACCAATTGTATACATTTCCACTGACACTACTAAATCAACTGACATATTGTTTACTAATTTACTAAATTAATCGGCCTATTATATACTGACCTATTTTATACTTAATCAACTGACCTATTGTATACTCAATCAACTGACCTATTTTATACTAATTCAACTGACCTATTGTATACTAATTCAACTGACCTATTGTATACTCAATCAACTGACCTATTGTATACTTAATCAACTGACCTATTTTAAACTAATTCAACTGACCTATTGTATACTAATTTAACTGACCTATTGTATAAAGAATGAGATATAATATTGAAGACGACAGCTCTGTCTCTGACAACTTGTTGCTGCACCATCAACTCACGGAACAATCTAAAAATGCAGGGGTTTAAAAAAAAAATAATGATTCCTTTAAAAATATTTTCTTCGTACTTATAAAATCCTGCATCCGCCCCTGGCCTTGCCCTATAACAGTTTTCACGCTGAGAGATGAATTCGCGTCCTGTAATTGTTTAGTTCAACGTAAACTGCAAAGAAAAGATCCCAGAAGAAAATGAAACCTGTCCAATAGAATCTCCAGCTGATCTCTACTCAAGTTGGAGGATTTACACAGACACTGTAAACCTCTGATTAAAAAACATTATTAAAGGGACTGAAGACTGTAGACGTATTTTTATTAGTTGAGTGCATGTCCGATTCACAACGCGACGATTCATTTCTTATCTTATTTTATCCGCAGAAACGATAAAAATTGTCTTTTAATTTCAAAAATAGTATTACTTATTTTCTAAGTTACAGTCACAGAAAATGAAATTTTCAATTTGAATTTTTACTCTGTACAGTGTACACTCCAGTTTCCTGGTCCGTGTGGCTACCAGTAAACAATAATAGATTGCTGTCTTCGTTTTTTTTTTAATTGTAAAATTTCGCTTATGGTGAATTACATAAAAGTAGAAACGTCCATCATTTACGGTTAAAATTCCTAGATCCGTAGTTAGAAGTTTCTACCCCCTAATTTAGGTTCTATATTCTCAACCTTATCTTATTAATGTAATTGTAATAATTTTTTCCTTCTTCATTTTTATTATAAATATTTCTTCTTTTCTTTGCACTTCTTTTTTAGAACTGAATATGTGAAAATATATATAAAATCGAAATGTAGAATTTTTTTAATCTAAAATGTTTGAATCTTCTAGTAAAAGTCATATTTCTGAAATCCCCCAGAAATGTGTGAAAAGTAAAAAGGCTTTCAAATATTGTAAGATGCCCTGACAACTCAGACGGGTTAGAACTCAGGGGGAATATGTTACCCTGTCCACTACCAAAATGAAAATCAGAAATAAGAAAAAATACTTATTGAATGTCGTTCTCGAACAAATAATTATGAATAAAAAATACATAAATCATTTCAATTGGATAACTATTTAAAAATTCCAACCTTAAAGTTTGTGGAATAATACTATGATGGTCCCTGAGACGATCTGTGTAAAAACTGACCAAAACTTCGAGCTCCTATAACAAATTTTTAATTTAGAACCCTCAAAAATCTCTGGTTGATAGACCAAAGAACTAATTGCCCCCCCCCCCCCTCTCCCAGTTAAGAATTGCATCCATAAAAAAGTGAAGAGTTTGTTTGTTTTTAAGTGCCAAATTTTGGCTTTGTGTAAGAAGAACAAATGTTTTCAAAATTGTTTATTCTAAACATTTCCTTTTTTCCCACAATGCCAAATTTTGACCCTGACAGAAAATATGCAAAAAAAACTAACCAAAAACATTAAATAACGAAGTTTGTTTAAACAGGATATTGCAAAGTTGAATAAAAGCAAACAGAATTCTCAATTCAGTTTATTAATCATGGAAGTTTTTTTTAAAAAGCTTAAAAAAACACTTGACATAAAAAATATATTTAATAATAAATATTTTATTTAAAAGTTTATAAAACTTACTTCCTGTGTGAGGAATGTTAAAGGAAGGGTTTCCAGGGTTGAAGACAGAAAATGTAATCCTGCAGACCTCACCTACAAATATTTATTAGTTCAATTTCAAAAATGTTTTTTTTTCTTCTTCAATTTAAATTTAATTTATCTCATGTTTCTCAATTTTTTACAACTTTTATTCAACTTATGTTTATTCCAATATTTCAACAAATCTTATTTCATTTCAAATTTAATTGCTCTGTTTTATTTAATAAAATTTTAACTTTAATTTATCTTACGTTACTTAAACTATTTTAGCTTTAGATTATCTTAAATATTTGTTCATTTATTTCAATTTTAATTTATCTTACATTTCTTATATAATTTCAACTTTAATATATCTTACAATTTATTTCAACTTCAGTTTATCTTATGTTACTGAATTTATTTCAACTTAAATTTATATTATGTTACTGAATTTATTTCAACTTCAGTTTATCTTATGTTACTGAATTTATTTCAACTTTAATTTATCTTATTTTACTGAATTTATTTCAACTTCAATTTATCTCATGTTACGGAATCCATTTCAACTTTAATTTATCTTATTTTACTGAATCTATTTCAACTTCAATTAATCTTATGTTACTGAATCCATTTCAACTTTAATTATCTTATGTAACTTAATTTTTATTTAAGCTCTACTTTAAATCATGTTACTTGATCTATTGGTTGTTTAGCCGCTGACCCTTGGATCCAGTGGTTAAACGATGTAATGATGACGACTTTCTGTTTTGGCGTACGAGGGGAGTTAGTTCTCACTCTCTTATGTACTGTACTGCTGACGTGTATCCTTCTCATTGGGGGGGGGGGGGCCTCGCCCCTCTCTCTCTCCTCTACTACCTCCCTAGTTCAGTTTACTTCAGTCTTCATCCTTCATTCAGGTGAACCATTTCTTCTTATGTAACAAGGATAGTATTTTTTCTTTTATAACATAACTTCTAATAGAAAACTTTTATTTGCTTTTCATAAACACTTACAGTTTTAACTTCCTTTCAAAACAACAAAAAGTTAGTTTTTTAAATAAACTCTATAAAAGACATTTTTCTAAATTATTTCTACTCTTAGTATACTTTAATTCAAATAAAAAAAAATCCAACTTAATTATTTCCTCACTTTCATTTTTTTACTCATAAAAAGTTTTCTTTAAAAACATGACATTAATTTCTTATTTATTTAGTCATGGCACGGAGAAAGAAGTGTACAACTATACACTACCGGTTTCTCCAACACCACCGATCTAGCATTAGAGGAATTCACCAATATCTCCTTTATAAGAAATATAAAAACTGTACTCCTTCCAAATATAAATTGGAACAAAGGGGTAATTAGAGCCTTATGTTTTTCCCTCAACGCAGGCAACCAGAATAAAGCCAAACGCCGGAAAATTTTGGACCTGCACTTCCCTCACCATCCCCCGACCTATTCATCTTCTCCTTCCCTGACAGGAGCCTAATCTAAGAATATACCCCTACCTTGGACTTCACCTACCTGTTCACCTGAAACAATACAATACTCCAACCTGCAGATCTACTTGCGTCCAACATTTCCGATTTCTGCCTTAGAGCTTTTATTTACTTCCGATTCTTTTGCTAGAATTCTAATTCTACCTTACCCCTTTTCTGAAAATTTTCAAGCTACTTTCCCTTTATATCAAGATCCCCGATTCCCCGGCATCAAATTATGCGACTAAGAATTTCCTCTAGGTCCAGCAGGACTCTGTTCCCGGCTAGAAAGATACTGGGGTTTACCTCTACTTCCAGCAATCTTATCAGGCTCTAAATTTTTTTTGATTTCCTTCCCCTAACTCTACAACTGGGCAGACATCATTTGTAAAGATTTTACAGTAGAGTATTAAAATTCCCAAAAGGACGTACTTTACTGAATCTATTTCAACTTTAATTTATATCAAATGTTGTTGACAATTCATAAGACCTCAGATAATAATCAAGTCTTCTAAAAAAGAAGTACAATGGAATGGTTTCAGGCCGAAAAGCACTGGTCAAAGTTATCTTAATTTTAAAAAGGTATTTGGTAGTACTCAAATATCTTTGATTAATTAAATTGTAATAATATATCTAAACGATTTTTCTCAGAATTCATAAAATTACATTTTGTTCATGTACAGCTTTTTGTTTTGCAAGACAATTAAGAGGATAGAAATATACAAACCTGAGGTTTTGTATGTGTAAGCACAGGACCCAACAGTTCTATTTGTCAACATAATTAAATTAGTGTTCATTAAGTTAATTTTGACAAACAACAAAGATGGTGGTCGGCCTAGTTTAAGAACTCTTAAACAAAAGTTTTAATACAATCCCGTCCCGTCCCATGCCATGATACCAAGTCCCATCCCATCCCATCCCATCCCATCCAATCCAATCCCATCCGTTTTTTTATTATGCCTCCCTACAAGGTGCAGTAAGCTGGATTCCGGTTCCTGTATACTTGTACATATTCTACACGGATTTATATTTAAAAAAAGAAGAGAGTTTTCGAAATGTTTAATCATGGAAATTGGAAATGCATTTATCTAATTTAAGAAAGTGCAGTGTAAGAAAAGAACACTCTGCTAATGCAGTTGGAAATAATGTTCACTTTTGCCAAAATAAATGCAGTAATGCACTAAATAAGTACAATCATTTGTTTTTACTCCAAAAAATTAGGTTTAGTTAAAAAAATTTCCGTTCACGTTTTGTTAAAAAAATCAGCTGAATTGAAATGTTTTGAAAAATAAATTATGTAAAATGTATGATTTGTTTCTTTGTTAGAAATGAAGTATAGATCCGGGTCTTGGTTAACATTACAAAAATATTTAAATCCAAATGTGTTAAGTGTTTGACCTTTCATTTCCTAAAGTTTAATATAAAAATATAAAAATAAATCAATCAAACGTGACGTAAATTAAATCATAAAGATTGAGACCAGGTTTGATTTTGATTTTCTATCATCAATCTGGCAGATATGGATCCTAGATATTTTTTAATAAAAGGGATTTTTAAAAAATAATTCCGGTTCCTGTCAGAATTCTCCTTAATCCAGTCTTCTCCTGCCTCACCCGCCAGTAGGATCTCAAGATCCAGGTTCAACATTTTCTTTCTAGGTAGATCAAATGTCACAATAATTAATTATTAACCACCTACTTTTTAAATATTAACTAAATCTTACTTTGCATTATATGTTTCTTAAGTTAAATAATCAGTAAATACTCGTTAAAAAACATTAATCAATTAATCATATTTTCTTATTCTAATTTTGTGCAAATTTTCAATCAATAATTACATAAGTCCAAGGAAAGGTAAAAGTTTTAAGTTATTAAGATGCAATAATCAATAATATTCGTAGTCAATCACAGTAAAAAAATCCCGAAAATTTCATCAAAGTGACGTTGTGCTTCGCAATAATAGTGAAAGTAAGAAATAATGACTGAGTATTTGAAACATTGAAGAAAGTGTCATGGTAGAAGAACTATGGTTCCACTGATCCACCGATATTGACCGTAACAAAGTCATCTGTAGGAATATTGTTGTTGTTCAGGTAGGTGTCAAGTAGTTTAGGAGGCTCCAGGTAGTTCTCAACAGTCAGCTTGAAGGTACCCCAGTGTATACCAAGGGATCTTAAACAATTATTTTAGGAATTTAAAAAATAAAATAAAATATGAAGTCAAGTAAAGTCAAATCAATAAAAACCAAACCAAACCAAACCAAACCATCAAATCAAACCAAACCAAACCAAACCATCAAATCAAACCAAACGTTAATCTGACAAAGATCTCGAAGTGGATTTTGAGATAAACTTGCACAATATAATATCGTGCAATTTTTGGGAACACACTTTAGAGAACACACATGAATATTCTTCGGCAAAATTCACGGAATAACATTACAAGTCAGGCGTCTAACAAAAAAATGTTCTTACTTTTGGCTTTTAACATCTTTGTGTATTTCCACTGCCTCTCCTGGATGTACATGTTGATATTTCATAAACCAGTTTGGTTGGTAGGCACCTGTACCAGGCACAACAATTTTAAAATGTTTTAAAATGTAAAATGTTTTTAGAAAGGCATTTTAAAATGTAAAATATTTAAAATTGCATAAGTTTTAAAAGGTATAATGTTTCAAAATGTATAGTGTTTCAAAATGTATAGTGTTTCAAAATGTAAAATGTTTAAAATTGTATAATGTTGCAAAATTTGTTATGTTTAAACATGTAAAATGTTCAAAATTTATAATATTTTAAAACGTATAATGTTTTAAAATGTAAAACATTTCAAAATGTAAAATGTAAAACATTTCAAAATGTAAAATGTTTAAAATTGTATGATGTTTAAAAATGTAAAAAGATTTAAAATGTAGAAGTGTCTTAAAATGTAAAATGTTTCAAAATGTAAATGTTTCAAAATGTTAAATATTTTAAAATGTAGAAGTGTATTATAATGTAGAAGTGTCTTAAAATGTAGAATTTTTTAAAAATGTATAATGTTTTAAAATGTAAAAGAATGTATAAAAATGTAAAATGTTTTCAAATGTAAAATATCTTTAAATGTATACTGTTTTAACAAGTATAATGTTGTTTTTAATGTAAATGTTTCAAAATGTAAAATGTTTAAAATTGTATAATGTTTCAAAATGTAAATGATTAAAAATGTAAAATGATTTAAAATGTAAAGTATTTTAAAATGTAGAAGTGTCTTAAAATGTAAAATGTTTCAAAATATATGATGTTTCAAAATGTATAATGTTTTAAAATGTATAATGTTTCAAAATGTATAATGTTTTGAAATGTATAATGTTTTAAAATGTAAAATGTTTTTAGAAAGGCATTTTAAAATGTAAAATTTTTGAAATGTATAATGTTTTAAAATGTATAATGTTTCAAAATGTATAGTATTTCAAAATGTTTAATGTTTCAAAACGTAAAATGTTTTTAAATGTAAAATGTTTCAAAATGTAAATGTTTCAAAATGTTAAATATTTTAAAATGTAGAAGTGTATTATAATGTAGAAGTGTCTTAAAATGTAGAATTTTTTAAAAATGTATAATGTTTTAAAATGTAAAAGAATGTATAAAAATGTAAAATGTTTTCAAATGTAAAATATCTTTAAATGTATACTGTTTTAACAAGTATAATGTTGTTTTTAATGTAAATGTTTCAAAATGTACTGCTGCCAAATTAAAGAATATCAAAATTCATGATTTGAACCTATTTTGCATTTGTTAAAATTTAATTGAAATCAGTAAGAAGTGTAAAATTAGTTTCTATTCAGTAATAAATCAGGGGCCCAATTTTATTAATTTAAACTTCCATCCGGTTCAAATTTGAACCACTAATTCAAATCCTTCCTTAATCTTAATCTTTGAATCGGTGGTTCATATTCAGTAGCGACCTTGCTCAAATTCATTAAATTCGGTCCCGATCTGTTTTACCAAACATTGATTTTAAAATGGTGCCTCATATGATAATTTAGTTAATATCAGAAAAAATTGATCATGCCCTAACCTATAGGTATAGCTGCCATGCTGAACGGGCCATATTTTTCTCCTACACAAATTAGAATATAGAGGGTGTCCCAATATGAGAGGAGACTGACGAATTTAAAATCGTCTTTCTGAATGATAATTTGTTTCAGTATGTTAGCCCTATCACGATTGGGGGGGGGGGGATGTTCTCACCCCCATCAAAATAGTTTTAAACAAATTTTTCTAAATTTTTTTTAATTGATGCATATGGTAGGGTGGAGGACGGTCAAACGGCGAGTCGGTGATTCAAAAAAATCAGAAATGGTCAATAACCTTTTTATAAATTGTAAATGGATATAATAAACATATAAAACTAACTATTATTGAAATTTTTTTTTACTTACTTTAAAACTTTTTAAAAATACTCCCTTACACCCTAACAAATAAAGTTTTCTTTTTTTAATGAGCAGGCCTTGAAAAGTTGGACTTGGGACAAGTACCGCACTCCCCTACCTCAACTCTTAAGGGAAAAATCATATGGGGGACCCCCCCCCCCTCAATATTAGACAAAAATAGCTCAATCGGGATAGGGTTAATCCCTACTAGGTAATTTGTAGTAAATAAATCTGTAAAAAGTATGTTAATGGTTCATGTGGGATTGCATACTAATCTTTATAATGTAGTAATATGAGACAATTCATGGAAATAAACAATTTCAGATTGTTCCTCTTCAGTCTTCACTGCTCATTTACAGATATAATACAGACTAAACCTGCTTAAGGGAATAACGAAACAGAGGTTATACCATTTACATCAACTTTTTTTATATATCAAAGTAATAAATTACTTTAAAAAAATAAATTCAAGGATATATCTAGTTTATTTCTGCCAGCAATAAAATAATTTTTTATTTTTAGGGTCCTGAGTAGATAAAGAGAATAGATAACATAAGGTTAAAAAACATTCTATCAAATATAAAGATTATATTGCCTATTTGTTTGAATGCTTCTGAATATGCAGTATCCCCTCCAAACCAGAATGAGTTGTTTGGACCAATCACAGACCAGGATCCCCACAGTACAGTGTTATCATCACTATACAAACAAAGGTACTGAAAGTGAACACTTGCCCCAAACTCTAGTTTCATAATCCTTATTTATTGGCAACTTGAAAAATTTATACTTAGTTTGAAATATCAAAGGTTCACATCATGCTGCCATGATACAAAGATGAGAGAACTAATAATTAGAGCGTGTTTCCTTATTTAGTTGCATACATTGTAAAGAATGCCATGTCGCCAAGACATTACTTGTGCCCCCAATCAAAATTTGAGGAAAATCGGTTATGATCTGACAAACAAACAAACAAACACCCAAACAGAGATTACAACTTTAAATATATATAGATAAAGAAATGAAAAATGTAAATAATATATTAAATGAGGAAAATAAAACTATAGAAGTGCATAAATGAGCGAAAAGAAACAAAAATAAATGAAATGAACGAAATTACCAAATAAAACGAATTATGAAAAATGAAAAAATGTACAAAAAACACAAAACTAATGCATAAATGAGCGAAAAGAAACAAAAAATGAAAGAAATGTTAAAAATTACTAAACTAAACGAAATATGAAAAATGAAAAAATGTACCAAACCACAAAATAAATGCATGAGTAAAAAGAAACAAAAAATGAAAGAAATGTAAAAAATTACTGAACTAAACGAAATATGAAATGAAAAAAATGTACATAACACACAAAATAAATGCATGAGTGAAAAGAAACAAAAAATGAAAGAAATGTAAAAAATTACTAAACTAAATATGAAAAATGAAAACATGTACAAAACACGCAAAATAAATGCATAATGATAAATGAGCGAAATGAAAAAAAATGAGTTGAATGACAGAAATGTGAAAATGTAAAGAACCTGACTGATCTCTTACACCAATGATTTGCCGGGGTAAATACAATCTTCACATCGGAGTTAGAAAGCTTTCTGACATCATCAATTTGAATATTTATTTATTCAGATATTTTCAAAAACAAGTTTTAATATTTACAGACGTAAAAGGGTTTTAATACTACTAGCTTTGAAACCCAGCTTTACCTAGAGTTTTCCTTGTTTAAGTCAAACCCGTTCAACTTGGAATTTTTAAACCAAGCTAAGAACATTCCAGTGTTCGATAAAATTATGAGGAAAATCGGAAAACAAAGATTACTACGTTATATATATATATTATGCTGGGCTATTTCAACTTGTAATTGTGGCTCTATCTGTGTGCACTGTGCATCTTCTCTTGGTATAATATAATATAAACAATAACAAAAGTTTGCGGATTTATTAAGATTTTTTCGTGCATTTTCAAACTTTAACAATAATAACAAGTTTTTGGACACAATTTTTTTTTATAATTTTGAGCTTACATCCTTCCGAGGTCATGTGAGGTCCTACACAAAATTTGGGCCCGACCGTTTCAGCCGTTTAGACGATTATTGGTCACAAACGGACAGACACCCAAGCAAAGTATATATCAAAATGAAAAATGTTTAAAATTGTATAATGTTTCAAAATGTAAATGACCTCTATTAAAGTTTAGGGTTCCTTGTTTAGTTCGGAGTTGTGTATATAAGTTTAGATGGTCCTGTCAGAGTTTATATATACGTCTTCATCCAATATTCTTGATAGATAGAAGGTTGAGTGATTTAATGGTTGGATGCTACAGGGTGTCCTAATAAACTGGATGGTACATGGTGTCTCAATAAAATGGATGGTACACCGTGTCCCAATAAAACGGAAACTCCTAAAATGTGACGATCCCAAAGTTAAATTAAGTATTCTGCCTTAGATATGGTCAAGGTAAGGTAAGGCCTTAAGAGAATTTGTACTCAGAATACACCAAATTCCGTAATATACAATGAACTCTTTTTCGGTGGCTGTACAATTGTATATTGGTTGTTTGTAAACAAACACAACCGAAACTGGACTCGAACCTAAACATGAAATTGGACCCAGTATTCAAACCTTAGTAGCAGTTCGGAGTTACATAGTTACACATACAAACTTTACTTGAACCGAAACATGAAATTGGACCCAGTATTCAAACCTTAGTAGCAGTTCGGAGTTACAGAGTTACACATACAAACTGGACTTGAACCGAAACATGAAATTGGACCCAGTATTCAAACCTTAGTCGCAGCCCAGAGTTACATAGTTACACATATAAACTGGACTTGAACCTAAACATGAAATTGGACCCAGTATTCAAACCTTAGTAGCAGTTCGGAGTTACATAGTTACACATACAAACTGTATTTGAACCGAAACATGAAATTGGACCCAGTATTCAAACTTTAGTCGCAGTCCCGAGTTACATAGTTACACATATAAAGATAAAATATGTTAAAAGGTAAATTAATTCACAATTTTAAAATATTTATCAACCCCCTCTCATGTCGAAATTGTAAATTAATGTTTCGACATTAGCCTGATTAAATTTAAATGTAAACAGATCCAAAACCAGTTTTTACCCACCGAAACTGAGTTCATAGTGTCGATTTATATACAGGCAAAGCTGGATTCCCAAGCCAGTTCCAAATAAAATCTTTCAGAAATAAATTTTATTTTTAACAAACCATAGTCTAAGATTATATGGAACGGGAAATTTCAGGAGAAAAATAATACGACGGTGGTAGGGTATAATCAGACAAAAATATTATAAATTTTTTTTAAATTTGATATTTGAATTTCCTTTCTTCCCACCAATCCATCTCAAATACATTATTCTCCGATACACCAGTATTGGTTCTCATCCAACTTTTCATTCCTAAAAATATTCTCTTAAAATTTTAAACATTTTCAAGACCTGCTAATCCCTGCCCTCCCCTTACCCTCCATATCATATACATGCTTTATATTTCAGAATATCACAAAACCTGCAAATCCCTCCCCTCCCCCCTACCCTCCATATTATATACAATGCTTTATATTTCAGAATATCACAAAACCTGCTAATCCCTGAGTCCCCTCCCCCCTACCCTCCATATTATATACATGCTTTATATTTCAGAATATCACAAAACCTGCTAATCCCTCCCCTCCCCCTACCCTCCATATTATATACATGCTTTGTATTTCAGAATATCACAAAACCTGTTAATCCCTCCCCTCCATATTATATACATACTTTGTATTTCAGAATTTATATCACAAAACCAGCTAATCCCTCCCCTCCCCCCTACCCTCCATATTATATACATGCTTTGTATTTCAAATATCACAAAACATTAATTCCAAACATAAATAAAGCAAAAATATCATAGAAATAAAATCCATTTTTATATCTCCACAAATCCCCATACCCACCCTCCCTTAACCATACACATATTCTTGACAACTATAAACTGAAGAACATTAGAAAAAAGACTTGTATATCTATTCTATGGATCCCCAAAGAATTGAATCAATACTATTAATTACAAACTACTCTAACCTTTGACAGGAGAGAAAACTTTAGAGAAAATAATTTAAAGAAAATATTAAGGTTAATGTAAGTTAAGTAGCTATGGCTAGTTTTAATACTTCTCGACCACACAAAGGAAATAGTTCAACTATTCCTAGCTATGGCTAGTTTTAATACTTCTCGACCACACAAAGGAAATAGTTCAACTATCCCTAGCTATGGCTAGTTTTAATACTTCTCGACCACACAAAGGAAATAGTTCAACTATCCCTAGCTATGGCTAGTTTTAATACTTCTCGACCACATAAAGGAAATAGTTCAACTATCCCTACCTAGTGCTGGTTTAAATACTTCTCGACCACACAAAGGAAATAGTTCAACTATCCCTAGCTAGTGCTGGTTTAAATACTTCTCGACCAAACAAAGGAAATAGTTCAACTATCCCTAGCTATGGCTAGTTTTAATACTTCTCGACCACACAAAGGAAATAGTTCAACTATCCCTAGCTAGTGCTAGTTTAAACACTTTTTTACATACTCAGTGGTTGACGGCAAAATATGTAAATTTGTGTTTTTATTATTGAATTAAAGGGACTGTCAGCGTAATTTCAAGTAACCCTCCATGCAAAGATGGCAAAGGTAACCTTGAAACCTTTATCTGATCAATGTTGTGGAAAATATTATATTTCTTTATCTAAAAGTATTTAATTCTGATCATTCCTGTATGCTTTTCTGCAGTAAAATTGCTCAAGTTACTTTTGTAGAAACACCACAATTATAATTATAAACATTGATATCTAATTAATACTTGATTAGACAAAGCTTTTAAGGGTACCGTTGTGAATCGGGCATCGCCATCTTTGCATGAAGGGTCACTTGAAATTAAAATTAAGCTTTTAAATTCTCTTTAAGAGAAAAACTGAACACAAAACAGGCATCTCATTGAAAAAATTTAAAATAAAATTTCAATAAAAAGATAAAACCTTTGGGAACAAAGAACTCGCAATCTGGTTGCTTCTTGGCAATATCCCGTACACTGTTCAGGTCAAGGTGGTCGTAGTGATTATGGGAGATTACTACAGCAGACAAAGGAGGCAGGTCATCTATACTACAGGGAGCAGGTCGGTATCTAGCAGGTCCGGCAAACTAGAATATATATATAGAGGAGGGAGGTCATTTATAATACAGGGAGCAGGTTGATATCTAGCAGGTCCGGCAAACTAGAATATATATAAAGGAGGCAGGTCATCTTTACTACAGGGAGCAGGTCGATATCTAGCAGGTCCGGCAAACTAGAAAATATATAGTGAGAAGGCAGATCATTTCTGTTGCAGGGAGCAGGTCGTTATCTAGCAGTTCCGGCAAACTAGAATATAAATATACCAGGCTTCTTCTATTTCAACTTTTAATTGTGGCTTAATATATGTGAACATCCTTACAGCATAAGAAAACAAAAGTTCGATGATTTCATACTATTCTTTTCGCGCATTTTGAAAATTTTACAAAAATTAAAATATTTTTAAAACAAATTTTCAAGATTTGATCATTCATAAACCTATCCTGGAGTCACATGAGGTCCCAAACAAAATTTGGGCCTGATCGGTTCAGCCGTTTTGACGTTTATTTGATAAAAACAGACAAAAAGGTGAACAGACAGTCAGACACCCAGACAGACAATCAAAGTATATATATATATAGATTGTGAAGGGGCAGGTCATCTATACTACAGGGAACAGGTCGATATATAAGATATATGTATACCTTACAAGACTAGCTCTATATGAGAAGATATGATCTATGTATTGTATAATAATAATAATAATTATAAGATCTGAAAAGGAACCCAACATGGAACCCCCAGACCGCCCTCAGGGTGCAGACCATCAACATGCAGTCTGCAGTCTGGAATCCATCCAGGCTATCACACAATGTTTAACGCCCGTGTGATAGTGATACATTCCTAGTGGCTGGCAGCCCGAAAGCCAGTTGCGTATCAAGCAACCCCCCATAACGGTAAACCCAGTGCAGGCCCCTGGGATGAGGCCAGCCAGTCTACCTGAGCATTATTGGAGAGAAGAGACCTGCTGGAACCAGGACTCCAACACTTGCTTGAGTGTAGCAGCTTGCTGGTTGAGTGCTCCAACATCGACACCATCCCCGCCTACATACGCCCGGAGCACCCTGGACTGGAGGAAACCTCCACCAAGAGCGTACACGTTGACTTAGGCCTCAAGGCCTGAGACCCTCCTGACATAGGCAGAAGCAGGGCATTTTAAAATTATTATTATTATTAAACAAAACTTCTTGGGGATTTTATTCCCCGTATAAAGCCACACCCATCAGTACTTCCCCTCACGATACGTGTACAATCACACCTGGGGTTGTAAACCGCCTAGGGCATGTTCTATTATTGAACCCTGGATGTAAGCATACTGGGTGTTGGGATTATTGGGAACCTGAGTAGACCGAGCCCCAAGGTTGACATCCACCAACTCACCCACCCCTAACTGGACAACAGGTCCTGTACAGGGGATGGTTTGTTTCTATGTAAAATCAACATGGTCTTTCTCAATTGATTCATTATAGTCTGGCATATGGTAATTCCCAACTATTATGGGACGTTTTTTTCCCTTCTATTTATCAGCTATTAGTTTAAAACTACTATTTTATCTTCCATCTGATACTTAATATCCTAATATAAATTTTATTTCCTTGATTTGATTTAAGATTTATTAAATTCTCACCTCACATATGTTGAGTACATTCCATCCATTTTTTTGCCATCAAATTGATGTTTCTTGCACGTTTCAGAAGTTCCATTCTACTGCATCCATCCTGTCCTAGGTATCATCTAAGGATGTGCTTGGTGGCCATCCCCTGGTTTTTCTCTTCGTATTCAGCTATTTCACAATCTTTCCTCTCCCTTGTTGTTATCGGGCACTCAAGCAGTACGTGGGGTTCATTCAGCCTAACATACCTGCTATTTGTACTACAGACTGGGCATATTTTCCACTGCTTTCCATACTTGTTTCTCATCCAGTTTGCCAGACCTAGCCATGTTTATGATTTTACTGGGTCTACAATCATTTACATGTTCTGGTAGTTTGAACCACTCTCTTGGTTGTGGTTGGGACTGGAGTGAATGAAGACCTTGTTTAGCATCTAGGACTGATTCAATTGCCACATCATTCACTTTCTTGCGTAGCAGAGATAGTGATAGATCAGGAATGTTGGATTTGATAGTGTCTTCTATCTCCTTGATGTCTCTGGCCCATTCATCCTCCTCTGGGTTTTCCAGGACTACTCTGAGACACTCTGTAAGAATTGGGTCCTTCTTCTTGTTTACTGCTCTCCAGTAATACCTAGCCTTTCTCATCCATATTCTAAACTTCATTGGCATGAGTCCTGCATCAGTCCATGAAGATACCCGTGCAGTTGAGTAAGGAACTTGGAGTATGAAATTCCCAGCCTCTCCCAGGATTTTCTCTAGGGACTCTATCGTTTTCTTGTTAAAACTCATAACCTCTGAGCAATAGAGGATAGCTGGGATCCCGCATGTTTCCCACAAGATCCTGGCTAATCTTGATCTATCCAGTCCCGATCTTGTTAAGCTCATGACTGAGTGAGCCTACCTCCTTGCTGCTGTGACCACATCCTTCACTCTTCGTAGAATACACCTGCCTCTTAGCTGGATATTTACTCCTAGGTATTTAGCAGTCAATGACTCCTTCAGTGTATCCTCAGAATTACCAATCCTCCGTTTTTTACCAGGGTCTCCTGTTGTGAGAACGAATGATTTCCCAACCGTTAGCGTCATCTTCATACTCAAGCAGAACTGGTTTAATTCCCCTAGTAGATAACACATTCCTCTGATTGGAGTCCTAGAAATAAATATGAGATCGTCAGCGAAAAACAGTCCGGTAAGCTGTACTCCTCCAATATCAATCCCTCGCTTTGTCTCTTGCAGGCGAATTCCCAATCCAGAAATATATAGGGCAAACAGTATGGTTGATAGTGCGCATCCTTGTTTAACTCCGCATGTAAACCATAGCGGACTAGATACTCCTTGACTTAACTTGATCACCACATTATCATTGTAATACATGGACTATATCAGCTGTAACACTTTACCTCCAAACCCACTGTACTCTAACTTTTTTTATAAAGTCTCTCTGTCAATCGAATCATAGGCCTTCTGTAGATCGCAAAAAGCTACTGATATCCTGTACTTTTTCTTCTTTGCCTTTCTCACTGCAGCCAATAGGAGAAAGACACAATCTGTAGTCGACCTTCCTGGTCTGAATCCATACCGAGTATCCCCAAATAGGTTCTCTCTCTCGCATATCTTTAGCATTCTGTAGATTTTGTAATTACACTTAACATCAGATTGGATACTGTAATCGGTCCTTTATTTGAGATTTTTAATGACGCTTCTTTCTTGTCTATTTGTGTCATTTTTCCAGTGTTCAGGCACTCGGGGGTTTCTCCTGTTTCAAGACATATGTTAACTAGTTCCGTGAGTTTTCTGTTGAACAGTTCTGATAGCATGAGCTTCATTCAGTGCAACAGATGAACCATTCTGGAGACAGAACGGGCATAGTTTGTAAGATTTGCCAAAGTCGTTAGGGCGTCTATTACCCAATCCAACATCCCCTGCCCGGACTCTGCATAGTAGCCGTGACGACTGTGAGTCAGTCACATGAGGCTGAAGTTTGAACCAGTTGGTTGGTAGAGGCATGTATCTCAGGGAGATGTGCTCACGCTTCTTGGCAGTCACTGTCTGAATGGCTGCCTGGAGTAAGGTCCTTCGGACCTCGGACTTTGGCTTACGGAAAAGTCCACTCCCTGCCAGGTCCAGGTCTTGGACTGATTTTGCCCGAGGGTCCTCTCCAGACCTCATGACTGAGGCAAACACACTAATTAATATTGGGTCCCTCCCCTTATTGACAATCCTCCATACATACAGGCCAATCCGCTCACCCATGGGTTTCAGGCCAGCGTCGACAAATCCAGCGACACCTGACGCAGATGATGGGAGCTGGAGGATGAACCTGGCCACCTGGCCTTGGATTCGCTCCAGGGCCCCCACTGTAATGGCTGAGATGATCATGGCCTCAATACCGTACAAGACTGAAGGGATGGCGCAGCACTCCCAAAGTTTACGTGCTATCAGAGCTCTATCCAGACCTGACTGGGTTAGCCCAATTATGGTATGAGCATAGGATCTTGCCACTGTTAACATCCTCTCCTCCCTAGCCTTAACCAAATTTTGTCCTTTCACTTGGATATCGACCCCCAGGTACTTCCCGACCAGGAGAGCCTCGAGCTCCGGCTCATCCTCTGAGACCAACCATGAGGAGTCATTTGGCCCATTGGACAGAATGATGGTTTTGCTGACCGCCAGCTTCATGTGCATGCCAGCACAAAAGCGCTGAACTACCCAGAACAAGCGCTCCATACCTCGTCGTCTTGTTCGGGAGATCAGGATGAGGTTAACAGCAAAAAATAACGCTGATATTACCAGACCACCAAACTCCACCCCTTCCTGCATTGAGTGGAGGACATTACCCAAGGAGCTAATATCTAAGGCAAACAGGAGTGGTGAAAGCACACACTGCTGCTTCACTCCCTTGGTAAACCAAAGGGCACTGTGAGGCCCCCTCTAATTCTGACCTGCACGCAATCGTTACAGTACAGGGATTGAATTAGGGCTTTGACTTTCCCCCCAAACCCAAGGGCGTCCAGTTTCCGATACAACAATTCCCGGTTCACCGAATCATAAGCTTTTGCAATATCACAACAAGCTATGGAGATTATCTGGCCCTTGCGTTTGGCTCTCCGAATAGCTGTTAACAAGATTAATATGCAATCAGACGTAGACCGGTTCTTAAAGAAACCGTACTGGACTGCACCATAGTATCCTTCGGCTTCACAGATTGGGTCCAGGCGACCGTGCAAGATCTTTGTGATTACTGACAGCAGAACACTGGGCAAGGTGAGAGGGCGTTTGTCCTTTACAAGTAACGAGGGGGCTTTCTTGTCAATGAGTGTCATTTTCCCGACAGCAAGTGACTTGGGTACCTGACCCTCCTCAAAGACAGAGTTGATCAGCCCGGTGAACATCCTAATAAACAAGGGTCCCACCAGCTTGAGCATAGATGAGGTTACCCCATCCACCCCTGGGGCACGGTTCACCTTCAAACCTGCGATCACTTTCTCAACTTCATGCTCAGATACCGGCCGGCAAACCTGCACAAACTCCTCAATTCTAGCCCTTGCTGTAGCCAGAACTCCATTGGCATCTTGGAGAGCTGACAGGCTTCCCGCTTTCTTGACGGCATTCCGAACCAGTCACCAAAACTGCTTAGACTGCTTGACTTCATTAGCCTGAGTCGGTTACTGCGAATTCTTCTCCTGAACAGGACCTTTTCCCCAATCTGGAGTCTGAGAGTCGAGCTAACCCACCTTGCCTTGGCTAGCTCAGCTTCCTTTGCTTCTACTAGGCCCTGGGGGAATCCAGCAACCCTCTGCTCAATGGATAATCTCCTGGCCACTGCCTACGCACGCATGCAGCAGGCCCTTGCCCTAACTGGTGCTTTAGACGCTACAGACGACCTTTTGATCGTCTGAGCAGGTACACCAGCTTGGTCAGCTGCGAGTACCAAGGTGTTTTGGAGAGCCTCACACTTCTGTGAGACATCCACACTACCCCAGTCAAACTTCTCACACAATGTCATGAATTTGTACTGAAACAGATCCTTGTTGAGGTCTGAGGGGTTAGGCACCCGGATCTCCTGCGCAACAGGTGTGTCATAACCTTCTGCACCAACATTGAGGGTAACAATAAGAGGGGAATGGTTGCTCCCTGCCAAGAATTGGTTAAGCTCATCAACCACCATGGAGTGTACCAACACTGTTGGGCCTCCCCCCTCAATGACCAGATCTAGAAGGGAAACCGAGTTTGCAACCACCCTGGTAAAGGTGCCCAGGCACCTATCCTTGTCTGCATTGACAATGCAGAGGTCATTGTTGAACACAAACTCCCTTATTAGTCTACCATTTTATTTAATGTCAGGATTGTTCCCGACCACTCCCTGATCATCACACCCAATGTGGCCATTAAAATCACCAACTAGGAGGCAAGCGTACCCTTGCTCAGTGAGGGCGACCATTTCAGCTTGAATCATATTGATCAAGTCAGCATTCCAGACAATATGCTTGGTTCCCCCCCCCCCCCCTCTGCTGCCAAGTATACAGAGCAAATAGCCAGGTCACGACCTCCCTCATGCACCAACACCCAGTCACTCTCTGCATCCAGGTATGGAAACATGACCAGCCCTGGAACATGCCACATGTGATTAATACTGGACAGCACAAGAATTGACTGTCCCCCGCCTTGTTTCTCATGTCCCAACTGGTTCTTGGTGTACAATTCACATCCCCTGAAGGATGACAAATCTTCAACTGCCCCTGCCCTGATGTGGGTCTCTGTTAGGAAAACTAGGTCTAATTTATGCTTTTCAAAGGCGTCGGCAACTTGGTCATTCTTGTCAGAACACAGCAGGTCGTTGCAGTTCCAAGCCACCAAGTTTAAGAAATCCCCTCCACCAACCAACAGTTGAGGCACTGGGTTTAGCTGCCTGTACAAGGCTAGCTCTATATAAGAAGATAGTATATATGTATATCTATACAAGACTAGCTATATATGAGAAGATAGTATATATGTAAACCTGTACAAGACTAGCTCTATAGGAGAAGATAAAATCTATGTATACCTGTACAAGAATAGCTCTACAGGAGAAGATAAGATCTATGTATACCTGTACAAGAGTAGCTCTATATGAGAAGATAGGATCTATGTAAACCTGTACAAGACTAGCTCTATATGAGAAGATAGTATCTAAGTATACCTGTACAAGACTAGCTCTATCTGAGAAGATAGGATCTTAGCTCTATAAGAGAAGATAAAATCTATGTACACCTGTACAAGACTAGCTCTATATAAGGAGATATGATCTATGTATACCTGTACAAGACAAGATCTATATGAGAAGACAGGATCTACGTATACCTGTACAAGACTAGCTCTATCTGAGAAGATAGGATCTATGTAAACCTGTACTAGACTAGCTCTATATGAGAAGATAGGATCTATGTATACCTATACAAGACTAGCTCTATAGGAGAAGATAGGATCTATGTATACCTGTACTAGACTAGCTCTATATGAGAAGATAGGATCTATGTAAACCTGTACTAGACTTGCTCTATATGAGAAGATAGGATCTATGTATACCTGTACAAGAATAGCTCTATATGAGAAGATAGGATCTATGTATTGTATACCTGTACAAGACTAGCTCTGTATGAGAAGATAAGATCTATGTATACCTGTACAAGACTAGCTCTATATGAGAAGATAGGATCTATGTATACCTGTACAATACTAGCTCTATATGAGAAGATAGGATCTATTTATATCTGTACAAGACTAGTTCTATATGAGACGATAGGATCTATGTATACCTGTACAAGACTAGCTCTATATGAGAAGATAGGATCTATGTATACCTGTACAAGACTAGCTCTATATGAGAAGATAGGATCTGTAAGAATAGTTTTCCCATCAACCTCAGCCAATACACTAGCATGCCCTAGCCAAGTCATTCTAAAAAAAAATAATTAAACAATAGGTTTGATGCTACATTGGGCCCTATATAAGAATACACATACACAGTTATTAAGATACGTTGATTTTCCATTTAGTGGTAAAATTTTTTGCTATGTAACAACATCAAAAACCCAAAATAATTCTGAAATGTCGTCTTCATAGTCCACAGTTTTATGGGTCCCATTGCATGCATGCAGATCTATAACTTATGAGCTTTAGAGTTTTCTCACTAAAACCGTATGTTTGACGGTCTGGACATTTTTTTTGACTAATTTTAGTACTTTTATCATTTATTTATTCATTTATTTATTTATCAAACTGTAGTTAAATAGGTATACGAAAGCATCTGTTAACATATTTAAGATTGGTTGAAAAATGGATCTCTAAATAAAGTTTTTACCTTGCATTAGAAATCTTGTCCCAGACTGGTTTTAAGATAGGAAGAGTTTTATCTAGCTCACTGGCTCCAGGTATATTAGAATCGTCCTGAAAAGTTGGAGATAAATTTTATTCTTCATCTTTTCGTAATTTGTTTTTCAGGGAACCAGAATATTTGGAATTCTATTAAAGGGGCTGAAAAGTGAAAGCGTGACTTCAAGTGACCCTCTTTGCAAAAATGGCAGTGCCCGATTCGCAACGGTACATGTGAAAGCTGTGTCTGCTATATTGTTTATAAGTTTAAAAAAAGAATATTTTCAATGGTAGTTTCTCAAAAAACTGACTTCACATTTCTACAGCAAGAAAATCCATTTGAATGAAAAATTTTTACAATTTTAAACCTAGAAAAACGACAATGTCTTCCACTTTATTTCAAGGGTACCGTTGCTTCAGGTCCTCTTAAGCACTGCTTGAAACCTGACCTTTCCTGTGAACCAACTAAGGAAAAATGATGCTGCATTAGGTCTCTCTCTTGCCCACGGATTCTGGAACCTTCCATTCTCCATCCAGGACAGGACTTTTCCATCTATACATATTATTAAATAAATCCAACCATAAGTGTCGAATTCTGAACGAAATTCTTTATCCCCGTTTATATTGAAAGTACAAGAAAGGTAGACCAAATTTTGTAAAAGCCAGAACTAGGGGAGTTGACTAACACTTAATTTCTAAAATTGGGTGCTAAATGCCACAATTTTTCCTAAGATCAAAGATGTTAATTCCATCATCCTTCATCATGTAAAGTTGTAAATCGGACATATAACTGCAAATTGATGGTTACTTTCAGTTACATCTTTCGTCCCTTTACAAATTATAAATATAGCAACAAGTCAAACCAGGCCATTACGGTGAAATTGTTAATATTTCTGTTTCTGAAGACTATTTGTTAGAAATGTTGACCTTCATCAGTGTGCTCCTGAGGCCAAGGGTCTGGTTTGTACAGGGTGAACGTGTCAGCGGGTTCCCAGTCTCTAATATACAGGGTGATATATATCAGATGGATTTCAAAAATGAACATTCCACTTGGAACAGTGTGAACAATTGTTTCTTCATTTTTAGTTGCGTATTATTAAGATATACATATTCATTATTCAATCATAATTAAATGCCGATTTGATCATATTAAAACCCATAATCGTTTGCAATTTTTAAATGCAAGTTTTAAAGACAATATAAAATTTCTATATTTCTGAATAGATTGCATAAAAAATTATTTCTTGTAGCACATAAGAATTTCACTCTCCTGCATTTAACTTTGAAACTTTCTTATATTTCATGAAATTATTGGGTCTTTAGAGCAATTATGAAAAAAAATACTTTCCATCGTAAAAAAGTTTGCAGGGATCTAGAACAGGGGTGTAGATTTTCTTGAAAACACATTCCCTCTTTTGAAAATAAAGTTTTCACCAATAAGTTAATTTTGTTTGCGCAGAGCGAATATTTTTTAAATTTCACCAATAATTTATTTATGTTTGCGCAGAGCGAATATTTTATTAAGTTATTTATGTTTGCGCAGAGCGAATATTTTATTTAAAGTGTTAAAGTCGCTTAATTTGGGAAAATACAGGCTTTTTAGGTAAAAAAAAAATCAATTTTTGGGTAAAATGCATCATAAACTTCCTTTTGATGTCAAATTTTCATTTTCCCTCCATATCATTAATTTTCACAAAAATATACACCCCTGATCTAGTACCCCTGATACACCCCTGATCTAGTACCTTGACATTGTAATCCCCATGAGTGAGAGTATGAAGACTACCCAGAAACCTAAAGTCCAAAACATGAAAATATTAATGAACTAGTTCGACAGAAACCCTGTTTCCATTTTAAATCTGAAAACAAAAAAACATCTATTTTCGTATATACGTTTACAATATATCGAGTTACCCGTTACAATAATTCAAAATTACAATATTACAATAAACATACAAAAGTAAGATCATATTTTATACTTAATATAAACATAACTCAAATTGGTTTTTTTTTGTTACAATGGTAACAATATTAAAGCACGATGAGATTCCTGAAAAACTAAAGCTCTTCAGTATTGTGTAAGCTCGATAATATAAATATAAGGTGGAAGCATTTTTCTATAAGCATACATAACACATAACATAAGAAGTATAACAGAAAAATTGGCAGATTTAGGCATAGAAATGAAAGAATATTTTAACTGCATATGAAGTTTTTAATTTCTTTCTTTTGGTTCTCTGCGTCTTCAGAGGAAAATCTTTACTTTTTAGTTATTATCTTTCTCTAAATATTTCTAGTCAACACAAAGCTAAATTATTGTGGCTCAAAATTCAAAATTTCTTCATTTCTTGTTAAAAGTTAACTTATTTTGGTAAAAATATACATTTTTTCATCCTGAGAGTTTGAAATTGATTAATTCTGCTAATTTTATAAAAATAAGCGTAGTGAGTTATGTGATAGAACTATAAAAAATCCATGTAAAAGTAAATATTGGAAGACTCCATAACAGAATTATTTGATAAAATACTACAAGAATTTAAGTTTTAAGACTGGTCAGTGGTCATCAATCTATTACAGATGGAACTAATTAATTAGATTGCTTCTCGATCGATAAATATCATTTGATTGAATGTTCTGTAAGTATATTGATTGATTGATTGATAATAGTTTTCAAGAGTCTAGTGTATAAATAGAGCTATATAAAACCTACGTAAAAGAATATATTGGAAGACTTCATAGAAGAATTATTTGATAAAAAACTACAAGACTTTAAGTTTTCAAACTGTTAATCAATCTATTAAAGATGGAACTAATTAAATAGATTGCTTAAGAAGCGATAAATGTCTTTCGAGTTAATTAGTTCTGCGAGTATATTGATTGAATAATTAATCTGCAAGTATATTAATTGATTGATTGTTCTGTGAGTATATTAATTAATTAATTGTTCTGAGAGTATTTTGATTACTTGAGTAGTTTGTAATTAGATTAATTGATTGATTATTCTACGAGTAGAGGAGTGTTTTCATTGACATCTTCTTCCTGGTTAATCTCTTCCGGTTTCATTTGTTTAAAACTAAAAACAATATTTATTTCTAATTTTCAATATTATTCTTTTTAATGTAATAGCGCTTAGGACTAATTCCATTTTGATCCGGTTCAACCAATCAGCTCATTAATATTTTTGGAAAATTTTTAAATACATTTTAAAAAAAAAATCACAAATTTGAAGTCTCTTTTCCGCTTATCTTTATATGCTAAAACTTCAATGATAGATTTTTATCGACATCTCATTTTTCATTCATTGATTCTGGGATCCAACATTTTTCGCATTTAATAATCCAGGGAACCAAAATATTATAAATCCCAAGCACTGGGTATAAGGTGGATTGACAAGCGCTAATCACAACTGTACCATTTTATCATCAACAATCAGGAAGATATCGTCGTTTTTCTAGCTGAAACGTGTTAAATTCTTCTCACCTAATACTGGATAAATTCAAACTATATTTTTAAAGAAGCCACAAATTGAAACCAGTCAATTTTCAGAAAAAAATATGTTCGATATTTTTGCTTAGACAATGGTTTCATGGGTACCGTTGTGAAATATATACCAGGGCATACAACTATCTAAATGGAGTTACAGTGTCTCTAGAACTACGTCGACAGTCCCTTTAATGATTGTTTAACCTGAATATGAAGAGAACTGTTCCTATTATCTGAAGTAGAAGAGGAAGTATTGTCAGGACCAAGGGGTGGGGCAGTAGAGCTCCGCCCCACACTGGTCCTAGCATCATGGCCAACAAACTGAGGAACCTACGAGCTCCGTGAGCAAACCCTTGAACTCGTTCAGGTAACAACTAGCAATATTATCGTGATTATCATTTTTCAGTTAAAAACAATAACAAACAATATGCTGGAGACATTTTAGAATAAACTAGTTGATCAATGAATCTATACACTCTACATAGATATTTTCAGTATACCGCTATCTAGGGTCTAGATATTAATTTACCAAAATAACCAACAAAAAAATCATTATCACAATTATCATCATTAGTATAATTAGCATTATTCTTGTTTTAAATGAATCATACAGTGAATCCCATATATATCCATACATAGCAAGAGTTTTTTATAATGTCGTACTATATATTTAAGATCAAATGCCGCGGAAAAATGAGTTTAATATTAATATATCAATTGCATTCATATTTCAGGGCTATTAATTTACCTTTAATTAAAAATAAAAATAAGTTTCTTTAGAATTATCAAAAAACTTATGACGATCTATGTATTTAATATTTATGTATCTGGGATTCACTGTAAAATATCAAATAAAAAATGCGGGGATTTGCTAACAGATTTTAAGTTTCAAGTCCTTAATATTTGAAATTTATTTGCCCATTTCTTCATTCTAAAGACAAATTAAAATAAATAGGTTTTTTGTAAGACACTACCTTGGAGTATAAAGCTAAACCTATATCACTAACTGCTGGTACTCCAACTAATTCAAGGAAAACACCAACACCAAAATATTTCAAATATCCAGCATCTCCTAAAATAAATTTTGCATTTACTTTTTGGGGAAACTATTAAATATAAAAAATAAATGATTAAATAATTCAAATTATTAAAAGTTCAAATCCATTTGTAAATGTTTCATGGAATATTAGAAGGAGTAATTCTGAACAAAAATTATTTTAAAAAACGGTTTGAAGTAGACGTTTGCTAAAAATAATCAAGTTTTACTCTATGTTAAGTATTGTAGCAGTATAAATGTAAATTTGTTAAGGTTACCCTCTGCAAAGTGCGGTATTGTGGTAGTACAAATGTAATGGTTACCCTCTGTAAAGTGCGTTATTGTGGCAGTATAAATGTAAAGGTTACCCTCTGCAAAGGTGGTATTGTGGTTGTATAAATGTAAAGGTTACCCTCTTCAAAGTGTGGTATTGTGTGTTTATAAATGTAAAGGTTACCCTCTGCAAAGTGTGGTATTGTGTGTTTATAAATGTAAAGGTTACCCTCTGCAAAGTGTGGTATTGTGTGTTTATAAATGTAAAGGTTACCCTCTGCAAAGTGTGGTATTGTGGTAGTATGAATGTTAAGGTTGCAATCTGCAAAGTGTGGTATTGTGGCATTATAAATGTAAAGATTACCCTCTGCAAAGTGTGGTACTGTGGTTGTATAAATGTAAAGGTTACCCTCCGCAAAGTGTGGTATTGTGGCGGTATTCCAGGCTAGAGCAAGGTTGAGAGCAACTAGACCAACTAGTACAAGGTTTCTATCAGAAACTAACCGAGTCAAACAGCTCAACACACAGAACATTACTGAATACATGTTCAAATCATTTTCTAAGAGGGGGGTATACAACCACTAGCTACATTTTTGCATCCAAGCCGCATTTCTATTTTTTTCCGAGCCACCTAAAAATACTCATTCTTAAACTTTTTTTCTTTAACAGTTTGCTGTCAACGTTAATTGGGGGTTAATTTTCCCTATATAATTATAAAACTACAACATATATATTTCCAAGTTAATCTTAGGAGAAATTCGCTAGAAGGATGAGAATTTTAAGGTGGCTTGGAAGAATATAAGCGGATGCTGTGGCTCGGATGCTAAACTTATAAGGTTGTATTTCAAGTTAACTATTTAATATCGAAATTAAATTCAAATATTGTCTATTTCATTTCCTTAGAAAAAATGATGAAAGAATGTTTGACTGTTTGTTAGTTTGGTTTAACATGATGATAAAAAAAAATCAAAAAACACAATAAGAACGAATGTTCACTATGTAAATATATCAGTACTTTACAGAACATATTATCACGGTGGATTAGGGTAAATTTGAATTCGAACCAGACCGAAGCGACCCCTTATACCGGCCTTAGTGACGGGCGGCACATATCGGTCCGACGCTATCCTATGCTGTTTAGGCTGTTCTCGGCTATAATTTTGATGGCGAGGCCAGACTTTTTAAAGTACCTAGTCTATCATAGGCCTATTTGACATTCCTTCCTAATTAGGTTTGTTGTGTAATCTAAAATATTGTTTACCTACAAGTTGACCCCCAGCTGCAAGGAAGAAGTAGGAGTTTGCTTTATCATCAAATCCGAAATATGTATTCATGATCGGAGGCACGATAGATTCAAGGTTAGTCTGACAAAACATTGCTAAACAAACAAACTGAAAATTTTTGAAAAATTTAGCCAAAAAATCATTTATTTCCCAATAAATAATATTTTGGCGCTTTACACAAAAACTAATTGCATCAATAAATGTTTATGATTAATGTAAAAAATAAAAACAATTTTTCTAACGTGATTTTTGATGGGCTTACCGATGCATCTGATAAAAGTAAGAATGACTATTTCTGGTTTAAGAAGAGCATTCCTATAATCAGACCAGGTCAATGCTATAGAACCAGTATAGGATAAAGATCCATCCCTGCAGCACACAAAATAAGTTTTATGTTCACGAAATATATTTTAAAATCTTTTAGAAAATTATGAAAGAAAGACCTAGCAAATCTTCAACATTTCTCTACTATTTTCTAGACAAAAATTATATCTAAACCCAGCCTTTATAGAATTCATGTTTGGGACAGTGAAAATTTCAGAAAACAACAGAAACAATGTCGTTTCAATGGTCTGATAAAACATTAACTAACTACATTTCTATAGGAACAGTTCTTGATTTTAAGAGACAAAGACGACAATAATTTTAGACTGTCCTGGTTACCTCATGTTAAAAAATAAATTTTAAACATGGAAATAGGGAAATCACCTGCTTGGATACAAGGATTCTATTGTAGTATTTGTTGTGGAGTACATACTCTCCCCCATCAACCTCTCAGCCTCGTTGATAAATTTGTCAGACTTCCTCGTGTCACGTCTTAATAAATTCATTAGATACATGTTTGTTTATGTGTAGTACTGGTTGCTTATCAACTTTTACCAATATTAGATGATGCCTGAATAGAACTACCTGAGTAGGTGGAGTGGGTTCCTACCCCCATCTACTCCTAGTATCTATATATAAATTTGGCTTGTCTGTCTATCTGTTTGTCTGTTTGTTTGTTTGTTTGTTTGTATCCAATAAACGTCAAAACGGCTGAACCGATCGGGCCCAAATTTTTTGTGGGACATCTAGGGACTCCAGGGAAGTTTTATGAATCATCAAAATTTCAAATATTTGTCTCCATCAAAATTCGATCGTCATTAAATTTTTAAAAATTTTGAAAATCCGCGAAATTTTTTGTGAAAATCCGCGAATTATTTTTGTTTTGTTTTACGATGTACACAAAGAGAACATGTTCACAATTAATTTAGAAGATGGGCGCGAAGCGCTTTCTAAGGCTAGAAAGAAGGGCGCGAAGCGCCTTGAATTTCTAGTTACCTAAATAACTACCTGAGTAGGTGGAGTGGGTTTCTATTGTACTCCCATCTACTCCAAGAATAACCTATAGAATTACCTGAGTAGGTGAAGTGGGTTAATATTGTACCTACATCTACTCCAAGTACTACCTATAGAACTACCTCAGTAAGTGGAGTGGGTTCTTGTTGTACCCCCATCTACTCCGAGTAAAACCTTCATAACTACCTGAGTAGCTTAAGTGGGTTTCTATTGTAATCCCATCTACTCCGGTACTACCTATAGAACTACCTGAGTAGACAGATTGAGTTTCTATTGTACTTCCATCTACTCCAAGTATTACCTATATAGCTACCTGAATAGACGGATTGAGTTTCTATTGTACTCCCATCAACTCCGAAAACTCCCTATATACATATAACTACCTGAGTAGATGGAGTTGGTTCCTATTCTGCTCCAATCTACTCCAAGAACTACCTGAGTAGGTGGAGTGGGTTCCTATTATACTCCCATCTACTCCAAGAACTCCCAATAAAACTACCTGAGTAGGTGGAGTGGATTTCTATTGTACTCCCATCTACTCCCATTACTATCAAGAGAACCGTATGATGTTATACTGTTCCTGTGTCCTAGTAAATCCCGGGTCAGAAAACCTAATAAAAAGCACAAACAGCTAAGTTCCATATGTTAATTATTGTTCAATTAAAACATATGCTCATCAATCAATCAACCAAAATCATAAAGGGAACCCAATCTGGAACCCAAGGACCGTCTTCAAGTTCTTAAATTGGGTTCATAAAGGCACCAACTTAATAGGGGAAAAAATGAGAAATGCTGTTTTTTCTCAATTTTTAGAAGTAAATGTCACATTAAACTCGTAATTCTGCATACTTACAATATGTAAAATGTACAAAATAATAAAGATAAGGTTGATGGTTATTAAATATTTTGTGGACTAAAAATCCATCTCAATCCAGTTAATTAAAATCATTCTATTTACTAATGCATAAAGCTGCTTAGAATGTAGGTTACAAAATTCAAGGCGGCGCACCTGCGCGTTAACCTGGCGGGTCGGTACGAGAAAATATTATAATGGAAATGCGCATCCCCCGTACCGCCCTACCCAGTTAAAAAGGCAGGAGCACCGCCTGGTATTTTGTAACATACCTCTTTATCTCTAGTACCTGATATTCTTCTGTTTGGAAGGTTGGGTGGGAGTATTGATGAAGTATACCGGGTTCTTGTTGAAGGACTTGATCCAGAGGCAGGATGAGTTCTACTGCAGGGACTAGCGCCCTGTATATACTGAGATCCATATCTTATCTCATCAACCTAGAGAAATCAAATCACAAATCATATATCTTATAACGTTTTAATCATTTTACGAAAAGATTGGGACCTTAATACAAATCAATGAATGAATGAATGAATGAATGAATGAATGAATGAAGGGATGAAAGGATGAATGAATGAATGAATGAATCAATCAACCAACCAATGAATGAATGAATCAATCAAACAATAAACCAATAAGAACAGGATAACTGGAAGGCCCGGGAGCAGCCTGGGGGATGGCTGGAGACCGGGGAGATCTTTGCTTTGCAGAAAAAGATTGATATTTCTTGAGTCAAGTAACCAACCGATCAATACTGTCCTAACCTTCTCTTTAAACTCACAGTCCTTGAATGAGGTGAGAACAATCTCGATCTCTTGAAGATCAGATCCTTCAGAGGTAGTAGTGGTATCGTTCTCTACTAGATACTCAGGATCCTCATCCTCGGCCTCCCCGGACTCAAGAATATCCTGATTACAAGGGGAAAAGTAGACACTAGTCTTTCAAACCTATTTAAGATTTCGAAGATGTTACTGTTTATATACGCGGATTTCCCAAAAAATTGAAATCCCCGTATTTAGTTCATTTTGAACATTTTCTGGTGAGAATAAAAATGTCAACGACAATCAGTTCTTTGTTTAGTTTTAGGGGGATCAAAGCTGGGAACTTTAGAATGGGATACCATTAATGCCAACTCCTTAATCCGAATATCCACCGTGGAAACTTTTAAGTTTAGTCCTTAATCCACTCTTTTTATCTCTCTACGGATATCCGTACATTGTTTTCTCCAATGAGAGTGCAGGAATATAGATTATAAATTGTATTGACAAATGACAGCCTTGAAAATAAATTCTATCCCATGAGAGAAATCCGCAATTTCTAACAAATAAAGAATATGTTGTCGGCCATTTTGTAAATTACTCGGTGAAGAAAAATATTTGATAATACGTTTGAGATTCTTTTTTAACATATTTTAACTAATGTATTGATAAATAAATGGGTGAAAAATTAAGTGAAGGCCCTTCTAGTCAAAAAAACGAACAAATCTGGCATTCCTAGAATCAAATTTGTTGATCTTTAATCTCGAGATTATGTAAGTCTCGAGATTATCAAAAAGAGTGGATTAAGCATTAATCTCCATATCCACCATTCTAAAGCTCAGAGTGATGATTGATGAGAGTTTAGATATCTTTAAGGAAAAGTATAAAACCCTTGAAGGTTTTCTGTTTATAATATATTTCTTTATCTTTTTTACAAGGGATTTCATGAAGTCATGTTTATAATCCTGACAAATAAATCTGATTATATCTGATGTAAGAGAATGGGGGGGGGGGGGCTCAAAATAAATTACGAGAATAAACAAAGAAGTTAGTTGTTTTTATGTTTCCCTCCCTGTAGAGTCTCGTTAGTATATCCTAGATCCAGCTGATTCGTTAACATCTCCTCACACTTTAATTCAACTGTAAACAAACATTTTAAAGTAAGTAACCTTCCTTTTTTTTCAGAATTAGGGGAAATATTCCCACAGCCTCTATTTCTGGAGGTTCTAAATATTTCCTCCTGAAACAATTAATTTTGTATTTCTTTGTCATATTTAAAAAATTAATTGTTTACAAAAAAAAATTCTCACCTAATTCCACGTAGACAAGGAGAACCAAGAAAGTGAACAAGGACCAGAGGCAAAGCATGATCAGACCTGGAGCATTCAACTTGTTCAACGTGAGGTAGGGGGTCTCCACGTTAATCCACCTAACTATCAGGTTCAGGGAGGGACCCAACAACATACCTATAGACCAATAAAAATAATGACAAAAAAAAACAATATCAATAAAAACAATACCAATAACAACAATAAAGCACCATTTGAAACATAAGACTAATTATAACAAATTAGCAATCACAATATTAAAAATGACCATAACAAAAAAATAATAGAAACATAAGAATAACTTTATCAAATTAACAATGACAACAATAACGATATCCATAAATAGTGAACATGCGTAAGAAAATCATGACAAGAATCAAGATAAGTAATTGATGAAAGACCAATCAAAAAATTAAATTAAATAATAAATCTAACCTATGTGTGAAGCAATGTTGAATAATAGGAGGACAGGTGTTCTCTCCTCTCTACTGGTAGATTTACAAATATCCGCCTGAACAATTCATTATTAAAGGGAATGAAATTTCAAGTTACCCTCCATGAAAAAATTTCAATGCCAGATTGAATACAGTACCCTTGAATAAATAACGTGGAAGATTGTGTCATTGATCTAGCTTAAAGTCTGTTTATTTCTGATAATTTCTCTAGGTTTTCCTGCAGTATGGAAATGCACAAGTAATTTTTATGGAGACCACAATTGAAAATAATTAGTTTTCAACATTATGTACATTGATAACTGATTTATATTTGATCAGAAAAAGACAAGACAAATTGTTATTTGGCGGATTTTTTTGTTTAAATTCGTGCATTTACTAAAATAGTGAATTTCGACATTTATTTCCGGACAAATTCTTATCTTCAACAAATCCATACCCTTCCGTTGGTCATTGGAATGCAATACAAAATTTGAGATCTATTGGTTCAGCCGTTTTGACGTTTATTGATTATAGACAAGAAAAGAATGTAATTAGATATAAAAATGTATTATTATTTAAATATCTTAACTAACCAGAAATACGACAGCAATGCTCTTCCCGCAGCCGGAGACGAGCCTGCTAACAAGTATAAGGTAGTGTGAGGTTGAGAAAATGTAGAGGATTGAACCAGCAACCTGGAATCCATTCAACAACAACAACAGTGGTCTAACAACAACAATCAAAATTTTCGGAATTGAACACACTGAAAAGAAACGATTTAAATAAGTACAGGGTTAACCATAAGACATAAGACTAAAAATGATTTAAAACTCTTAAATATGACCATCCCAAGGTTAAATCAAGTAATCTGTCTTGAATAAAGTTTTTAATTTATTAATTATTATATTATATTATATTATATTATTATAATTTAATTAACTATTTAGTTTTTTTGAATATAAGAATTTCGACAGTAAAAAACCCGTACAGTCGTTTTTGAAGTCTCATTCTTTGTTGGTTACTTTCTATCTTTTAAATAAACCGAAATTGACAAAGTTAAAAAAAGTATAACATACATCTAAGAAAATGTACAATCTACGGTTGCGGGTTTTCCAGAAAACGGATAGCAGATTTCTCCGCGAGTCGCAACAAAACATAAAATGGCCCTGCTCAAGAAAATGAAAAGTTTAGAAGCAACACACAGAATCCTTGGAACTTTTACAATAGTATTGAAACCCCATTTACCGGATAATTTTTTGAAATCCTTCGAAATAAAAGATTGTAATGTTGCCTAGTTTTGCTTGTAAAATCCACCAACCAACCAGCGATTAAACCACATATTATATCTGTTGCTGTCATAGCAGATATTGCCAATCCTAAAAGCAAAAAACAATAAAAAAGCCTAAAACTTACAACCCGAAATTAAACAACAACAAAAAAGCATAAGCATAAATTGTAGATAAAAAATGTTAGAAAATGTTGGGTTTCGTTATTTACTCTTTCAGTTAAAACACTTTTTATTTCTTGGTTAAAAGGATTCCCATCGAAATATTATAAAATATAATTCATAATTAAAAATTGCTAGAATGTTTGATAAAAATCCTATTACCTAACCAATAAGTTTGGGAATGGTGAACACCTACGGACTGTAAATACTCCCACAGAGTTGGGAATACAATAGCATATTCAATCCCACTAGGCAGACACAGATAAATTAACTTTTATTCAGTTTCAGTAGAAAATATCATTATAAGCAAATTTCCTCAATTTAACAGAAAAAAGAGTTTGAAGAGGGTGTGAAACTATCCGCTATTTTTTTTGGGGGGGGGAAGAAACTAATTCTTCATAATATTTTATGTCTTTGAGGGAGAATAAACTTAAAATAGAAAAAAAGACAGATTGTAAAAATTCAGCGGAAGAAAGGTGCCCCCCCCCCCGGAATAAAAATCATGCGGTGTCCTTTTCAGAATGACCCGGAATGGATATACAATTGATCAGACGACTTAACAATCTAATTTTACAAAGATGATTGATGAAACGATATTCACATAATAGCCCTAGTCCTGCCATTTCCAAATTGTGGTCTGCCTTTTTTGAGCATTGAAAATTGCCAGATATACATGTAAGAACGCCTGATTAGCTGTCAACTAATTCCGAGTCTTTCTGGTTATGACTGCAGAAACCAGCAGCGAAAGTAAACTAATCTAGCCATAAATACGGATCATCAGTTTTTTTGCCATCACACACTTAAAGCCAGGTTCAACTTGATTGGGAAGCAGCAACAATTATTATTTTATTTATCTGCCTGATGAGCATGAAAAGATGAATAACTGCTTGACTAAGCCGAATTCTGGATCGGACCTCCATCCTCACCACTCACCTCTACCTAGAGGTCAATCTTTAAGATACATTGGTCAAGACAAAAAATTGGACTAAAAATCATTCGGTTTATAATTTTAATAGTTATTTTTTAGGATAGATCAAAGAAATATATACATAGATCAATTCAACAAGATAAAAAATGAGTTTACTATGGTTATACAAAAATTTGAAAACTGTACTATATGTATGTATGGCTTAATACCATTAAATCACACAAAAGAGCTAACAAATTTGACATTCCTAAATCTGAATAAGAACAGTATCAAGGATTAATTATTGCTCTCGCATTTCATCTGAAAAAATACAAATTTTGATTTTATCACAGATGAAGGTTAGACTAAACATATTCATTCATGAAACTTAAAAAAAAATATGAAATCCACTAATTCAAGTGAAGAATATCGCCAAATTTTGCATGAAAAAAGAAATACAATAGCAAGTATTTTATATTTATAACATAAGAAATCATTTAAACTAAAATTCAAAGTTCATAAGAAATTTTGTCAAAAATCGTGCAAAATAACAATTAATTAAATAATTAAAAACTAATCGATGTTCACCACTTCATTAGAATCTTCTGTAAACTCAATGACCGCCAGATACTCGAAAGCTTTCTCAGCTTTCCTCAAAGAGAGTTCAACGCGGGAAAATGTTGTCAGTGTTTGCTTGCTCCCGTTCTTCCACTCTACAATAAAAAAGATTAGAAGACGACTTTTAAATCAAACAATGTTTCCACTTTCAATCTACATGTTCAGAATTATATAGAAATGTCATTTACCCTAAAAAACATTTTTTTAATTGTAATAAGAGTCTACTTTTTGAAGTAAAAAAAAAGTTGTAACAATAATATTCGAGATCAATGGGAGCTTAATGATCATTACAAAAAAGATAAATGATCAAATAGTGCCGATAAATAAAATCAAAATTACCAACGACTTGGACCAAATTTAATTAATAATAAAAACATTGAATATTTCCGAGAAAAAGATATATAAATGGATGTAGAGAATTTTTCCGCTAACTAAATCGTTATCATAAATAAAAAATAGCCAGTTGAAATTCTTTTTTTTTAGTGGTCAAGATCAAATGAATGATCAAATAAAACTGATCCTAAGGCCAAAGCACTTCTTTCATGAGTATGAAAATATAGATCTGGTTTACCTAGGTCCAAGTAGTTGATCGCATTAATCCTGCGTGTCTTGAAGCTCTTTATCTCCATCCTGTCCATGTACACTCTCTTGACTACACCCAGGTTGACCAGGAGTACATCTACAGCATGGTCTAGTATCCCTACTACACATCCAACCTAACAAAATATTATATTGTATAAATAATACATTTTGAAAAATGTATTGTGGCAGAATTTCTTCTGGAAAGTTTTTGAGGTTTAAATCTTTCACTTTGTTGAAATAATCTCTGGACTGTTTAGCAGACTGCCCCATCTGTTGATCAAACGAAACCCTTTGCTTTTTTATAAAGCATTCTTCTTTTTACAGGCTCTTATTTACAACTTTCAGCCTTCTCAGGGTTAATTACTAGAATGACCATTCTCAGTAGCGTACAAGGGGTGGGGGTGCGCGGCCCCCCATGAGAGGCTGAGGCGGGCACCCATGGGGAGAGACTCTTTTAATATTACATCTGCTTGCATTTCCCTTCCTTAGGCCAGGCACAGTGGCGTACCTGGGGGGGCAGTAGTCCTCTTGCCCCCCTGGGAGTTCCAGAGGGGGGCCTTCCCCCCCTAAAAATACAAAATTAAAAGGAAACTAAGTTTGAAAAGTAACACCTGACAATGACAAAGACTAAGGAATTGTCTAAATTCACTGTTAATACAAGGAGAGAAAAGTTTTAGCCTTCTAAAGAGAATACTTTATTACACAAGATGTACTATGACAGAGAGCAGACTTAACGATCTTGCACTTATAGCCTTACACCCTACAAGGCTGTCTGAGCTCTCTACTGAGAAAATCATTGAAATGTTTGTGCAAGCAAATCCCAGAAAATTGAAGCTTAAAAGAGTTGGTGAATACATAGATTGAAAATGTAATTTTTAATGATGCTGTGATTATTGATTTAGCTAGCTGTGATGGAGTTAAGTGATAAATTTATAAAGTTAAAAGTTAGTTTTTCAAGCAAAGGAATAATTTTTAGACTCTATAGGTTAGTAACACCCAAAAATGTAGCCTTTTTGGAGTATTTTTATGGTGAAAAAAACAATTCCGGGGGGGGGGAAACAGCCAGGGGGGCCAAAAAAAATTTAAAAAAGGTATCAATATTTTTTCAAAACAGGAGTTTTTAAGGGGGGGGGCACATGTTTGCCAAAGGGAGGGACGCGCAAGGGGGGTGCCCCCCTAAACAAAAGCCCTCGTACGCCCCTGAGTCCATGCGGTAAGTTTATTCAATTAAAATTCAATCGCGTTTATTGGTCTATCATTCAACCATTCTATCTTTACCTGCTTTGGCTGCAGCAAGTTTAACAGGATCCAGTCTGCGAGCTTTAGCAAAAATCGGCGGGCCAGGGTTGGTGAGAATGTGATGACGAACCTTATGACGTTGTGGAGAGGCAGTGAAACCATCGGATTGAAGAACGTCAGGAAATTCCTCAAGGAGCTCTGACACGCAATATCAATATTTTTTTACAGGAGTTTTTAAGGGGGGGGGCACATTGTTGCCAAAGGGAGGGACGCGCGCAAATTGTGCCCCCCTAAACAAATGCCCTCGTACGCCCCTGAGTCCATTCTATAGATTCTTGTTTTTTCAGTTTTAATAAAATTAATATATTGAGCCTGGTTTAAATATGGGGTTTCCTGATGTGAAGTTTTGTTATTATTATTATTATTATTATCAGCAGACAATCCATCAGATAAATATAATTCGTGGATATTCAGAAAAAATAAACAACTTTCGTATTCAATGAAAGAGAAACAACATTTATAATATGAAATAAAGTTCTGGATTTGGAAGTTAAATCAAGTTGAATCGCTTAAAAACAAATTGTACCAAAACTTCTTTTCATTATTGCACATTGCACAACCTGATGTGAATATTTTAATTCTTTATGACTGTATTAGAGCTGAAAACTCTTGTATTGGATACCCGTCAACTGATTTCTAAATCTCTGTATCCACTGTGAACACTTTTGATTTAATGCTTTATCCCCTCTTTTGGATTTCCCTGCTGGATTGCAACCACTGAGAGAATTGTCTCATTGATTGTGCGCGCAAAATAAAAAAAATTCGGCTTCTGATTGGCTGTTCGAATTCTGCAATCAACATTCTGATTGGTTTAATTATTTACACATTCCAGGACACAAACTAAAGACAAAAATAATCTTGAGGTTATAAAAAGGGAGATTATTGATTTCGATATCCACAATTCTAAAGTTTTCAGCTCAGATTTAATTTCGATTAGAATGACAGTCGACAAAATGTCCGGGGGACTGTTAGTTCCTTTAACATGAATTATCTGATAAACTAAATGTTGCAGACCTGTGAGATGGGACCACACTCTGCTACAAATAGTCCTAGAAAGAGTTCTGCACTCTGTTCTCCAGCTCGCTTAGCGGCCAACCTCTTGTCGTTACAGAGGTTACACTGCATCTGGGTGGTGGAACTGTCCCAGCTCGGTGTTGTTCCGCGTACAGCGTGGTCCAATAGCCTACAGTACAATACATGAAGCTGTTTATGATACGGAAATCGGATTAAGATATTTTGACATAATATAGTAAAATATTATTATCATTATTCAAAAGACAACCTATCATTCAGTGACATAGGGATCTATATGCTATGTCCATTACAAAGGGCGACCTGCAATGTCTTGAATCTAATATATATATATCTATATATATATATATAGATTAAATACTTGGGAACCCAGGATTTTACCTACCAACTAAGTCAACCAACTCTACTTAGAAGTTTTAAACTAAGCTAAAAACATTAACGTGGTTTTATAAAGTTTCCCAATCAAAATTTAAGGCAAATCAGTCCAGGGTTTCCTGAGTTAGAATCGGAAATTCAAACAAACAGAGATTACAACTTTATATATATATATATATATGTGGACCAGGATATCTGGATATCTTCTAATAGGAGAAGTAAAGTGAGTATTTTATATATACCTGTGGACCAGGATATCTGGATATCTTCTAATAGGAGAAGTAAAGTGAGTATAGTAAGGAACATTAAGCGCATAATGATGAAAGTCCGGTTCATCAATTGTTCCTGAACAAATAATGAAATAAATGAAGATTTTTTTTGCTATGTTCTAGAGGAATGGGTTTAGCTGTTGCTTAAAAACAGCTAGGAAGAAGAGGGCTAAGCAAGAACCTCCAATAATATGAAGTGTACTCAAAGATAGTATATATAAAAATGCGCTGGCAGGTAGAAACCTTCTGCATATATTGCTTGTTGCAGACAACTCATATTTGTACCTCTCGACGAAAAATTGAAACAAGAGACATCTATAGCAAATTATTTTCTATTTTCCTTCCCCCTCCTCCTGCCATTTGTAGGAAATACGCATTTTGCGTAATTTTAACATACAATAAGCGTATAATTAAAGTGTTGCGTTCTGAGTCTGGTTGACCAATAAAACTTAATTTGTAGGTAACACAAACAAACAGTACGCGTATTGCATATACATGACTATTGTTTATGCTGTGGTCAGTTGTACATTGTAAAAGAGGACAAACAGAAATATTGAAAAACATTTGGAAAGTATTTTAAAGTTGTTAAATCAGTGCCATTAGGTACAATATAACTTGGTGTTATCAAGCATATACAAAGTGGTAAATCAGCAAGTCTCCAGAGAATAAGTTGCAAATTCGTACGACAGAGATGGTGCTGCTTAAAATATTTCATAAGACCTCAAAATTAAATTACTTTCTTGTATTAATATTATATGATCCTTGAGTAGATCACATAATGTCATTGAAGGTTCTTGGGGCCAAGAAAGGTTTTTAGACAAGTAATGTGAGTATGCGGCAGCCGTTTATGTCATTGTTGCGATTTTTAAACTTGCCGCCGATATATTTATGAAAGGGTCAAGAATTCTCCAAAAGGGTAATTTACCTGTGCAAAAGTATTTGGCAAGTTCCATGGGTTTCGAGATCAAACACGTGACAACAGCAGCTTTCAACGGGCAATCATCAACCCTGAAATAAAGTTTGTTTAAGGTACTGAAGATGTAATTTCAGGGGATTACTTTTTTCGAGCGGCATAAATAATTCACAACGGTACCTTTAAAAGCTTTTCCTGATCAAGAATCAACGAGATTTCTTTAAAAATTTGTCATTCTTATTTGAGGTCTCATAAAATGCTGAAGAAAAATTTATAAAAGCTGCCAGAATTAAATCGACAGAAAAACAACGATACCTTCCACATCATTGATAATAAAAAGTTTTAAAGGGTAGGGTACCAATGTTAATCGGGCATGTCTTTCTTTAAAATGTGGTTATATTAAGCTAAAATAAAATTAAGAACCAACCTTGCTATACTAGCTCCGAGCTGCGCAGCTGAACTTGAAACAATATCAACTCCTAATCCCTTCATCATCTCTAGAGTCTTCTGCAGCATTTCCTTCTTCGGGGGAGGATGTCGTCTTCAAACAAAATTTATGAACACTCGAAACCAACATCTTTGTATATGTGAAACGACAATGCTTGAACTATAAAGCAATGTGCACAAAAAAGCTTCAAAATATAGAATTTAAAGTTCAGGGTTATACTCACAAATCTGGCTATATAGTTCCCCCCTGAGAACGCCTCTGTCAAAGTTAAAGAATTTTAAAATACCAAATAAAGTTATTACCTCAAGACTGAAAGTTCGGGGAAACTAGAGAATATCTTCCGAGCGACAGCCATGTTTGCTGAACAACAAAATAATGGTCAATCAAACAAAATCAAATAATAATAAATAATAATAATAATAAGCTTACTACATGGGACTGAAAATCTATTTGTAAAATGTCAATTCCGATTGAAAACGGTATCCTTTGAAATTTTCTCTGGTAACAATGAGATATTGTCGTTCTTCCATCTTCAAAAGTATTTTTAGATAGACAAGTTGAAGACAAGGATAATTTTTTTCCATACAAAGCACTAAAGGGCAGCACTGTGATTCCAAAAGTCATTTTTTTCAAACGAAGTATTCTAGGGTACCACTGTGATTCGGGTAAGACCAGCTTCAAATAAAGATTACCTATATTTAAGAAGAATTTTTAATATCAAAATACAAAAGTATTTGTTAAATATAAAAATTAACCTAGCAGCATGAACTCCTCGATGAGTTTGTTTGAGTGTCTGTGCTCATGGAGCCTGAATCCATCGGGTAGTCCTGTCTCAGGGTTCAGGCTGAAGCAGAGCTTAGGTTGGTTCAACTTCAAGTATCCATTCTTCTCACGACGTTTCCTAAATCAGGGGAAATTGTAAACTACTCAAGATCTCGACATTCTTTGAAATTTTAAGATTTCTTCCAAAAGACAGTGTGAATATAAACTGCGGACTAGGAGGTCGAATATAAAAATTAAGTCATGGTTGGCCAATAAATATAAAATAACATATGTGAACTTAGCTGAAACTTTAGAATGGTGGATATCGAGATAAATGCCTTATCCTCTCTTTTTGCTAATCTCAAGACTAATTTAGTCTTTAGATTGATTTCTAAAGATTAGAGAACTCTTCAACTTTTGAAAAACCGGTTTTTAATTTTCCCGCATTTGTGGTGTCATAGCAATTGGACTAATGGTCGATTGAACGAACGAAAGTTTTGGATTAATGTTTATTAAGACTAACGTTCAAAAGGACTATAGTCTTAAAATGGGATAAATAAGTTTTTTATTACGTTCATATCAACATTTATGTTTGTTAAAATGCTCTAAAAAAGCCGGCTTGTGAACAGGTGACTTAAGTTCAATCGAATATTAGTCTCACTGTAAATTAAAAATAAGATGGTATTTTTATGTAATGTATTTACTGTTAGAATTGTTAGGATTAAAATGGTTTTACGAACCTAATTTTAACCGCTAGTTTCTGCAGCATATTCACTTTCTCAGAAATAACACCGCTGGTATAACGAGGATCAATGCCTAAATAAGAAAAATATAATTAAAATTTCTTATATATTATTTAGTTCTAAATTGGGATTTTTCTGGACTTGTATAAGGCTAATAGAACAATGTGTTCACTGTTCAGAAAATACATGATTTTTTTGCGTATTCTCTTTGTATAATTATAAAGCTTGGAGATTATCCACATGATAAAGGTCGCTTTACTCTATATATTTTCTTAGAAAAATCATCCAATCCCCTCTTTAAAATAATTTTTTACTACATTATATTGAGTAACATAATTGATTGATTGAATGCAAAAATAAACTTGAGGTTTTAGTATCAAAAGAAAGAGAAAAACTTAAAATTTTTACTCTTTTGCCCCCCCCCCATGATTTAAAATCATCTTACCGAGCTCCCATGGAGAAGTAATTATAAAAAATGCCCCTGCTTACTTGGAAGTTCCTCTGTAGTCCAATCCTTTCTTTCTGGACAATCAATCATAGATTGCGCATGCTCGTACGCAAGTTTGACGCAGCTACGAATTACCGTTCGTCCGAACCATTCAGATTGGATTTCTCCGTCCTCGTTAATCGTCCACTCTACCGTGTAGGTCAGCCTGTCCTCTCCGGGGTTAAGGGAGCAGAGGTTTTCACACAAAGGTCGGGGTAGCATAGGCACCACCTAAAAATATCAATAAATAATTGAATAAAGTATTTTTTTTTAAAACCAGGTATCCATCATTACATTGAACTCGGCCAAGCCTTCGTCAAACATGACTGGTAAATAACGCAAATTAATTTACCAATATTTCAAAGACACATATCTAGTATGATCAATAAGGATTTAAAAGTCAAGCATTACAAAATGCCAGAGGTGTTATTTCTAAATAATGTTCAAAATTCTAAAAACAGTCAATTTTAAGGACATTTCATAATATATTAAAATTAAAGTAATCAATCATGTACTACCGAGTACCGACCTTTTGTACAAGATATGTGCTTGTTGTGCGACTAGCTGCTGCACCGTCCAAATCCGTTCCTTCGCGTACAAAATACGCAACATCTGCAATATGTACGCCGACACGATAATTCCCGTCCTTTTCCTGCGTCACTGACAATGCGTCATCCAGATCCCTAGCAGTCAGAGGATCAATCGTAAATACGCATTCGTTCCTAAAATCCCGTCTAAGTTGTATCTCAGAGTCCGGTATAGACCAGTTCTTATGATTCTCCGGGAGGTCATTGAGTACAGATTCCGGGAACTCTTCGTACTCAAGATTGTACTCCAGAAGAAGACCCTCGGTCCGGGCGTTGATATCACTGTCGAGCCCCAAACTCCGGATAATTGAACCCGTTGCTGAGTTAGTGGTCTCCCAGGTTTCCAGTCTAAAAATGTTTTGGCATAAAAAAGGGGTCATTTCAGCGATTTCAAAATCTGAAAGTGCTAATATTTATTTACAACAGATTAACTAGATTAATTTTTTAATTAAAAATATAAGGTTTACCTTGCGATGAAGAGCGTATTTTCGAAATCTTTTGGTCGCTGGAGAAAGTTGGGTGGACACTGACTTATTGGAACCTAAATATTATTAATTTTTGATTAAAGCTAAAATGTGGGTTAACACACAAGGATATACTAGTAAGGACGACGATAATCTAAAATAAGCGAATATATATAAACTCACATTTGTGTTGCAATTACTTAAGTTTTGGGTTGTTTCTTGGACATGGACAAGTTACCTTCATTCTCGGAACTCTTGAATCTGTCGGAGCAAAGAGAGCAACCTCGGTATTTCTGTCAGCCATCATCTTTATATGGCCTGGGAGCAAGTTCTGTCAATTTAATCAATCAAATTAATCAATTTAATGAATTAATCAACCAACCAATCAATCAATCGATCAATCAAATTAATCAATTACTCAATCAATTACTTAATCAATTAATCAATATCGATCTATAAATAAATCAACTAACCATTGAACTCAACTTAACATGAAGATTTAAGATATTGGAAAAGAGGAGATAAGGAAAAATGTTATAATTTCAAAAATAAAAATTAATGTCTTAAATATATTTTTTAATGGAATTTTTCCTTGATTGTTTACTTTCCATTTGCTTGAGAGGTCCCCGGACCCCCTAAGGCAAATCAGTCCAGGGTTTCCTGAGTTAGAATCGGAAATTCAAACAAACAGAGATTACAACTTTATATATATATATATATATGTGGACCAGGATATCTGGATATCTTCTAATAGGAGAAGTAAAGTAAGTAAATTATACAGGGTGTCACACATCAAATTAGACCGCGTCAATGGGTCTAAATTACGGTTTGGGGGACAAATCAGAAAATTTAAGAAGAATGAATCATTTTGAAAAATTTAATAAGGCTAATAGAATTTTTTTTGCAGAAAAGGCTAGATTTTTCGAGTATTATGTGCGTATTTAGGTGTTAAAGATTAGAGATAATCTAATATGATATGGGACGCTCTGTATATACCTGCGGACCAGGATATCTGGATATCTTCTAATAGGAGAAGTTAAGTAAGTACAAAGGATATATACCTGTGGACCAGAATGTCTAAATATCTTCTAATAGGAGAAGTAAAGTGAGTATATTATATATACCTGTGGACCAGGATATCTGGATATCTTCTAATAGGAGAAGTGAAGTGAGTATATGGAGTGTTTGAACTCCAGTATGTTGACGACCCTGCCGGTGCGCTGAACAAAGGAGAAGGCGAGGGGATGCAGCATCACATTCTCAATCCTGTACTCCACTCGGGGTACCTTCACATTCAGAAATAGAAAGATTTAAAAAACAACAAAAATAAGATTTAAAAAAGGACTAGACGCTTAGTTTCAAATTACACTCCGTGCAGAGACAGCAATGCCTGATTCACAGCGGTACCCTTGAAAGCTTTTTCAGATCCAATATAAATTAGATATCAAGGTTTATAATTTTGAAAACTTATTATTTCCAAGTAAGGGTTCTCTACGATAGTATTTTCCACAGTATTGTTCAGGTAAAGGTTTCAGCTTTTACAGTTACCGTTGTGAATCGGGCATTGTCATCTTTGCAAGAAGGGTCACTTGAAATTACGTTTACAGTCCCTTTGAGTGTTAAACCTATAGTTCGAACAAAGTATTGGCTTAGATTAGATTAAATAGATTGTTAAAAACATGTCTTAGACATTTACTTTCTCAAAACTCCTATACCTTGGCTGGTTTGTTAAATCTTGCAGGTTTCTGAGCACTTTTCGTTTCGATTTCAACTGAATCATTTAAATCAGATTTGCTCCCATTTCCTTCTTTAATTCCTTTCTTAGGCTTCCCTCTTTTCCTTCTCCTTGTTTTCTTTTCCTTCTTCTTTACCTCTTCTCCCTCTACACCTTCCACAACCACGTCTTCGTCAGACTCTTTAATTTCTTCTTCAAGACTTATATTAATATCTGAACTTGACACAGCAACTCCGAACTGTTTCTCAAAGATCTTGTCAGGATTAAGACCAAGGTTGGCAAGCCTAAATTAACATTATTTAGTCTGAGCTGAAAACTTTAGAGAACTTGACTTTTCATTTTATTAATCTGCAAATTAATTTAATTTTACAGTAATATCCAGGAAAGTGTATAAAATGCAACGAATTAGTGTCGATTGCAGGAACCGAACAGCCAATCAGAAGTAGACAAATTATTTAATTTTGCGCGCAATCAATGAGTGATATCCAAGGTTATCCAAAAGAGATGATAAAGCAGAAAATCAGTGGATAAAGAAATTAAGCAATCGGGATTTAGGGTATCCAGTACAAGAGTTTTCAGCTCTCATATCTAGATCAGATTTGCTGTTGTTACTCACCTCTCAGCCTCCACTTCAATCTTCTGTTCTAGATCATCATCACTACTGTGCTCACTATCCACTCCACTACCCTCAATATCTTCCAATCCTTCCAGTTCATCTGGTGCCACTACTTCTCCTGTAAGCACAACCAACTTTACCATTTCTTTTTCGTGGATTTTGGGATCTAATTAAAGTTAAATAATTGATTAATTACCTGTAGGTTGACTAGAAGCTCCTTTCCCTTTTCTCGGGCCTCTTCTTGTCTTCTTCCCTTCTTGAACCTACATAGATTATGAAATAAAACTTTTATTTGCTAATCTTAAGCTGTCAATTTTTTAATTAGCTTTTTAATGGGTAGATAAAAAAATTGAGGGAAATACCCACATCATTACTCGGCAACAATAATCAACGCCCATCATGTTCTCTTTGTTTACATTGTAAAACAAAACAAAACAAAAAGTTCGCGGATTTCAAAAACAAATTTCATGAATTTTCAAAATTTACTAAAAATCGAATTTTGTTGGAGGCAAACTTTGAAATTTTGATCATTCATAAACCTGCCCTGGGGCCACATGAGGTCCCAAACAAAATTTGGGCCCGATCGGCTCAGCCGTTTTGACGTTCATTGGATACAAACGGACGGAAAGACAGACAGACAGACAAACAGACAAGCAAAGTATATTTATAGATGTATTTCAATTCAATATAATACCTGAACTAAAATATCCTGAGCGAAGGTATCAACCTTGAACTCTGCAACATCCCAAGGAGATTCAGATACTGGCTTCTTCCCCCAGTCTTCACCGTACTCAGGAGCTTCTGTTGCAGCGACGGCAGCAGCTAAGGATCGAGCAGCTACGACCAGTTCAGCTGTTGTTTCAGGTTCAAGCGGGATTTTTGCGGATTTGTGTCCAGATCCAGATTTGGGTTGCGAAGCAGCTTCTGCTTTTACAGCTTCAACTTCTGCTTCTTTGGTTTTGGTTTCAGGTTGTTTATTATCAACCTCTTCTCCCTCGGCCTCCTCACCCCTCTCCTTCTTCATATTGATGGTAGCTCCCTCTAGAAGTATTTTAAAATCCTCCTCAGACCCTTGAGTATCAAGGTAGTCCTGAAAAATCATCATTTTCTTTTTTAAATTCAAACTTTTATTTCAAGATGGTGAAAGACGAAGGCAACAATTATAGAAGCAATTTTTCCCTATAAGAACCCCTCCCCCTCCCGTTAGAAAACATTCTACCCCTGAATTACTAGATAGATTTAACAGAAGATTACAGGGATGTAAGTTTATTTTTCATAACCCCCCCCCCCCCAGGGGAAAGGGTGAAATGATTTTGGATGTTTTGGGGGAAAATAAAAAATGGACATCAAAAGGCAGAATGTTTCTTTCTTTTTGATAATTTATACCCAAAAATTCATTTATTTCCCCCTAAAATCATTTATTTCCCCCTAAACTCATTTATTTCCCCCTAAATCATTTATTTTCCCAATTTAGAAATAACCCCCCAAAACAATAACTTTAAAGGAAAAAAATAATTCTCAAGGGGATGATTCTTAAAGAAAATATACACCCCAGGACGATTATTGAAAAATTTGACAAAAGAATTTAGTTCGACCTGAATGGTTTCATTTAGCACATTCCACATGTTGAGTGGATTCACCTCAATGATTACAGAATCCCCCTGCAGAGCTCGGTTCCTGTCCCTGTTAAGCAGACAACCATCTTCAAACAAAACTTGGCAAATTATTTTGAGATTTGTAATTAAATTAATTTCTCGAATATATTTCCAGACTTGAAAAGTTCCGGATTAAAAGATTTGTTATCTCTATTTTCTTGATATTATAAACATTGCATGCAGACCAGGCGTCCCATTTTGGTTAAAAGGAAAACATTTGAAAAACGTGTATAACAACACTAGAAAAATGAGAACAGTGATTATTGATTAACAATATAAATATTTGATAAACGTATGATATTTAGTACACAAGAAGAATGAGTACTGCTCCTGATGCCACGAATGTAAATATCTGATGTACTGTCTGGCGCACAAACAAACCCGTCCTCGTAAGATTTAGGATTTATCCTGAAAAATAATAATGATAATGAAATTCTCCCAAAAAAAAGTTGGTGGAGGGAGAGGGTTAGAAGTTTAGGAAAATAGGTTAATTGGATACAAATTATTCCGAATAAACATTTAAACATTTTTATTCCTATTTCAGGTACCAATATTTATTTTTGATGCATATATCAAATACATTGGTATATATTGAATAAGCATATTATTATAAACAAACCTTAAAGTTCCCTCTAAAAGGGCTCCAGGTCCTATGTTGTTGACGGCTAGACCACGTGACTGAATGATAGCCGGGTCCATATAGTATTCAAATTGATTGTTCCCTCCTCTCCAACCTTGTTAAAACATATTATTTACCTTTTAGTTCAATTTAAAGGGACCTGAGCAGAAAACTATAGAATTGGATACCCTTACTATTATTACACTGTGGACACTTAATCCGCTCTTTTTTCTCTTTCCGGATATCCGCACTGAATCCGACCAATAAATTTTCTCTCATTAAATGGCGAGGAAAATATCAAATTTCCCGGCATCTCATTGGCTATTCGGGATTCTGCATACACCAATCAGGTTAGTTGAATTTTAAAAGCTTTCCTGGGTATTAACTAATCTTAAGATTAACAAAAAGAGGAGATCAAGCATTGATCTCGAATTCCACAATTCTAAAGTTTTCAGCTCTGTAGAATGTAGACGGATTTTCAAGTGACCCCATTCATAAATAGACTTTCATCCACAAGTACTCATTAAACCATTTTCTGAGTAACAGGAAAAAGGTATCATCATTTTTCCTTCTTAAAATAACGCTTTATGCATGCTAAATTGTCTGTAGAACTTTTGTCTGTATAAAATTATTTCAAGAAAGCACTTGAAGCAAGGAAGTTAATATATACTATGGATATTGGATAGGGTCTAGACCAAAGTGCAACTTTTATAAAATTCCATGAGTTAAACTGTACACTACAAACACATGCAAAACAAAATGCGAGTTGTTCACTTTCCGAAAATCCAAAAGTCCGAAAAAAAACAAATTTACACTTAATCAAGTGGACTTACCGTTGTTACTTTCACAAAACTGTGGCCTTCCTCCGAACCCGCTATTGTTTCCGCCTCTACCATCGCTATTTCCGCCTCTTCCGACATTATTTCCGCCTTTTCCATTTCCAGTCCATCCACTTTCATTCCCACCTCTTCCGGCACCATTTCCTACTCTTCCAGCTTCATTCCATCCTCGTCCGGCTCCATTACCACCTCTTCCGGCTCCATTTCCACCTCTTCCGGCTCCATTACCACCTCTTCCGACTCCATTCCCACCTCTTCCTCTTCCAGACCCTCCACCTTTACCTCCATTATCTGGTTGCTGTTCTCCAGTTTCCTGTTCATTGGTTTCAGAATTCATTTTGGAGGACTTCTTTCTGCTCCTTCTCTTCTGAGTTTACAAAAATAATAAAAAGCTTGAAAAAAAGTTAAATATTGCTGCAAAGTCTTAATGAACGTATTTCTTAGGTACAAAATGCTAAGAAATTAACGGAAATTTGTCTCTCTGTAGATATAGACAACAATATCTCACAATCGAATAATATTAAGTTAGTGGCCAAAGGTTACGGAACGACTGTGACTCAAATGAGAATAATAAAAGAATTTGCAATACTAAGTTGCAACATGTGTTGCAATCTGTACAGGGCGCCAGAAGAATCAGCGCTTTAATAACAATTTTTTGGGCTTCTGAAGTTTCCAAATTGAACTGATAAACTTTGCTATTTTAACTATTTCTCAGGACACTATGAAAATATTTAACATATTGAACTTAACTCTACTGTGACGACTGTGACAGTTGTCACAAAATCATGATGTAAATATTTAAAGGGCGAAGGGAAGAATCAGTTAATATGCCTTGAAATTAGTCTGCATAACTGTTTAACGAATCAGGATGTACAACAATATAAATAAATCTAAAATTGATGAATTAACAAAAAGGTCTTAGATCGGCCCAATTTCCAAATCCTTCTTCTCTATCTTCTATTTCATTTGTGAACATGTTCTCTTTGTGTACATTGTAAAACAAAAATAAACCAAAAATTTCGCGGATTTTATAAAAAAAACTATGGATTTTTAACATTTTCAAAAATTGAATTTTGTTAGAGGCAAAGTTAGGAAAATTTGATCATCCATAAACCTTCCCTGGGGTTACGTGAGGTCCCAAACAAAATTTGGGTCCAATCGGTTCAGCCGTTTTGAAGTTTATTGGATACAAACAAACAGACAGACAGTCAAGCTAAATTTATATATAGATGACAGAAGAATTAATTACAAAACACAGTTGATTATGAAAATAATCTTTTAAGGAGTAACTGCAGGCTTCTATTACTATCATCGATATCTCATTTTGAACAATATGTTCCTCACCAGCAAACTTGTTAACAGAAAATTTTTAATTGGTTTTCCGATCAAATTGTTAAGTTGTTTTGAACAAAAAAGTAACACTCCAGAATAATCCAGCGGTTCCATAATCGTGATTTTCAAAAAACGAGTTTTCTGTCTTGAGTAGCAATTATAGAACGTAAAAAGATTTGATGGGTATCAGGAGAATCCTGATTTATTATTTTATAATACTGCACTCTCCTCTCAAAGCACTAGGGTGTATTTTGTCTATTGTAGAAACATTAAACAATCCCTTCAATTTTGGATAATGCCAATTTTGTTCGAGCAGGTCTAATGAATTTGAAAACCATGAAATTGTTGGTTATATAAACTTTCCAGTCTCAATGAATTTGAGCCGCGTCTCAAATCCGCCAAAAACCGATTTCAATTGAGCGCCGATTTAATTCGTGATTATAATTTTAAGTGGAATCAACCATATTTGAGCCGCGTCTTAAATTTGGCCTAAGGACTTTTTCATCATTGTTTAAATTATGGTGTTGTTATCATAACCCTTTCTTATAAATCATAACGTTTAGGAACGAAAAAACTAAATAATAATTGAGCTATTAGTAAAATTCCTTATTTTTTCCAGGTTCCTCAATGTCCATTTTTTATCTGAAATAATTGCAAACATTTTGAAAAAAAAGTATTTTATTTTTATGCTTAATCCTGGAAACAAAGTCTTGTACAATATCTGAATATTTTCATTTTTTGTAGATAACGCACAAGCAAAAGTTGGATGTGCCTGATAGGGTCGTTTTTTTAATTTATTTTTAAGTTTAACAATTGATTAATCGATAATGGATTAATTTACAATTTTCAGGGAATGGTTAAAGAACAACATTAACAGAACAACATACAGTGCAAGTTAATATGGAACTATTTTAAAGAACAAGTGAAAAAAAGCGCAATTATGATTAATAAATTTACAAACTGCCGTGTGCGTTCACGGCTGCGCATGTGCGCAGACTTGTTCTGATAACTCTTCAGATCAGGATCTCCTAAATATATAAATAATATTAAAGTCAGATTAAAATAGTTTTAAATGTCCAACAAGGGTTCAAAGAACAAAACCGGAATGATCAAAATCAACACTGATCAAACCCCGCTCAACTAGGGATTAAATCGGAAATATATTCGGGAATAATAATAATCAATTTTTTATCCCCAGAAAAGTTCATCATTAAATCTAATTTAATAGGGGTCGGCGCTTCAATAAATGTCAAAATTAAAATTCACCCCAGCTGGAATTTAAAATCCAACTTCTGACAAATTCACAAAAAAATCAAGAATGAAATTTGAAGACAAAATGTACGGAAATCTAAAATTAGATGCAAGAAAAATGTCCCCGCCCCACATCTCATCAAATAACCTTTTCAACTTCTGTACTTGATGCAATTGTACAGCGTACTAGTGTACCGGTTAAATTGATTCGGTCTCTCCTATCCTTTCCTACAATTCATCAAGCATCGATGGATAATCCCGTATTCCCGTTGAACTCAATTGAGAATCGTCTTTCTGTCTCATCGATTTCGTCAATTCGTCCTTCTCATCGATTGATTGATCATGTCCTTCTCATCGATTGATTGATTGATTGATCATCCATCATATCGATGCTGCAAGATTTATACATTAATCCTTCAGTGGGATTAGATTTTATATTTAGTGTAAGAAGGGATAGAGTTTATCAGTGCAAAACAAAACTAAATTTTTCTGAAGATAAAAACACTAGGATTTTTTATTTTTTAAACTCTATCCCAAATTATCGTTTGACCACAACCAAAATTAAAAAGAAGGCGTGGTAATTTCTAAAAACCCTCTGCACCACATCTGTTACCAACTCATATGATAGCAACAAAAACCATTCAATTTGTAATTTAATAAAATTCTAAAAAATTGAACTAATATTATTTTTTTGCTCGCGTGGTCACATAGTCATACAGAGTGTCCCTCGAAACTCGACTTGAATATCGTCTTTATCTTTGAAATTAGTTGGGAAATTCATTTGTCTATCTACTTTTACATTTAAACAAAAACCACAAAACTCTCCAAGTACTGGCCTTTCCAAAATGTGGTCTGCCTATTTTGTGCTTTCGATATATCCAGAGATATAAAGAATTTTGTCCAGATTTAAATTCATTAAATAAAGTCAAAATAGTCGAAATTCTTCAAATCGCCGGTAATATTGAAAGCATTACAAATGCAGACCACATTTTTGAATTGAATTGCCAGGACTATATACATTTTGTAATTATTAACTTAACAATTTTACCTCTAAAAATAGGTTTACGAATAAGTACAGCAAACAATTTTACAGATCAAAGACGACCTTCGTATCGTCTTACTATTAACATGTTTCGTGAGACACTCTGTAGTAGAAATGAAGGCAGAGAGTTTAGAGAAATTATCATGAATTACAAAGGAATAGATCCTTTTGTTGAAAACTGTGCAAAAATATTAATAACAAATTGAGTGCTTAAAACTTAATGCTAATTACAAAGAAAGCAAGTATTGTGTAAAATCAAAAAAATATTACTTTTTACCTTGCAGAAAATTCTTTTTTTTTATAAAATTGATTTTCTTTGTGACTGAATGTACCTGAAGTCTAATCTGAATCGGATTTTCTTCTGGGGCTGCGGGACCCACCAGACCTAGACCTAGATTTCCGGTCACGACTGGACTTCCGGTCGGGACTAGACTTCCGGTCGCGGCTGGACTTGCGGTCTCGAGACCAGGACTTTTTGGATCTAGATCTGGACCTGGACCGGGATCGGCTGTCAGATCTGGAACGGGATCGCCTTAAAAAGGAGCAAGTTATTTTTCTTTTTTAAACGCCATTTTCCAACAAGGTGCAAAAATAGTTAGTAATCTAAATAAGAACATCGATTGAAGGAATATGTCAAAAATAAAAATTTTGTTTACAATTCTCCCGGAAAATGCAGTAGACTTGTGTTGTTACCTGCTGCGACTTCTGCTCCTTTTCTTGACGCCCCTGCTGTCATCAATAATCTTGATAACTCTGCCGTTTAGCTCCGTGTTATCCAGCTTCCTAATCACGTTCTCCACGTCGTCGTAGGACGAGAACTCAACCACACCTTCATTCCTGAGGTACGTGGAGATTGAGAACTTTGCTTTTATTGGATAAATATTTATTAGTGTTTATTTCCTTTGACACCCCCGCCCCCTCCAACCCCCCAATTATATATAATTTTTTCTCCAAAAATAAATCGCCTTTTGCCAAATACCAAGCTATGATTCTCCCAAGAGAGGTATGTTAAGTAACCTAACGTCCCTTGGGACAAATAAGTAAATAACGACCCGCTCTACGAAATGTACGTGAAAAAATTCGCGAATTTAAAAGACGGTAAAATTTTGTACAACTACTTTTTCGGGAACTTGGTAAAGTAAATTTCCCTTAATTTCCCTGAAAAGTAGAAAATATGGTTAAAACTGTTGAGAATTGAGAAAATAAAATAACTTTGGAAAGTATAAAGAGAAAATAACAACTAGGACATAAGTTACCCTAATAAAAATCACATTACAGTAAAAAATAATTGTACAAAAGGATCATAATATATTTTAATAAAAGTTTGGATTTAATACGGATAAAAATTCCTTCTCTCCATCCCCCCCCCCAAAAAAAAAAAACATAAATAGGCAATCATATGAATTATGTATGGGAAAAAATATTTCTTAACTTTTAAATTCTAATAAATAAAATATAACCTGCGTTGTCTATGCGCATCAGCAAATGTTACTTCTCCGGCTTTTCGCATAAAATCCTAAAATAAAATCAAAAAGTATTAAATGATCAAGGGCAAGGGGGTTATAAAAAATTAACAATTATAATATTTTACGTGTCTTTATAAATATAACACTTTAATAATTTTTTGTTAGTGTTAAAAAAAAATGAACAGTGCACGCAAGTAAAAAGTCAAAGACTGTTGAAAAGTAAAATTCAAATATATTTGCCAGAACAAGCGTGGGATAGTAAAAATTGTAATTTCTGACAGATAAGGGAAGAATAATACCTTGAGATCCTGCCACGAGACCCGGCTGCTAAGGTTCTCTACAATAACTCTATACTCCGTCCTAGTAGGAGGACCATACTTTTCCAACCAGATTGGCCGCCGACGATCTGCTCCGCCGTATCCTCCTCCTCCACCACCACGCCCCCCTCGGCTCCTACTCCTAAAATCAAATTAGGTAAAATCTGAAAATTTCGCATTTTTTATGTTCCCAACAAAATGAAACGGGTCATTCTTTATCAATTTAATTATTGCCATCATACGCTTAGGCATTTACAATTTACAATTTACAATTTACAATTTACAATTTACAATTTACAATTTACAATTTACAATTTACAATTTACAAATTAGTTTAGTCAATAATAAACTATTGCCATTATACGCTTAGGCATTTACAATTTACAAATTTACAAATTTACAAATTTACAAATTTACAAATTTACAAATTTACAAATTTACAAATTTACAAATTTACAAATTTACAAATTTACAATTTAGAAATTAGAAATTAGTTTAGTCAATAATTAACTATTGCCATATATTTACCTGCTCCTACTCCTAGATCTTGTCCTGCTTCTCCTGCGTCTAGGAGATCTAGATCTTGACCTAGATCTTCCACCGCCCCATCTCTCCTTGTCCCGACCATGAGGTGTCCCCTTGGCTACCTCAACCGTCACCTGAACAGTTAAATTTTATTGAATTAAAAGCTTTTGTTTTCAAGCCCTTGGATTAAAAAATTCTAGATATATTTTGTAATAAGCAACTTCGTAACTGCTAAAACAATAAAAATGCGTCTAGAACAAATTGAATTTAAATATGATTTAAAATAAATATGGACAAGGGAAGGGGATATGATTTTAAATGCTGGGGTGGGAATAAATAATATGTCCTTGTACTCACCACTTCTCCCATGAATTCTTTTTTATGAAGATCATAAACTGCGTCCTCTGCATCACGGTAATCCTCAAAATCCACGAAGGCATATTTATTCTTGATAGAAATATCCCTAGACAAACAAAATTAACAAAGAGCATTATTAGCTTGAGTTTTCATGTCCCAATTGCATACCGAGATGATTTTAACCTCAATAAAAATAATATTCTGTTGCACGATTCATAACTCTAATTTTACTTGTATCACTATTATTTAAATGGTATTTCTATGCGTTTCACGCTGCTGTTTCGCCTGGTTATAATTGTTTTTATAAAATATCCCTTCCATTTTAAAGTGTTACATTGTGAACGATTTGAGATTGAATTTCCAGAGATTTGAAGACATGCTAATTTATAAAAGTCATGTTAGACTACAAACAGAAATTTAAAATATCGTGGTTCCATTATTCGGTGATATTAGTTAGGTAAGACAAATGGGTCTATCCTAGATACGATTCCTGCAACCCCCCCCCCCCACTCTTTTCAATTTTGTACATGACCAAGATTTTTACTATTTTCAACAAAATTAATATTGATTTAGAGTTATGTTAAAACACTTTCTTGGCCGAGAGCTGCGGCTAGGACAGGCAAGGGGCCGGGCGCTGAAGCAAGGCTAGTGGATTAGCGCCGCGGCTAGTACAGGCTAAGGGACCGGGCGATGCGACAACATGACCAACTTTAACAAAATGTATGAATGAGATGCATGCACAAAATTGATAAGTGTTCATAAGTCGTTAGTCTGACCTGGAACGATTTTTCGGACAATTTCTGGGCCGAGCGCTGCGGCTAGAACAGAATAGGGAGCCGAGCGTTGTGGCCACATGACCAATGATAACTATGTACAAAATTGACAGAAGGGGGGAGGGGTAGGGGAATGGCTACAAAACTCGTTCTCTAGGAAATTACCAGACAAATTCTGCTGATGAATTATACGACATCTGTGATTTCATAATTTTTTATTGCTTTATTGTGATTTTTTAATTTGATTGTTAACTTAAGACACCTAGCTGCCCAAAAGTGCATAGAAATAATCGTTTATCTTCTGTCTATCTGAATTTAGGTTTACTTACTTGATTTTACCATATTTCCTAAAGAAATGTTCAATATCTGAATCACGGCATCTGTGACTAATGCCTCCAAGATAAACTCGTGTCATTTTAACTGAAAATATACGTTAAATGCTGAATTTGCTGTGCATTTACATTGTTGATATCCTGAAAAGGGTACTTTCCTTGAGTGTGAACTTTTCTCTAAACCGAAACCCGACACCAGAAACTGCGGAGTGCGGAGGAATAAACAATTGAATTGCCGCGGCGCAAACAGTTATGATTTTCATTTTAAATCCAAAGCGGGAAGTTTAAGTCGTCTTTGTCTGTATGTGGTCAATTCAGGGTTTAAGATGATTTCTCCTTGACAGTTATAAATATTATTATTATAAATATTATGAATGCTAGAATAAGATTAGAAGAAAAACATTTTAACTTCACCTAAGACTAATTGTAGATTAGTTACAGGGTGTCCCACGAAACATGACAATAGGAAGACGACTGGAAAGTCGTCTTTGGTATTTGAATTTATTTGTGACATTTAGTCTTCTATCTACTTTAACATGTATGATTCTTGAAACAATTATCACATAATTCTCCTAGGCCTGGCATTTCCAAAAAGTGGTCTGCGTTTTTTGTGCTTTCAATTTCACCTGAGATATAAAGAGTTTGGTTCAGATTTCAATTTTGTTAAATAAAAGCAAAATTGTCGAAATCTGAACGAAATTCTTCATATCTCGGGCAATATTGAAAGCACATAAAAGGCAGACCACATTTTGGAAATGGCAGGACAAGGGAAATTTTGTGATTATTATCTCTAGAAATTTACTTCTAAAATTAGGTTGACAAATAAACGCAGCAAATTATATCAAAAATCAAGACGACATTCAAGTCGTCCTGCATACTGTCATGTTTCGTGGGACACCCTGTAGTTACCCAATATTTCTGTTGAAGACGATTAAAGATTGATTGATTAATATTTAGTATGGAAATTAAATTACTTGCGGCATAAACCATTTTGTGCGCATTTCAAACATATACGAACATCGTTCAGCAGAGTAAAAACAATAAAAATGATGTTTAAATGGGTAATCAAGGGTTGAAAGACAAAAATATTTAATTTTATAGCTTTTATAAACCTACGATTTATTAATCGTAGGTTTATCCTACGATTAAGATACTTGTCTGATGAAGTGGCCTAAATTCATGTCAAGGATAAGCCATCTTTGTAAATCCAAAAAATATCCGTTGGGCACCGTAAACTTTGTTCTGCACTGATTAAGTTCTAACTTCGGTAATTTCCTAGAGAACGATTTTTTCAGCCTTAGCCGAATGAATGGGGTAAATTTAAAATTATGTGACACCAAATTTTGTACAGGTTGTATTTTGTCTGAAAAATTTATAGAAGGCTGAAAATTTGCTTACAGCAGCATCTTGCTGTGATTTTTATTGGTTATATCTGCATGAGATGAAAAGTTTTTTTCCAGTTTTATTTCTCTTTTTGGTAATTTCCTAGTATATGATTTTTGGACCCCCCACTAAGCCAATTTCAACCTCAACATTATTTTATAAATATTCATNCATCCTAGCCGCAGCGCTCGGCCCAGAAAGTATCTTAACCTAACCTAACCCTAAATAACAAAAAAATAAATAATAATAAATTTGCTGAAAAATAAATGGTCATGTACAAAATTGATAGGAGGGGGGGGGGTCCAAAAATCGTATACTAGGACAGACCCCTCTTTTTTTTTTGCTTTTCCTGTTCTCATTTTTTTATAGACGACAAGTCATTTCATTGCAACTACTTTTGCAAATAAACTCTTATTTACATATTGCAGTTTTGATCAAGTTCGCAATTTTAATTTAAAAATTTAAAGTCTGCAACTACGCTTGCAAAATTATTCGCTATTGTTTTTAATTAGGTCATAATTATTGGAGAGCTCTGTAAAAAGCAGCTCATTACAGCAATAGATACGAAGTTTAAATGAGAGTATTTTTCTCTTGACTTGTTGTAAATGATATATACTATTGTTGATTTATTTTTTAGTATTGAATAAAGTTGTTAAGCATCTTAATGTGATCATCAATACGAATCAAGATCACAATTTCGGATAGGAGGTCTACGACCTCCATTTTGACTTTCATCAACTTTGAAAATTGGGAAAATACCAATTGGTTCATTTCAGTAAGAGCAGACAATTTTCAATTCTTTAAGCAAGCAGGGTCTGTCCTAGTGAACGAATTTTGGACCCCCCCCCCCCCC